AAGGCGCAGTCTTGCAGGTATGCAGGCGTGCATGCAGCTGGTTCGTCCAGGTAGCAATCCTGCTCCGGGGCACTGCAGTTCAGCCCCTGTTTGATGCACTTTGTGAGATTGGGCATGAGGCTTGCATATTGGGTCAAAACTTGATTGCGAGGATAATTGCTCATTCGAATAAAGGAAGGCTGAAAGAGCAGGATCCCGTCCAACTTCCAAGACTGTCGTCACGCTAATACGGATGAACCTCGGCATTCCTTCGCCGGCCCTCAATCTCCCTCCATGGCTCGGTCGCGCCCAACATTCGATCTTCGCCCTTCTTCTATTCAGCCATGATCTTGCATCATCGGAACAGCCAATACTTACTCTTACCACTACTTGCTCTCTTCAACATCGGTAGTTTCGTCCTTGAAGTCGACGTCCTTGCGAGGAGCCAGAGAGACAGTACCATGGCCGCTGTTGTCACCTTTCTTGGCAAAGACAGGCTTCAGGTCGTTCGTTTTGATCTCCTGAGGATTGTACCAGGCCTTCCAAGGCTGGACGGGCTCACTCTTGTCCGAAGAGTTGGGCAGTTGGTCCTGTGAAACAATCAGATCGCTCATAATGTGTCATGACATCCTCTACCCACGTTTGAAGGATACATGGTGATGGGTCAAGTGCGGAATGGTAAGTCAAGTTGGATCAAAGAAAAGGGTAGAAAGAGCGGGCAGCAGACCAGTTATCTACGGGAGCAAGTAAAAAGAGTTTCTCTGATATGCTCAAGGCTTCCGATAGATGCGTACGTCGAGAAGCCGTTGGCCAGCTGCAGAGGGGCCAGCCTGATGAGTTGTCTTCTGGTATCTTTGACTCGGGCTCAGCTCGACCCCAAGTATACGCCAATCAAAGACTACATGATGATCACATTTGGTTGTTGCTGCATAGAACTTGCATATTTTTGCATGAAGTACCTCAGCAATTTGTCTCAAATTCATTCGGCACTGCAAATGATGTTGCATGATTCTATCTCGACCAGTTCCTCCAGACAGTCATGCGCCCATCTCAAGCCCAGCCCCCAGTGTGGATCTGACAACGCATCTGCCGTTCGTGGTTGGGACGCGCCACTTGGCTTTCAATCGCCATTCTCTTCCGGGTCGTCACCCGTGAACTTGATATACCCAGCTGATGGCTTCGGTCTTCTCTTTGATATGTGCCCCCTGAGAGCGGATATCCTCGCCAAACAATCAAACAACCGATCCCACGCTACAAACTGCAGAAGATGGAAGTTTGTCTTTCTTACCTTGCACGCGATGAGATTTACAAGAAAGAGAAATCTTTCTCTACAGACTTTCCCGTTGACCATATTCCGGGTGCTCGGGCAACGAACGGGGCGAGAGAAGAATGCTTGGTCGCGATGAATGATATCCGAGCGTGTCCAGACATCAGACTGGACACTACTGGGTTTTGTCTCGTTGATTTTCGTTCTCGGTTCACTGCGGACGACCTTTTACATGATGAAGAAGCGAAGTTTGGTTACTGGGAAGAGATACAGCAACTAATCCTCAACACCTTCCCCGAGTATAAGAGAGTTGAGTGTTACGACCTTACAGTAAGTCTTTTCTAGCAAGGCAGCTTTCTGTCTGTCTAAATATCACCACAGATCAGGAAGAGAGCCGAAAACTTCCCTCTGCCTCAGACCGAAGGTTCCAGGTATCAGGAAACTATGTTCGAACAGCCAGCTTCGAGAGCCCACAGCGACATCACAGCACGTACGTGTGAGAGAGCGGCTCGCCGTGCTTTTCCCAAACATGGTGGTTATTTCGATGGCAAAGATTTTGATATCATCAAGTAAGCCGCCCACTACACGTCAAAGGTGCTATCTTACTTACTCGCCGAAGCGTTTGGCGAGTGCTCGTAGGTCCTAACAACGACTGGCCACTGGGCTTCTGCGATTTTCGCACCATCAACGTCGAGAACGATGTTCGCGATCACGATGCTCTTCGAGTAGACAGGCTCGACGAATTGTCGTTGCTGCACTACAACGAAGCTCACAAATGGTATTACGTACCTTCTCAAATGCCAGAGGAGGCTATCATCTTTCGCAATGCCAATTCATTTGGCAAATCCTCGCGTAAGTGATTCGTGTCTTTCTTCATGGCGCAAGAACTGACAATGGTTTTTCTCAGGGGCGTTTCATGCTTCATTCGATAATCCTGAAGCATCATCGCTTCCAAGGTTCAGCGCTGAGGTGAGGTGCGTTGCGATACGTTGACGGAGCCGTAAAGATACCAGCCAGTATTGCGAGCTTGTCTATGCACAGGGAACCTTGATGTAATTTCTCAAGCTAATTATAAAATGATATGTTGCTTGGACTTCTATAACATCGCCGACGTCTGTTGTGTCGTCAAGCGTCCAAAGAACCACCGTCCGACTTGCCCGTACAGAAGTTGACAGCATCGACAAGCTGATTCCAAAAGCACTCACGTTTCTGCACATTGGAAGCAAGGCTGCGGATTTGAGAACTGGCCCCAGAAAGGGCATGCCTAGACTCATTGATCACCAGATCGGCTGACCAGTGTTCCAAACGAGTTCGTCAATCTCCTCATCCTATGAAAATTGGCTAGTATCGAGACAAGCTTGTTAAAATATCAGTACTCGAAAAGGTGTGTGGCGTGCATTTACTATCTGTTGCGTGTCCAGCGCCGCCAAGCAGATTGACCGTTGCTGTTTATAAGATGTTGCCGTCTGGCTGGCTTGTCAGGCTGAGGAGCCGTGTTTCTGCCCCGCATCCGCCATCTCCTTTATTGGTCTTGCATGAAGAGATGAAAGAAGGCAGACAACTGGAGGCATAATTCAAGCCATTATTGTCAGCATTTCCAGTCACGAGCACGTCTAGGAACAGCGGTGTGTACTCTGTCAGCCGCAGTTGCAGATGAGGCTTTTCGAAAGTATCCAGGTATCTCGTTTGCTGCCGCGCACATCTCTTCACATTGAGTCTCCTTGTGAGTCTCTCAGCTCATTTCTGATCAGTATTTGAGATGGGTTCCATGCCACCAGGCTGGCATATTTCACAACTACTGCCCGGTGTAGAACTTATCGATTTATCCCCGCAGAAGAGTCGTCAATATGACTTTGTCGACAGAAAACACAACATATTGATATTGGTAAGAGGCCGAGATCGATAGCTGTTTCCATCTACTAATACAAGTAGTGTCGGTGGCCAAATGTACGTCGTGCTGAAAACAGCCTTGTCCTTGAGATGGTTGCTTAGTTTGAACGTAGCAGGCAAAAGATGGCTCGTTCTTTAGTGGAGTCGATTGCTCGGAGCTCAAGTACAGCGGTGCGAAGTTCGATGTCTCGTCGCGTCCCAGGTCGTCATGGGCAGGACTTCGAATTGGCTTTCTAGACTTTGATTCAGCCATATTCAATAGACGATCTGCGGAGGATTATGTCTGTCAGAGCTCATGTTTTCTCAAAAGCTCGCGCTGATCCGTTTTAGGACATCAGGATTGAACCCGTCTTTGCTAGAATGGAGAGCCAAGGTGCCACGATCAGGCGTGATCTGCCTTTGATCGGGCTGAGGAAAGTGATAGAAAACTCTGGGCTAGGCAATGTTGAAGATCTCAGAGGTACGGCACTATAATGTCTGAGACGAGTATCACTGACCACTGCAAGAGCTCCAATCTGCGGTCCGGACAGAACAATTGTTCTCGCTTGTGAATAGCTCGAACCTCAGCAGCCTACGAGAAGTAGTTGACCAGAATGGAGAGCGCGCAAAGCTTGAATCACTATCCCGTTGAGTAAATTCCAAAATCCTCAATCGTATTAGAGCTGACTGAATGTAGCAAGACCAAGCCAACGGATCCCTATCAGCGCCACGCTGGAGAGCAATATATGTAAAAGATTTGAGAGCTCCTTGAAGTTCATCCGGTCCAGTTTTGCAGACGCTGTTGGTAAGATAGCACAAGAGTATGACGTCGACATCGTTGTGGGCCCAGCTGGCAAAGATTTCACAAGTGTAGTTACGGCAGCGGAACTTCCTTTCGCCTTGATGCCAGTGGAGTGCGCCGCGGCGGATACTTGCATGAGGGCCATGGGTGTGGTTGGGCCACAAGCCATCGTGATGCAAGCAATGAGTGCATGGGAGGCCACCTTTTCCCAAGACGAGAAGCTCTCATCGATCTTGGTCAATTGGCAGGCAGACGTCGAGAATTGAATCGATAAACCATTCGAAGAATAATCTCTGGTCAAGTCACATCAATTCTTCATGACTGCTCCAAGAAATTTCGTCCGAGACATATTTTTAAGCAGGTCTCAACTTGCTAGCGCATTAGGACTGCAATTGCAAAGTTTGCAGGGCACATGTGAGTGACTGATGCGCACAAACCTTGCCTCCTGACAGTAAACAGGCGTTGGAACTCACAAGATCATGTGCACAATGCGGTAGTGAAGACTTGTGGAGATATGGAAGGATGTTTCCATCGTAAAGTGTCGATGACATCCTGGGTGCTGCGTATCTACCGAGCTTTCGAACATGTCAACAGCAAGAACTGCATGATCATGCGGGAGAAGTTCGGTGCTGAAAGAGACAATCTCCATGCATCTCAGAGCGATTACTTAACCTCTATACCGGGCAGCTCCTATTTCGCTGCTTGCTGGTCGTTCATTCCTTCTCATGGTTGGCAAAGCTTGTTCCTCTTTTTCGTGTGCGAGTCAATGCATGCGTCAAGCTCGCAATTGCCGAAGTTTTTCCAGCTCCTGTTCCACTTTCGTGAAACTCCTAGTCAACAATCTTTCCAGTTTGTGTATTGGATGCCTACGATCATGAATCAGCTCAAACCTTCGGACCCTGCGCCACTATCATAATGCATATCTGGTCCTACGGTGCTACGATGAAGTCCAGCAGCTGCCTAAGGCACGGTCCTAGCTTGGCCACAGTCCCTGATATCTGAATGATGGACGGTGATAAATTGATCCCACTTTGAACATCTCAGGTACATCTCTCCTTGTGTTCTGCTTTCCAGACAACACAAATGGATAGTCAAGGCAACTCTCAAGATTCTGGCTGTGATGAGCCCAGCTCCCCCAGCTGCTCCGAGGACAGCTCTACCCTGGAACCACAAACCAAGATACACGATCCATTCGCTGAGTTGAGCCCCTCAGAGCAGTCCAGTATCATGTCTGCTCATCTACAACGCTACGAAGAGCGTATGACGGACAGCAACAAGCGAACGCTACATCGTGTGCTGGACATAATCTCGGCTACAGAAGGCGACGACGCAATTCATCTGGACATCCTAGCAACACACATGGGCAGAGAATCTCGTACAATTTGCGACCAAAAGACTTGGCCGGGTTACATTCAACTCGAGCAAGAGATTGTTCGGCCGAGCGACTTGAAAACCTCTGAGGATTGGGTTTCGTCTGGAGTCCTTTGTCTGTACGAGGAAGAATTCGTTGCCAGCTTTTTGCGGGATCTCAAAATTGTCGTGCGCAACAAGGCCGATAAAGACCTGCTAGGGACTGCGACAGAAACATTTGATCTTCCAGCAGAATACTGCGAGTTTGCCAGGCAGTGCGGCGGAATCTTCTACGAGAACTACGACAGGACGAGATTTACATGTCCATTCGGATCGCAATTTTATCATCCCGAAGACATGGCTGTCCCTCTTGAGAGGATGACCAGGATATTTAACGACGATGGTTACTTCGAGGTCGCTGCTGGCTGGAGAGTAGGTGATAATGAACTTACCACATCTCTGTATTACATGCTTTGCAGAGTCACAGCCGACATGGACGAGCCATGGCAGTGGAGGATTGGTTACTTCGACTACGATACTCCTGACATGCGTCTCTGGGAGAACCTCCCTGACTTCCTCGAGTGGTACTCCGAAGGCTATGATCGTGTTATCTGGGAGAACGTTGAAGGAACAATTGAGAGGATACATGAAACATGTTTGGAAGAGTTGGAGGGAGGACAGACTAGATAGGGAAGCTGCAAGAAAGAACAAATGCGGAAAGAACGGGACAAGCGCAAGGATGAAAGTGTAAAGAGACAAATCCCATGACTGGCGGAAGCTGCAGAATGATTACATTCACCTCTTTCGGCGTTTGGAGTCTCACCTGACGGCATCATAATCTGCCCGTCCACACTTCTACGGTGTATTATTTTTGATCACTCGCAAGCTTATTAGTATTGTTAAGCATGATCCTCGCGATGTTAAAAAAATCTGGAGCTTGGCTTCCGGAAACGGGTTAATCCTCGGTAGACTTTATTAATAGAAGGCGGACAAGCCGTGAGTCTCTCAACGATCTTCTTTCTTAATACGATCACGGAGTGCGTCGTATTTCCTGGTGACTATCATCACAATAATTGCTTGCCGGTCATTACCGGACCAGAAGCACGAAAATCATGGCCATGGTTCTCCTTGCTAAAACTTGAACCACAAAGTGGTTTCATCTCAAATCTGAAACTCCTGTCATCTCCGAGCGTCGACTCATGTCACCAACTGGATCAAACTAAGTTGTGCCTGCGTCCAGGCTCCAGTCACGAAACAAAGTCTTCTTGGTTTCGGCTGGCTGGTCTCTGGCTGCCTTGAAAACATGCAGTTGCCTAAAGATCACGTCTGAATATTTGACATGTCGTAGTGTTCATGCCCGGATCAGGAACACCAGGACCACGATTTCTCCTCCTTCTACCATCAAATTTGCTGCAATGGACGAGCCTCAGTGCGAGATATATGACCCTTTCGACAGCCTGAGCCCCTCTGAACGCTCAGAGACTATGTCGAAGGCTCTGAGACGAGCTGAAGAACGCTTGAGTGGCGATAACCAGCGGGTACTCAAGCGTGTACTGGACATCATTGCAAAGACTGACGGCGATGATGAGTTGCACCTCAACATCTTAGCAACTCACCTGGACAAATACTCCTCCGAAACAGTCTACATCAGAACTCGTACCGATGACCTCGAGAATACAGAATTTTGGGATCCTACAATCACTCGGTTTAGCGACTTTGATCCATGGGACTCCAGCGTTTCTTTCCGAGATCCAAATTCAGAGGAATCAAGGACTTATGTTGCAGAGTTCTTGAGGTTGCTTGAGTTGGCTGTGCGCACGAATGCATCTAGGGATTTGCTCGGTGATATCGCAGTAGACAACCTGCGACTGCCAGCCGTGCGGAGGTCTCTCCTCTGCAAATTTCGATCGTCAAGTCTTTCTCTGCGAATTTTCCACTCAGATGTATTGCCCGGAAAAACTGGCAGAGCCATTGGACAAGATCGAGCAATTTTCGGGTGCCAGTTACGAATATTATGTTGCTGCAGGCTGGAAAGTAGGCGAGAACTATGACAACTGTGTCGTTTACTATGCTCTCGCCCAACACGTCGGTGAACCAGACGAATTCTGGAGGTGGAGAATCTTTGTGAACAACTGGGGTATCCATGAGTGCCAAGGACCTTTTGACGACATATTCAGCTTCATGGATTGGTACTGCGACAGGTACAATCAAGTGCCTTGGAACTGTGTTGAGAATGGTATGGAACGCACTCATGAGAAGTGTAAGGCCGCACTCGACAAAGCAAGACGAGATCTAGAGACTACGGAAGCGCACAGCCATTGATCGGTATTGCAGTTGAGACCTCATCAGGATGTTGTAGCTTATACACGCGCCCGAAATTGTGCCACTGTCGTAGAGCGTTTCCGTACAGTTGAACGATATGGAGTAAGGTGAAGTTTTGCGAATGAGGTTGTTTGCAGTGACACTCGACAGCCTGAAGTTACGAAGTCAACATCAACTCCGAGATTTGGTGTGGCAGATCTTCGGTGAGTGGCGAGTCGTGAGTCGCCAGTCGCAAATTTGACCGTGCTTCTACTCTCTTCAACTCTTGTGGCCAAGTGTCTGTCCTCTCTGTGACGAAGCTTAGATTGTGAACCATCATGGAGGTGTGTAAGTCAGGCTTCTGGCTAAGTTTTGTGCTATCGGAATCAATTCATCAGTTGACCGTGTGGAAAAAACCACTTTGCTAATTATACACGAACAAGACACGTCGACTCAGGATGAAACATGACACCAGGCACCAGACGCTACTGGCCAGATTCCAGGCACCGGTGTCAGGTCGTTAGGTCATAAAACCTATTCGCTGATGTTGGCTTTTGATTCTCACAACATCATCGTGATAATTGAGTCTATCCCGGCAATCCGCAAACACCTTCTTGCAAGCGAATTCTGTCGTTACGTACTTGTCTTGGATCTGGACGATACCACCCTTGTCTGTCGTCAGCTATCTCTCCAACATCAGCTTCCGCGCGGCTTACAACACAAACTGGGTTCTTGTCGTCCAACAAAGCTCGAAACCTTGAGCACCGTCTAGTCTTTTCCTCGCACCTGCTCACTTTCATTACGACTGGATTGTGTGCGAGAAAAAACATGGACAAGCCGGTCGAGATTGATGATGCGTTTGGAGAACTTGATCCAACGGAGCGTCGTGATGCAATGGCCAGCTTATTGTCGCAATTTAGCGACTACATGGTTGACAATAACACCCGCATCGTTTCTCGAATACTAGACATGATTTTGGAGACTGAAGGCGATGAGGCTTTGCATCTGGACATACTGGCATCACATCTAGACAAGCAATCGAATATGGACGAAGATGTCACAAAGTGGCCGGGCGATAACGAGCAGTACCGCGGAATCCATACTCTAAACGACTTCAGGACTCACTCTGACATCGGCAAGGACTCCGGCCTCTGCCCTTGGGAGCCCGGCACAAGCGATCACATTGCAGCATTCTTGTTGGAGCTACAAACAGCTGTGCGCAGAAACGCATCCAGAGATCTATTAGGCAGTACGGCGGAAACTCTCGAACTGCCGTCCGAATTTTGCGAATTCTTTAAGCATACCGGTGGTGTGGTCTATCCTAATCTCGACAAGAAAATGTTTGTCTGCGAATTCGCGACAAAAGATTATGGCGCAAATGAGCAGGCCGAGCCTCTGGAGAGATTGCGCGAACTCGGGCCCTCGCATGAGTTTGAGGTTGCTGCTGGTTGGAAGGCAGGCGATAATGACCAAAACTGCTGGATTTACTATCTCCTTTGTAGAGAGTTTGATGAGCCCGAAGAGCCTTGTGAGCCCGAAGAGCCTTGGCAGTGGAGGATTTTCGTCAACAACACCACTTTCCACGAATTTGAGTGTCATGATAGCCTGCATGAGTTCCTTGGTTGGTACTGCAAGCCCTACGATTGGATCAAATGGGATGCGGTTCAGATGAGTGTGGATGAACTTCATCTGAAGTGCACAGAAGCTCTAGAAGGACAAGAGTGAGCATACGCAATGGCATGAAAAGTTGATCTTTTTAGTTGAAGAGTTGACAAAATTTCCATCAAAGTTACACTCAAAGATTCAATGAATGTGGTGGACGATGCAGTCGGAGGAACATCGTCATGGTGAGAAACGATTCGGAAGTCAAGGTCGACGACGAGTATGCAGTGGTTGTCATAGATGACTTGTGACCAACATGTCTGGATTCGGCGCCGTGATAGCCGAGCAGTACCACGACCAGTAGTGTCTTTCATTGGCGATGAGGTTGAGCTTTCGTACTAGCGGTCTGAGCTCAGCTCGAGCAATATCACTCCATCCTTGCCAAAGTATCCATTGCGTCATTATTAACTTCGCTGTCTGTGCCGTTGGAGTAGCCAGTAGTTGTCGTATATCATTTCTTGCACCGTCTTTCTTGTCATCATCCTTCCTAGGCGCCGGCGTATCAACTACGACGGGAAAGCACAGGTCCAAAATAAGGAAAACCTGCGGAGTGAGGGATGCCAAGGAGTCAGGATGCGGAAAATCTTCGGTGTTGCAGAACAATGGCCTCGTGCGACCGTTCGGACTCTCTTCTTGTCAGATCAAAGCCACAGTATCCCGTGCAATATCCAGAGCACTGGAAGACGACGAGTCGGTCAGTCTGGAGACTGCAGGACTGCCGTGAACGGTGTCCAACCCAAATTCGTGTCAAGCTTGAGCAAAGTTTGAGCATCCATTGTCCTTGTCATCTCCGAGGTTTCAACTCGATGGGCAGCCACGTAATTCCCCTTCCTTCGAGCGCAATCCACCAGGCTAGTGTGGACCACCATGCTTGAATCGTTCGGGCTCACGGTCCCGAGTAGTGTATGGCTCGGTTGTGTTCCATGATCTTGGTCGCCAATCCCTTGTTGTCCACCCCAGAAGCTCTGTCAAGAACGTAGCCGGAACCAAGCATTTTCTCACAATCTAGAACTACATTTACTGGAGCCTTCAATACTTCGCACTATGAGCACTGCGATAGATGTCGAGGATGACTTTAGGGACCTTAGTCCTGCCGCTCGTACTGAGGCGACGGCTAGTCTGCTCTCACAATTCGCCGATCGCATGCTTGATAACAATAAACGCATCTTTGACAGGGTATTGGACATGATTGCCGAAACAGAAGGCGACGAAAAGCTGCACCTGGATATGCTGGCAACGCATTTGGCGATGGAAACTTCGGAGGTCGTCGACGTTAAATCATGGAACAACACTGAAATCACCAGTTTAAGCGACTACAAAGCTTGGTCCCGCCTCGGTCACGATTCAGGCCTTTGTCCGTGGAAGCACGGCTCGAGCGAATATATCACAACATTCTTAGGGTACTTGCAGAAAGCTATATGCGAAAATGCATCTAGAGATTTGCTGGCCGATGCAGCAGAAACACTCGAGCTGCCAATTGATTTCTGCGAGTTTCTCAAGCATACCGCCGGCGTTGTCTATCCAAACCTGGATCGCCAGATGTTCGTTTGCAGTTTTGGAACCAACACATACGACATCCAAGGGCAGGCCCAGCCTCTAGACAAAATATGCAGGGTTGCCGGTCCGGATGGTTTCACAGTGGCTGCTGGCTGGGCGGCTGGTGACAATGATCGAAGCTGTTGGATACATTATCTCCTGTGCAGACGAGTTACGGAGCCGGATGGGCCATGGCGATGGAGAATCTTCATTAACAACATCGATTTCCACGATCGCGGCTATTACGAAAGTCTTCGTGACTTTCTCAGTTGGTATTGCAACGCATACGACTGGGTTGATTGGGAAGCTGTACAGCAAGGCATAGCTACTCTGCACCAAGAGTGTAAGGAGGCCTTAGAGGAAGAGGAAGATGAAGAACAGACTTCAGAAGAAGAGACTGAAGAACAAACGTCAGACGAAGAATCTGATTGAGCGTGTTCAAAGTACAGCTTGCGTTCTATGAACTTGTACAAATATCCAGTTTTCATCACTATGAACCCTTCTGGATGAAGGTCCCCCGCAACTGATCGGCGCGCGACCCTACTCGATTCGATCAAGTCAACTTTCCCGGTTACCCCTCATTTCTAGTCTATTCTCATCTGTGTTAAGATAAAGGCCGTGGTACTCGTGCCTCACTACACATCAAAGCAAAGTATTGATTCGCCATGGCGAGCCTCACACTNTACGGCTACTATCGGTCGTCTTGCTCAGCTAGACTTCGCATAGTCCTAGACTTGAAGGCCATCGAGTACAAGCCTGTCTACATTAATCTCAACAAAGGCGAGCATCTCAAGGATGAATACGGTGCAAGAAATCCATCTCGCTCTGTTCCGACTCTCATGATCGACGAATCATGGTGCATACCACAGTCCGTTGCAGCTCTGGAATACCTCGAAGAAGCTTACCCGCAAACAACCTCTCTTCTTCCTGCAGATGCAAAGTCGAGGGCAGATGTTCGCACCTTGGCAGAAATCATTGCTGTCGACACTCAGCCACCAACCAACGACACACCCATGAAACGCGCTGAATCTTCCGGAGCCAATCGCTTGGAATGGGCGAGGTTNCTTACTGAGAGAGGTCTCAAAGCTTTCGAGACTGTGGTCAGCAGAACGGCTGGACAATACTGTTGTGGTGATAGAATCACTTTGGCAGATGTGTGTCTGGTGCCTGCTCTGTGGAATGCCGAGAAGTTCGGAGTTGCGATCGAATCTTTTCCGACTATTTCTCGGGTATACGGTGTTTTGAAGGAGCATCCTTCGTTCATAAAGTCGCATTGGCAGAATCAGCCTGATTGTCCCGAGGAGTTGAGATAAGCGAACGAAGTTTTGGCCATTTATTCTTAAGTACTGAGATACGAAGAAAAGTCAACTCGATATACAATCCCGCGACAGGATTCTTCAACAAGTGAAGCATTCGCAGAAGACGATTTTATTGCAGGATTCAGTCGCGGAAGTTGTTCCGTGGTGGTGACTGCAGCGCTCCTTCCCCAGCTTCACTCAGAGCGGGGTCACAAAACAAACCGGCCCGCATCCGCGTTCACACCTTCCGTGAACGACGACACCACCAGAAATCAAGAAGCAGATAGTCAGCTATTCCCCTGCTGCTATCACGTTTGACAACATCAATTGTTCCGCAAATCATCATCACAATAACTCGCCAAAATGCCTGGTCTAACCACAAGAGACTCATTCGTCCTCAAATCACTCTTCGATCCGGAGGCCTCCGCAACATCCGCAAAGCATGCATCATCACAGACATCACTACCTGGAATGTCAGAAGACCGATTCTCTGTCCACAGATCAACCGAACTTCAGATCATCTCACAACTGCAAGGCGACACTTCAGACGCCGAGACTGTCCAGAAGGCAATTCGCCATCTATCATCACTAATCGACGAATCGCCTGGCTACGCCTCTGCATACATCAACCGCGCTCAAGCAAGTCGTCTGCTCATCCCTACAAGCGGCCTCTTCACATCCAGCCATGCTGAAGCAAGTGGACAGCTGCTCAAAGACCTTCAGAAGGGCATCCAGCTCGCCGCACCCACCACTCCAGGTCAACAACTGTCAACACATCAAACAACTGTTCTCGCAGCTGCTTACACACACCGCGGCTTCCTTCTCCTCAAGATCGCTGACATCATCCGTAACGGGGAGCAAGTTCATGGTGTCAGTGACACACTCCAGTCGGCTTCTGCAGAAAGTGTTGAGGAGCAAGCAAGCAAGGACTTTGCCGCTGGAGGCCAGTATGGAAGCAAGGAAGCACGTGAGATGGCTGTGAGAACAAATCCATATGCGAAGATGTGTGGCGTCATCGTCAAGGAGGCACTGAAGAAGGAGAACGAGGAATGGAAGGCAGGTCAGCTTTGCTGAATGAGCACTTATTCTCGTAAATTGTACAATATCCAACAAGACCACAACAAGCAGAGTGAATATGGGAAACTGCGACGAAGGTCAAAGACATAAGAATGCTCAATCGATTTGCTGAGGATGCGCAGAAACTATCAACCCAAGAAATTTTCAATTGGAATCAATCAAAGCTATTTCCTCCTCCGTGTTTATTTCGTGCTCTTGACTGTCCCATAACTCATTTTCTGATATCTCTGATCAATATCTAACGTCACTTGTGTCATATCAAGCGGAAGGCAGCCGCGCTGAAGAATATCGGGGCCCCTCACCCCACAGCAAACGCTCCCCGAGAGGCATCTGTTGTCCGACAGGAGCTAACGGGCCGCCTTCCGCCTCACCATCCAAGCTCATGACCTTGCAACGATATATCTACAACGCAAAAGTCATCGAGTGAAGAATCATTGATACTATACAGCTTGCGCAATCACTTTTGAAGTACTCAAAGCGAGCATCATCACCACGCCAAAACACGATTTGTTTATCTACAGCTTCTGGCCACCAAAACATCTACTCACCACAACACCAACCAACAACATCAACAACCATGGCACCAGTTGCCCTCACACCACCTCGCGAGACATCTCCTCCTCCCACCACACAAGCAGAGATGTCTTCTTATCAAGGCTACGACCACGTTCACTGGTACGTCGGCAATGCCAAGCAAGCAGCCGCTTACTACATTGCTCGCATGGGCTTCGAGAAGATCGCATACAGAGGTTTGGAGACTGGGTCTAGAGGACTCGCCTCCTACGTCGTGCGTAACGGAGGCGTCACTTTCGTGTTGACTTCTCCTCTGCGTGGATTGAGTATGTTGCACGATGTCCCTGAGGAGGAGAGGGAGTTGGTTAAGGAGGTGCACAAGCACCTTGAGACCCATGGTGATGCCGTCAAGGGTTTGTGTCCACAGATCTTTTGATTTGGAAATTTACTGACGGAACACNNAGATGTGGCTTTTGAAGTCGACGATGTGGAATCAATCTACAACGCTGCAATCTCGGCAGGAGCAACTTCCATCAAAGCCCCCAACACCATGCACGAAGGCAAACTCGGCTACGTCAAGACTGCCACCATTCAGACCTACGGACAAACCACTCACACCCTGATCGAGCGCCAAAACTACCGCGGCCTCTTCTTCCCTGGCTTCCGTCTCGAACCCGATGTCAAAGACCCCTTGAACCTGATTCTGCCACCAGTGACCCTGGAAGCAATTGATCACTGCGTGGGCAACCAAGACTGGAACGAAATGGACGACGTGTGCGCCTACTACGAANNAAAAGCCCTCGGTTTCCACCGATTCTGGTCTGTCGACGACAAGGACATGTGCACCGAGTTCTCAGCCTTGAAGTCAGTCGTCATGGCCTCTCCCAACGAAGTCATCAAAATGCCCATCAACGAGCCCGCAGAGGGAAAGAAGCAATCCCAGATCGAGGAATACGTTGACTTCTACGGCGGTGCTGGAGTTCAGCATGTGGCTTTCAGAACCACTGATATCGTTACTGCCATCAGAAACCTCAGAGCCAGAGGAATGGAGTTCATCAAGGTGCCTGAGACTTACTATGTTGCTATGAGAAAGAGACTTGAGGCTGCGGGCATGAAGTTGAATGAAGACTTTGATGTCCTTGCCAGCCTTGACATCCTCATTGACTTTGATGAAGGCGGTTATCTCCTACAGTTGTTTACTAAAGTAAGTGCAGCTTACAAGCCTTTGATTTTGAGCACTGAACTAACTTTTGGCTCGCAGCATGTGCTGGACCGCCCTACTGTCTTCATCGAGATCATCCAGCGTAAAAACTTCGACGGCTTTGGTGCTGGTAACTTCAAGTCACTCTTCGAAGCCATCGAGAGAGAGCAGGAGCTGAGAGGCAACCTGATCTGAGCCCAGCTTTGTAGAACACAAAAGCGGGCGAGCCACAACGATGGTTTTCATGCAGACCATCTGACAAAAGGACGAGACGAGAACACTCAAGGGGCGCAAGGACAGTCTGAAGTCGGAGGGTCATTGGAGAAATGTAAGATAGGATGAATAGCAGTCGGCTGCAAGACTCGAAAGAGAGTTTGGTTTTGGCAGCCCAGGAGAAACATCAGAGACAAGCATGAATAATGAACTCGACAAGAACAAAGGGACCGGAATGTCGGTCCAGTCAGATAGCAGAAGTAATCAAAATGCAGATTTCTTCATCTGGAGCATATGAAACAGAAAAAGTCTATGCAACTGTCAGTCCAACAAACCCAACATCCTCGTTCGTTCTCCTGTGGCCAAGACGCTAAGTTACAAACCGAGACGATGCTGTAGAATTGCTAATTCTACCAAGATCTCACAGCAGCGAGCGTGGTTGCATTGCATCCGACTAGCATTTTCTCTCTTACAACTTGAAGTCTGTGCTAGACTTCATGTCAGAGCCCGCGCGCAAGAGAGATATCATATACTATCACTACCGCTATCTCGTACTCGCACGGCTCTCGCTGCTTTCTTCTTTGCAGTGTCAATCTCGATGCTTATAGTCTAGTTGCTTAAGCCATTGTTGCCAGCCAGTGCTCTGCGGGTCGGGCGCGAATGGAAGTTCGACTTTGAAACGTTTGTAGGAGTAGGGTGAATCTTGGACCGCTCCTATCAAAAGTCACATGTCAGCATTTTGTGACAACAGTTGTGTAGACTTGGATAGTACCACTAAAGGCTATATAGATAGTCCTGAGGCTGTGATCAGGTCGATCGTTGTGCAGAGTATGGTTACACATAACGCAAGCTTTGCCGCCGCAAATTGCGCAATCAAATGCGAAGCCTGTCTTCTCTTGTGTTAGTAGGTTTACGATTTACCTAGTAGATTTACTAGGTGGCTTACATAGATCTCCATTGTGCACAAGTGACATTGTATAGACCTAGTAAAGTCCTCGACCGTCAACTGACTGTAATGGATGTGTGCCTCTGGTAAATGAGTATCCATCTCATTCTCCCTGGACCGGCCAAGCGCAAACAGTATTTCGTCCTGATCAGAATCGTGGTATTCAAGCTTCGCTGGGCTGCAATGCACCAAAATATCGTACGGCGTCCAGCTTCGGGGAGGCTGAAGTGTTGTGACCTTCTGCACCTTCCACCCGTGCCTGAGGAGGATCTCCGCCATTAGAAGATTGCCCGCCTTACAAGCCCAATGCAAAGATGTCCATCCATGCTCCCCTTTCTCGGACAGATCTGGGTCGACATTCAAGAAGGGCTCGAGGTGCTCAAAACTACTTGAGAGTATATTAGAAGCCACCTGATCGACAAGCGTCATCCCTGCCTTGGACTTAGTATACGGATCGGCTCCTCGGCCGATCAAGTACTCAAAGATGCGATCCGCCTCCATAGAGCTGACTTTCCAACTACCGGATACGAAGTACGTAAGAACTGAGTTGCCTTTTCGATCAGTGGCGTTGATGTCTGCGTTGTAACCTTCACATAAGAGCTTCATCATCTCAAGACTAGTCGCCACCATGAGTGGAACAAGACCATTGTGCCCTGAAGGGGCATTTACGTTAGCTCTTGCATTCAGTAACACCTTCGCAAGCTCTAGATTATTGCGTGGTATAGCAAAGTCAAACAGAGACATGTGGTAGGTATCTGCATCGAGTCTGGCACCTCTGCGCAGAAGTAATTCAGCACAAGTCTTGGATCCTGCTTCGCAGGCATGGGAGAGAGGTGTACGTCCGCTGTCGTCAGGTTCGTTCACGCAGAGGCCTTTCGATATCAGGTAGTCCAACTTTTCGGGGCGGAACCAGACTGCCAGATGGAGAGAGTGCTTCGTAGTCGCCAGCTTGGTCCAGTCGACTTCTACTCCTGGGACGAGGCAGAGATCTGATGTCCAAAGGAGGTAGTCTTTGGACAATGATTCATCAGGCTCAAAGCTCATTGGTTTGTACCCAAATGGCGTCGTAATCGATCGCAGCTTCACCAGCCAGACAATCGTTCTTGTATCTGCATTCAAAAGTCGGTTTATGCTTGTCAGCAGATTAGCTGGAGGTCTGGAAGAACCGCTAGTTGCACACAATGCATGTTTGTCGAAGCAATTCGCTGGGTAGCAGAGACTCGTCAACGTGCCCATATTGTACAAATTATTCCGACTCTCAGGAAGTGCAAGCGAGAGCCAATCTATACATCGGCATGCCAAAGTATTTTCAGCGTCATGTCTGTCTTTAAGAGGGTCCCNAAAGCTGCCTTGAAGCCTGTCCAGAGGCAGACTCTCGAGAAATTCAAGGAAGGAAAAGTGTATTGGAGTGGTACGTCGATAGCGTAGGTTGGAAACGGGTTCAGGATTCAGCTGCAGCAAGTTTTGACATGCTTCTGAAATGTACTCATATGATAAGAGTCGCGATTTCAAGGCCTCTGCTGTATGTGGTCGCCGTGAAAGGGCGACGGCAACTCTAATGTCATAGAATGATGAGGATGCTTTCGCGTACATCATCCAGCGGAAGCATTCTAACGCAACATCCCGAGCATATACAGGACCGCTAGCAATCTCGTCAAAGATGCGAGTATACATTGCAACAAGCCCTTGAGGCAGGTGATGCAGCGATTGCTTGAGGTATTCATCGTTGCTTGCTCTGCTGGTCCTGCATAGCTGTTGCAGCTGGAGACTGACCCACAAGAANNCCTTGTGCAGTTAGTTTGGCAAATCGGTGAGGTTGCAGTGTGGATTAGCTCACATGCCGTCCGACTTCTTGACCAACATCTGAACAATCTCTTCAAACAATTCATCGTTTCGGACATGAAGCTTGCACTCTGCTCTGAGCCTCGAGGCTTCGTGCTGGACATAATTTCGAATATCAGGGGTGATGATTCCGGTCTCAAGCTCGATTGCAGGTGTGCTGAGACGCTTGAAGTGGTCGTTGATGTCGTAATCTTTTCGGCTACTGACAAGAATTTTCACGTTAGACTTGGATCTGCCGGATGCTTCAATAATAAAATCCAGTATCGGTAAGCGTTTCTCCTCTGGGCACTCGTCAAGCCCGTCAACAACAACGAAGATTTGTTGATAAATCGCGGCAACTCTGATAAACATATCGATGTCTGACACACCGACAGGCTCTCTCGCTTGCCGCTTAGCTTCCAATAGTTCTTCGGGGATTGAGCCGTGTTGTTGACAGAGTTGTTTCAGGAAAAGTGCAATGAGCAGCGCCAAATCCTGGAAGTTCGGATTAGTGAAGCTGAAGTAAGCGAAGCAAAGGCCCGTCTGCTGCCCTAGAAAGCTCTGTTGAATATGATTGATGACATGAGNATCTTTGCATGACCGTGTCAGCTCACCATAATGAAAGACAGGACAGAGACCTTACGCTAGAACAGACTTTCCCGCACCAGNCTGTATGACACTTCTTAGTGAAGAGCAGCAGAATGTTCAAGAATACTTACGCTTGCCATGGCACCACANAAGCTGGGAGGACGCCTCTGTCGTCCATCGCACAAATTCGCTCGTCTGCAAGAACCAGTCGCCTGTACCTTCATGCTTGCTTCTCAAGGTCTGTTTCTGCTGATAGCCGAAGTCGTACGGTGATAACCAGCGTAGGAATTCCTCCCTCTCCTTGACTGTGCAGGGTCAGAATGATGGCAAAACTTGGTACAAGGAAGAACTTTCCTTTGTNNCAGCGTACAACAACTCTGCTTGAGCTGCATGCAGCAGGACATTGCAGTGATTTTCCATTCGACCGGCAATATCACCGAACTCCGCCTCAAAGGGGTCCCATTGTTGGTGGAGGAATATCTTGAACGTAGTCGGCATCTTGGATCTGCCATTCTGGTCGAGAAACAAAGCACTGGATGCTTTGCAAAAATCTAGAATGTCCCCGTAGATATCTATGAGAGCATTTCCGACATTCAACAGCTCGAAGCGCTCGGCGTATCGCTCCAGAGGGGCAATGATTTCGCTGAGCCGATCAAGCATATTTGTGAGCTTGCCGAAGTATTTGGTGAATCCCGCGGCGATGTCAACTATCAGCTTGATGCCACCAACGGCGACAGAAGAAACATCAGGATTGGCCTGGATCGCAACGACAACTCCTCCGAGCAGACGGTCCAAGAGACTCAAGAACTTGGTGATCTTTTCTGCGTGAGGCCGAAATGACGAGGTCGAGGCATGCTGTTGATCCAGTGACTCGATTTTCCCTAGCAGGCTGTCCGGTGTAATGGTTGTATTCGCTTGAAGGAACGCTTGTCGCTCCACTTGTGGCAGTTTGTCAAGATGCTTCTGTATTGCTGCGAGAAACGCGGGGTTGGTTAANNGGGACTAGTTGTTGCCGTGGGAGGAGCCACTGCTGCAACAGCAAGTGTAGCTAGGTGAGGTGAAGACGCTGCGGTCGAGGTGCGTGCTGATTGCGAAGAAGTTGTGGTTACGGCGGGTTTGAGCGTCGGGGCTACCGGACTGAGCAGCTGNTGAATTTTGTGAAGAGCTTGACAACGTCGTAGCTGCAGAGGGACGTGGGGGTACAGGTTTAGACCTCCCGGGCAGGATGCTTTTCAATCTGTCTCTCTTTCTTTGTGACGGCGGAGTTGTTGTTGACATGACTCTCGATCAGGTACCGTTTCAAAAGTAAGGTAGACGAAAGGTAATCCAGCAGTAAGGGAGGTCAGGCACACGTATCCTTGTAAAGCACCCATCGCGCCGAGCCACAACGCTGCATGCATGTCAGGAGGAACTCACGACTGTCCAATACTACTTCGACGCGCTAGCCATCGCATGGCGCAGCTGCGAATATTGCTGCAAGGCTTCATGCCATTGGGCATCGATGGACATACTGATAAATGATTGGTCGAGATCACCAGGAAGTTGGTCCCGTTCGAAGCAGTCAACAAGTGTCAGAGCAGAAGCTAGCATTGTGTTTGCGCCTTCCATACACATCGATATCGCCGTTAGATGGAAAGCGCGTACATTGACGCGTTTCGTCTGGATGACGCGGGTGGAAAGAGCGCAGGAAGTTGGAACAGACCTGCCTTGGAGAAAGGCAGGTGGCTGGGAACGCTCTGACCATGTCTTCTAGTCGCTGGTATCACCCTGCTCATAGCCGATGGCGATGATATCTATGCCTGACAACCTGCTAGATACTTGGAACTCGAGAAAGCAGCGCAGAAAGATATCCTCATTCAATTCATGTGATTTATCTGTCTATCTGAAGCTCTCAACAGCTTGTACGATTGGAATCAAATTTGGGGATGCGTGATACTAAAATTCTACGAGCACTCGTACAGCTCCCATGAACAATCTGATAACGAAAAATGCGACAACGCACAGAACTTGGTTCGAGTTAAGAAATGAGACAGACTCTCGATCAACGGAGGCAGAAAGTCACATTTGATGAAGTATGTTTCAACGGAGGTAAAGGTAGAAAAATCGTGATTGTCGTAAGCCGAACGTCGTATATATAGAGCATGGACAAAGGCTCAGGATTAAAGCACTCGAGTACAGCAGCAGACAGGGAATATGAAGCAAGAAGCATAGCTTTTCGTCAAGCAGTTCATAGCATAATTGTACATGGGTAACTAAACAAGGTGTCGCTCCTCTCCCGACACCAGAAAAAGAACGCCGAAACAGTATCGTCATCGTTATCGTACAAGTACAGAGTGAAAAAAAAAAAAAAAAACAACGCCGCGCAGTCATGAAAGAATGAAATCATAACAACGAAACAAAACATTAGTGGGTGGGACTATCACTCTAGAAGTGATCACCCTTTCGTCCACGCTTACCGTGGAAGTCGATCTCGGGGTGAACAACTCTCATGTGACGCGTGAGGGCATCTGCACGAGAGAAGGTCTTCTCCTCGCGACAGTACTGGCAACGAACCTNTTGCTTCTGTCGGTTATGGATAGTATCTTCATGACGGGTAAGATCGTATGGTCTGCTGAAGATGCTATTGCAAGGCTTGCCAGTCGATGGGTTGATACGTGTACACTTGTGAGGACCTTGCTGTGAGTTGCGCTCGGCAAGGGCAGCTGCAGTCATAGAGCTACCCAGGCTTCCAGCAGCAGCAGGTGAACTCGAGCGACGGTCTTCCTCGGGAGATGAGGTGGCAGTACCTGTCGATGACAAAGACTGACGAGCTGGGTGTGCATCACGTCTGTGCTTCTGCAGCTTGACGGCCGAGTCAAAGCGCTGATAACAGCCATCGGCAGTGCATGTGTAGCTGCCAGTATCGGCAGTGGTGTGCTGTGGCCTCGAGATAGAAGCAGCAGTCATGCTACCTTGAGAAGAGGCACCAGGACCCTCACTCATGGATGACTCCATAGTGGCCAGGTGAGCAGGGAAGTCTGGCGTGGATTCAGTGTTGAAGTCAGTAGAGCGATAATGTGCAGGAGCATAAGGATTGCTCGGTATTACTGGTTGCTGAGGTGGCAAGAAATTGAAAGTAGTAGAGCCGATGGATGATTGGTCTGAGGACGAAGCACGGAAGCCAGCAACGTTGGTTGGAGGAGCCGCCATGCTGGATGCAAAGTTGTATCCCGAAGGCAGCGTGTCAGCGAACAGAGGCATGTCTGAACCCTCGCTGTCATTGAAGTCGAGGAGGGCATCCTTGGGTGACATGGTCTTGGTAGGCTCTCGTCGTAACTTGGGCTGGTGTGACATCCATTCTCTAGCGCTCGCCTCTTCTCTCTGCTGACGCCTCGAATCTGCAGCAGTAGCCAAGAATGGACCTGGTGATTTGAAGTTCTGGGAAGCGGATGCTGCAAAGGGTGAGTTCTGTCTGAAAGGCGAACGCTCACGCGACACGTCCCCGACGGGTGACTGGGAGCGGATGCTGTTGGCGGTGCGTAACCTCTCGTCGATCAAGTTGCGGTGTGGCGAGAGCATGTTGTTGTTGTTGTTGTTGTTGTTGTTGTTGTTGTTGTTGTTGTTGTTGTTGTTGTTGTTGGTGGTATGTATCGTTGGTGGCTGAAGGGCATCAGGGTTGTTTGGGTTGAAGAGCTCGTCGGCAAAAGCAGCAGACTCTGTTCGATTGAGCTCGACGCGAGGGGCATTGGCTTTGTAGTCTGGTTGCGAACTCATAAATAAGTATCGCTCAAATAGTTCCAGATCTGGTACTTCCTCACCATTGGTTGGCATCTTGAAGAGAGGCGGTCTCTCTTCATTGTCATGGTCAGAACTCGACCTCGGCTGAGGCGTTGACGGTGAGTCCTGACCCTTGCTTGAGACTGAATGCCGTGACGAGTGTGCAAAGTCCGGAATGTCCTCGTTGTAAGTTGAGTTGTGCTGGTCAATAGCCATGTTTTGCATAGCTAGATGAGCAGCGGGNNCGTGTGAGAGCTTTGATGGTGCGTAGCCGACGTTGTTGAATGTCTGATCGTTGTCGCTGAAGTACGACGTGGTAGGAGACTGGTCGGCGTTGGCAATATAAGGATATGTGCTGCCCTGCATGAATGGCGATGAGGGACCGGTCGAGTTCACAGTCGACTCGGAAGCGTTTCTCTTATGACCTTGGCTTTTACGCAGCAGTCCCGCAGTATGGTTCTGCACTGGAAACATATGCCAGTCGTTTGTTGGTATGTTCGACTCGGTATCGAAAGAGTATGTAAATGGATGGTTGTGTTGAGATGATGGGTTCAGTGTCAATTGATGTGGTGTGTTGCTCTTAGTCGAAGGATGAGTNNTTCTCTTGGTGGAAGTGGAAGGTGATCGAAATCGAATGCCTCAGACAAGGAAGTCGCGATGAACCGAGACTGGGAAGTCGTCATCGAGCCTTCAGGGTCTTCGTTCGGGAATGACGTCAGTACCCGAAAAGGAAAGTCCTTGCTGATCTCGAGTTATAGCTCCCGATGAAAGAGTCACGAGGTATCTGTTGAATTGGTAATGTCTCCTCTTTCGCTGCTGGAACCCTTGGGTTGTTTCTGTTGGCTTCTGTTCCCTTGAGATTGCTCCGGAGAGGGACGGAATGGTTTAATAGAAAGATTTTTGTTTCCAGTCACAGTGCTTGGAAATCGGAGTGTGACTGCTGCGCCACTGCAGGGAAGATGCGTGCCAAGAGATGCACCTTCCGTGACGCGGTCCAGATGCTTCTGTCCGTACATCGCACCCAAAATATCTACATCCATGCTGCTTCGACTCACTTTGAGTGGTTGAGTATTGAGATAGCATTTACCGTACTGATTCTAGTGGTTGGTCTATGGTGTGTAAGTTCTGTCTCGTAATTCTCTTTCATATCGTCCGCCGCAATTGCTCTCAATTCGGCTGCCTGCGAAATTCGACTCATCGCGCTACACCGCGTGACTTGTCACAGTCACCGCCGAACTTGCGACTCTCTTGGTGCCTAGAGTCGTACGCTGGCATCTCCGTATTCGCTTACCATATTCTACTTTTGGTCGTTTGAAGCATGCTCTAAGTCCGTCCCACGTATGGACAGGCAGAGAAAGCCATAGAGTAGCAGATCTTGGTTGTCGAGCGTTTTACGGTCCGATCGGATAGGGCTGGCCTGCAGCATGCAGAAGCCACACGACCCTGTCAGCACGAACCTCGGATTTGGCCTACTTGTGCTCCAGTACATTCGCTTTCACCGAACGACTTTCGGGTACTTCCTGGGTTTAGATTAACCTGCAAGCCAGCTCACCAAAAAAGTCTTGCCTATCGATCCAATTTCATTCAGTTCCTGCATCTTTCTAGAGCGCAGCACACATCTGGATCCCTCGAACAAAGATCTGTTATAAGCCACACTTCACCAAGCCATCAAGGGATTCGTGGCTGTTCATGACGATATCTGTGGCTGGTGCAGAATCGTCACCGCACGACTCGGCGTGAGCAAAGCAAACACAGGGGGAGGTTTGAGGAAGCGACGGAATGTCGTTCGTTTCCTTTTCTGGCATGCTGCATGTCTGATGTGCATGGAAGGCCACGTCAGAGGAGCCGTGGAGTTCCATTTTATTCCCAGCATGACCGGCTAATCCGACTCAGGCACCCAGGCACGCTTTTACGACAAACGAGGATACTGTGTATTTTCGAGACTGCGCCCAAAGACTTGCTCAACACTCGGTTCATTCGGCAGCTGTCAAGACGCATCAAGCAAATGCTTCAGGCCGATTTGCGAGCTGGGCAAGTATCTCGAGGAAGAACAAAGAAGCAGTGATAGCAACCGCTTAAGCGGCCATGTTCGGCTCGTTCATGCGTGCTAACCGACCACACCGCTGTTGTCCATAAACCTCGATGTCCAACTAATGAGCAAAGAAGCACTCATACACTAGCCCAGCACGCGTCGTCTAGCTCTGACTCATGGTTGCTTTCACGACCAGGTTTCCTGTATCTGCCAACAACACGATCATAGGGACATTGCCGAGAAGTTAACCATCATCGGCATTCTACTGTACCTATAAGGGAAATATAATCTTGTGTACTGCCTCAACCAAATCTGGGGTTCTGTCCTGCAAGAGCTTGTTCGATGTCACCAACATTACAAAATAGTTCAGAACCTATAGAATTCCTTCTAGACGAGCAACAAGAAATCAAATTATGTCTTTGACTGGGTATAGGAAGCACATTACCAAAGCTCTTCATGAAGGCCTACCATGTTTACCACAAATTTGTTCCCAAGACATCTTCTTTGACTTGCTTGCTGTCTACGTTCACAATAAGCCTTTGTGTACGAGCTGGTGAATATTGTGGTAGGCCCTAGACTTGTGGTTTTGAGTATGACTATTTCGCCGGCCAGACATACTCGAATTGCAACTGTGTATTCCGATGGCCTTTCAAAACCCTCGAGCCTCGGAATAAAGAATCGATCTAGGGAGGATTGATAATTGACAGATAAATTCCACAAGCAAAATGACAATCTTTGATGACTCTGGCTTTCGTTGCAATGCTGAAGGCTTCAGCTCGCAGTACGCAATTTTCATAGAGGGATAATGATACGGTTCAGCTCCGATTTGAACTGTGGTCCTCGGCTGGTCCTTGGCTAGTCTTTGACCACGCCAAGCATTCAAGGCCCGCACACACGCACTATTTGATAGTGACTTTCTCGCGCTCTCTTCTATCCGCTGTCCGATAGCTTGCCAATCCAGGTTCCAACCTTTCTCATTCTATTGGACCATCTCTGTCGTTTGGCATATCTGTGTCGGCGATTTTCTCTTCTTCTTGTCGTCTGGCACATCTGTGTCGTCGACTTTCTCTTCACCCTCTCGTCTGACACTTTCAGTGTTGACGATATTCAAATTCTTCCTCTCCTCTCTTCTTTCTGTCGTCTGGCACTTTCAGTGTCGGCGATCTCACCAATCTCTCCTCTCCTTCCCTTCTCTCCTTCTCGTCAGACACTTTCAGTGTTGACGATATCCAACCTACCTTCAACATGAGCAACGCTAACCAAGTTCCACCGGGACGACAAGATTTCCAGACTTCTGATCATCTGTTTGTCTGCGTGAACCCTGAGGCAGACTTCACGACATCGCAACTGCCAGCCCGACAAGATTTCACAACATCCGGTCACCTGTTTGTCTGCGTCAACGACGAGGCGTCGTCGACCAGTGAATCCATACAACAAGCAGCGGTAGAAGGTACATCTACCGTTGAACAGCCTTGCTCCTCCCAGCTTGAGGGGCCTTTCATTGGTGCGGATGACGACACTTCAACTCTTGCTGAGGAAGTCGAGTTGGCAGCCGAAGATGTCGAGCTGTGCGCAAAGGAAGTCAGGGCAATGAAGGCTCGCATCGCCACGTACAAGCACTTCACCTACGACCTTTTGTACAAGGGATTGAAGGATGCTACGATGGCAGGATGGACACCCGCAATTCTCAGCATCCTCAAGGTAACTGCCGAAGAGCTGTATCTGAAGTACAGAGCGGCCAAAATCACTTCCGGTAATCCCAACATGCCCAGGCGACAACCATCGGACGCAGAGGCGATGGAAGACGATGTGCCGACCAGACCATCATGAAGTCCCTCGGCAACACAGGCACCACCACATCACCTCTTCGTTGGTCAAAAGCTAACGAGACGAGTTAGTCCGCGCGGAAGCGTGAGAATCCGCGTCAAGTGGGCGGGTGGGCGGGTATTTTATTCTTTTATAAACATTTTTTGTTGTGAGTTGAACAAGAAGCATACAGAAACTCATTACTGACTAGTAGCAAATTCTAGCAAGACCTTTCCGAAATGAGGAGATGGAAGCAAGAGCTGGACGAAGGACGCAGTGGCATTTGGTGGTGTTACGAAAGTTTGCCGCAGATTTGGGGTTTACAAGGAAAATAATGATATGTACCATTTGGACCATATTCTGCCTGGACTCTGTCCTATGCAATCTACTTTTCGACCTGAATAGCACAAAGCCGAGATTAGCTAACTGATGTTGAGTCACTAACGTTGGAGAAGACAAAGGGTCTATATAATCTTCTCAGAGAATCGACAAGGACCTGTATCTTCATCACTTTGTGCAAGAGACAAGTTACGCGGAGTCCAAATCGTTCTGCATGCAGTGATGAGAATCAAGTAACAAGTATACCGAGACTGTGTACTTCTAGAGTCTTTCAGCATCAGCGATTATGTGAGTTTCAGTGTTGATGAGTGTGACTCTGATGCTTTCAAAAGGGCCCTGTCGGCGCCATACTCCAGAAGCAGCTCGACGATATCGTGATGCTCAAGGATTTCTGCAAGCTGAAGAGGATATGTATACCAACTATAAAGATTGGTGGGAACGTTGGCATCAACTCCAGCTTTGAGTAGCAGATCAACCACTGATGTACGGCCCTCCAGAATAGCTCTGAACAAGGGTGTTTCGCAGTCGATCCAGCACAGAGGGGTGATGATATCAGGTTGAGGGCAGGCACCTGCGGCTAGGAGCTCTTGAACGATTTCGCAATGTCCAATCTCGCAGGCGATGTAAAGAGCTGACTCGCCGTCTTCAGTTTCATTGATGTCGTGTTCTTCCTTTCCAAGATATTCCTCTTGTATCAGGTTCCTGATGGCGGCAAGAAGGCCGGCCTTCGCCAGCGTTCGCAATAGTCCGCCTGGCGACATGGTCGTGGCGAATGGAATCTTTGTGCGCAGTTTGTAGAGGTCGGTAGACCAAACAATGAACTCTGGTATAGCGGTGAAGTTCACGTCAGCTGGGGATATATGTCGAAGACCACAGCCGATATATGGAGCCAGATAGAGCCGCATCAGGAGAAAACGGAGGAGGTATACATGGTCCCGATCGAGCATCTGTAGAAGCTGAACCAACGGCTCCGAAGGCGGTTCTGACAAGTCTTCAGAAATGACAAGATGTTTGTCAAAATTATTGATAGCGTAATAGTTGAAAGTGGTGTAGTCGATCTGGTTCGCTAAAGGCCTCTCGTGTACCAAGGTGTCAAGCCTCGAACGTAGTAGATCGACACAGTCTTGTGCGTTCTTACGATGCATGGCCCGAGTATCCAACAAAATGGTCCAAGGACCACCAAGTGATTTTAGGAGTTGAGGCTTGTTGACAAAGAAATGGAAGATTGAGGGGTGAGCAAATCTCGCCTTCTCTTGGTCCCAGAGATGTGTTGAATCTCCCGAAGGAAACTGTACAAGGCCGCCGCATACCATATTGATGTGTTCAAAGAAGTCAAACAAGGAATCATGACGGAGCTGCATCTCTTCCATCGTCAATGGATCACGAAGAGCCAATGCTGTTTGCAGCTCGGTCCAGTGAAGGGACCTGATGGCTGAAAGCATCCATCGGAAACAAGCCACTGCCAAAGCACTTTGAGCAAGGCCTTTTTGGTCTATGTCCTTGAGCTTCTTGAAGACCACAAAGTAGTTCCCAGCCAGATTTGGCTCTAGTTGCTGGAGATGTGCAAACAGCAAAGTGGTCCATGGCTCCCTAGAATTGTTTGACTGCTGGCTAACGAGCTCAGCAGTCCACGGTGGTAGCAGCATGGGATTGGCGGTGGGCACTTGAAAATGGTATGTCGTGGAATCCGAGCTCGTACGACCGATTTGAGCGAAGAAGACTGCTTAGGTTGAACGGTTCTTTCAAGTTAAATTCACAGGTAATGTTGCAAAAGAACGTTGAATCGTGCTAGATCCAGAGGAGTGCTTGAGAGACATGAGAGACAAGAGCGCTCGCCTTATTTGTAGACGCTAGGATAGCACTTGAGCAGCAACACTGCCACAATCAAGACTATTCAGACCTGTCTGAGTGCGGATTACCACTTCATCGACAAGCCAGGTCAAAAGGTGAACCAGTTGGTCAATGGTTGGACTCTGAGACCAGTTTCGGACGCGGCGTTTGCTTGAAATCAAGCGTTATAAACCTATAGAGTAGGATGTGGTCGGACGAGGCGCTTGAGTAGGCCAGCCTTCAATATTCGAGCAGCTTCCATCAACAGCCGTCTAGAGATGATTCTGGACCAATAGCCCATAGACATGTTCAAGGCTTTTGCAAGCACCTTATGTTGATAGGTGCGTTGAACTGCACGAGTTGTTGGTGAGCGATTGGCCATCAAGCGCTGTAAAGAATGGACATGAGGCAAGTTTGCGGCACGAATACTTCATGCTGGTTGGCTTGCGACACCGCCCGCTGCCAGCTAAGCAAAGCGATGGACAAAGGCAAAGCCAGGCAGCAGCAGTCATAATAAGGTGGTCCTAGTCTCGACCTTTCCCACTTTTTTTGGATGACCTTCTGTTGACATCTCACCGAACATAGCTACTACGCCGTTCAGCATTTCCGGATGTCAGACAGAGAGATCGCGAGGCTTCTGTCAGAGTGCGAAAGTAACATTTCCGTCAGACTTGGATCTTCGACTGGCATGTACACAGCCATGATTCTGGCGATATCTCAACCTTCACAGATGAAGGTACGGAATGTACGCTTCGAGCAAGGCTTTGTCGACAGAAAAGAGCAGGTGGAAGTGGAACAGCTCTGAGCTGTCGACAGGCATGATGGAATATACCGGGAAGGCGCAAACAGCAGCACAACCGCCAGGTGTCCTCCAAATCTTGGCGGGTGTCGAGGCTCATTCGTGATTGTGGGGAAGGGAAGTTGCTGGAAGCTCCAGATGTCTCCTAACTTTAGAGTCGATTCGAGTCGAGTCTCCTTTAGCCTTTGTCACCTCTGGTCATCGCTCAAGACGTCCAATCTCATGTGAGTCTTCTTGCACAATCCATTGAACAGTCTCCTGACGCAAAAACAGATTCTAATCCTGCCTCTCACACTTGGTTGAGCCGCTCGTCAGTAACGGTTTCAGCTGTAGGTGCATCCCCGTGCCCCTACCAACGCCCATAACAGGCCACATTCTGACACACAGCTTGCAGCATCTTCGACGGTTTTCTTATCGGAACTGGTATCATCATGGCTTCTGAGGCTCCCACCCTCGCTGGCTCTTCTGCCGACAACCTGACGCCCGCCCAGCGTCTGGCCGAGAAGCACGACGACCACAAGCCCACAGTCGAGGAGGTTGTTGACGAGGAGGACATCATCCACCCTCCTCCTTCCGCCTCTGCCACTGCTTCGTCGTCGGCTGGTCCCTCGACTGCCGCCCCTACCCCCGCCCCCGAGTCCACTCCCGCTCCTGCTCCCAAGAAGCCTTCGGTCCTCGACACTCAATCCGAGGAGCTCTTCCCCTCGCTCGGTGCCTCCAAGCCTCGCTCTTCTGCCGGCCCTTCGCCATGGTCCAAGAAGCCTGCTGCTGTCGCTAATGCCAATGGCCTTCGCAATGGTCAGGTCGCCAACAACGCTCCCACGCGCAGCTCCGCTCCTGCCTCTGGCCTTGCTACTCCCGCATCCACTGCTGGTTTCCGCGGCGTCTCTCTTCCCGGTCGTCACACTGAGGCCATCTCTTTTGCACCATCTCAGCTCGCTCAATCCAAGGACCTCAAGAAGCCCGTCTCTGAGATCCTCCGCGACATCAACAAGCGCTCGAAGGCCAAGGTTGAGATGAGCCAAGGTGCAGGTGGTTCCTACGCTTTCAGAGCCACCGGCTCCACCCCCAACGATGTTCGTGAGACTCTGAAGGAGGTCGCCCGCCAGCTCGGTTCTAGAGTAAGTCACTCCGGGTCTTTATTGCGCCTTCGTGGTTGCTAACAACAAGTANNGCAAAGCGTCAAGGTTCCTGTCCCGTCTTCCGTTCGTGCTCACATCATCGGCCGCAATGGTGCCAACATCACCGCTCTCAGCCAAAAGACTGGTGCCAAGATCCAAGTCCCCAAGAACGACGATGCCAACACCTTTGACGACGACGACTCTGCCACCATCGACGTCCTTATTGAGGGCGATGCTGTTGCTGCCGAGATGGCCCGTCAAGAGATTGAGAAGATTGTCAACGAACGCACTTCGTCCATCAACCTCCGTCTGAAGGACATTCCTGCCGAGTTCTATCCTTTCCTTGCTGGTGCCCACAACTCGCGTGTTGGCGACCTCGAGAATGGCCGTGACTTGAAAGTCCAGATTCCCCACTACCACACCTGGGTCGAGCAGGCTCCTCCTCAGCCCGCCGCATACCGTCAGCCTCCTGCTTTCGTGCCTCAGGCCAGCCTGCCTATCCAGATTGCTGGCGATCGTCTGGCTGCTAACGAAGCCCGCGCCCAGCTCGAACGCCAAGTTGAGCAGCTCAAACGCCAGCTTGTCTCAGACCAAGTCGCCATTGAGCGTGGACGTCATCAATTCATTGTTGGTGACAGAGGAACCTCTCTTCACGACTTCCTTGCCGAGACCGGCTGCGCTGTTATCATGCCTCCTGATGCTGAGGACGACGAGAACCTGACCATCGTTGGTCCCGCAGACAGACTCGACGAAGGTCTGAACAAGGTTATGGAGCTTGCATCCAGCATGGCCATGGCTAGTGTTGACATCTCTCGCTCCTTCCCCAACGCTCCTCTTGGAGCCCAGGCTCACGCTCGCAACGTCACCAAGTACCTCCAACAGAGACGCGCCATTCAGGATCTCGAGCGCTTGTACAATGCTCGTATCGTCGCCAGCACTGCCCGCAATGGCCCTACTGCTTGGGAGGTTTACTCCCGTGATGGTAAGAACACCATGAAGGCTCGCTCTGACATCATGAACCTCATCAGTGGTCACCCTCCTACCCGTCTCAACCCTGTTCAGGTTCACCCCTTCTACCACCAGCACTTGCGTCAATCAGCTGGTCCTCAGATCCGTGACCAGTTCGGTGTGCACATGGTTGTTCCCGATGAATCAGACAGCGATGATGAGATTCTGCTCGTCTACGAGGGACCTTCTTCGGCTTCCGAATACCAGCTACCGAGACGTCAGCCTGCTGCCAACGAGGCTCAAGACTTCGAGCGTGCCTTGAAGGAGGCTCAGCAGCACATTCTTGGTCTGCTCAGTGGTCAGCAGGAAATTGTCTCTCGCGAAGTTGATGCTCCATCCAAGTTCCACGACAAGATCAGAAGACACGCCGAGCGTGAGCAGTCGAACCTTCCTTCAGGTCAAATTCCCGTCCAGGTCTTGTTCGGTGGACAGGCTGCCCGTAAGGCACCTGCTCAGGGTCTTTCTGTCCGTGGTCCCAGTGACCGTGCTGATGCACTTGTCGAAAGCCTGCTCGCTTTCATCGAGCAAGAGAAGCAAGACGAGCTTGAGCGTGGTTTCACTCTCACTTTCGACTTCCCTCAGAAGTTTGCCAACATCCTGATTGGAAAGAAGGGTGAGAACATCAGAAAACTTCGTGAGGAGTTCGATGTCGACATCCAAGTCAACGATGGTAAGGTCGAGCTCAAGGGCCCTCAGGCCAAGGCAAATGCTTGCAAGAGCCACATCCTTGCTCTCGGCAAGAAGCTCGAGGACGAAGCTACACACGTTATCAAGGTCAAGCCTCAGTACCACAAGGATCTGATCGGCACCAAGGGTAGCATGGTCAACCGTCTTCAAGACAGATACAACGTCAGAATCAACTTCCCTCGCTCGAACAACACCGAGGATGATGACGCCGCTGAGGGTGAGACCTCGCGCAAGTCGAACCAGGCACCCGATGAAGTCATCATCAAGGGTCCCAAGAGAGGTGCTGATGAGGCTAGAGAGGAACTTCTCAACCTCCTCCAGTACACTATGGACACATCTCACACTGCCACCGTCTCAGTCCAGCAGAGCCAGTTGCCATCCCTGATTGGTTCTGGCGGTCGTGAGCTTGATGCTCTTCGTCTTGCTACTGGCGCTCACGTCGACGTTCCCAACAACCGTGAGGCCGCTGATGCTTCTGGACGTGTCGAAATCAAGATCAAGGGCTCCAAGAAGGCTGTTGAAGATGCCAAGAAGCAAATCGAAGAAGCTGCTAAGGTCTACGACTCAACTGCAACTCGCACTCTTGACGTCGAGAAGAAGCACCACCGCAACATCATTGGTGGTGGCGGTGCCAACATCCGCAACATCGTCATCCAAGCCGGCGGCCCTGATGACAGACAGAAGCTCGCTCGCATGGTCCGCTTCCCTCGTGCCGAGGCTGAGGGCAACACTATCCGCGTTGAGGCCAACCAGGCCATCGCTGACAAGATCATCGAGGCCATTCAGGCACAGGTTTCTGAGCTTGAGAGTCAGACAACACAGATCATCGAGATTTCTCCTGAGAAGCACCCTAAGCTGATTGGTCGTGGTGGTGACATCAGAAAGAAGATCGAGTCAGACTTCGGTGTACAGCTTGACATTCCCAGACAGTCTGTCACTGGTGCCGATCGCTCAAAGGTCAAGCTTATTGGACGTGCCGAGAACATTGAGAAGGCCAAGGAGCACATTGCCACTCTCACAAAGGATGCCGAGAGCACCGATATCCAGATCCCTCTCAAGTTCCACCACGCCATCGCCGACAACGGCCAATTCTTCCGCCGTCTTCGTAGCGATCTCAAGGTCTCTGTTGACCACAAGGGGCAGCGTCCTCCTCAGCGTCCCGAGGCACTCTCCACTCGCAAGGCAGGCTCTGGCATGCCCTTGATCACTGATGATGCTACTGGCGGCGCCTCTGATGATAACGTCTCGTGGGTTGTGCATAACTTGCATGAAAGCGCTCCCGAGGGCGAGATCACCTGGGCCTTGTCAGGAGCCTCTCCTGAGAGCCTCGAGAAGGCCAGCGCCCGCGTCCAGAAGGCCCTTGCTGACGCTCAGAAGCTGACCCACGCTGGTTTCCTTGTCCTTCCCGACCCCAGCTCTTACAGAAGAGTCGTCGGTCCTCAGGGCAGCACCATCAACGATATTCGTGCCAAGACCGGTACCAAGATCCAGGTTCCTAAAGCTCAGAGTGGTGATGAGGCCATTGAAATCACCGGCACCCAGGACGGTGTCGAGAACGCCAAGGAGATGATTCTTAACGCCATCCAGGGTTAAAAGCAGAAGAGTAGGACATTTTAGTGTTTTGTGATCGCATGGGTGCGTCGGAGTCACAGGGCATTTGCAACAAAAGCGACAGAGTGCACCATCTAGATGATGTGTTTTTGGATGGGTCCAAAATATCTGAAGAAGCTTATATTTCGTATCTTTTTTCCTTTCTATTCAAAATTTTCGCAAAGTCAAATGTATAGAGACTGACTTTTGAAATCATCGAATGCGCCGACGTGAATCATGTGACGCATATGCGTGTTTGTCAAGGGCAGTCACTACTTGCTCAGCATTTTGACACCAACGACACAATTCAGGCAGGACCTACCTTCGAGACTGTCAAGCATCACGCAGTTACCTTCCAGGAACTTGGAAAGAACGACCATCAACAAAACCCACTCATCTACTTCCAGACGCTTCCTGATCTCTTGTCTTCCTTCATTTTCCACATGGCCAATCTTCTCCTGTGCGTCTTAAACGCCAGCTGCAATCTCGACATCACGCAAACATCCGATCCTGCCTTTCAGCAGTGTCACACCTCGTCACCTGTCAGCAGATGGGCTGCCAATACCTGGAACAAAGCCTCAGCATCACCACCGATCAGTCCTTCTGGTTGCCGCATCTAGCCACTTCCTCCCCATACACGTTCATAACAGTGTTCTCCGTCACAATGCTGATGCAAGGTCAACTATCAAAGCAGACAAAGACATTGCTTTTGCTTTTTCCAAAGCTTTGCTCCTGGTTGTCCGGAAGCGGAAAAAGGCCGACAAAGAAAATAACACACAAAGAGCTCGGAGACAGGAATGCACATAACACGACTTGTTGACTTGAGTGAATATACAAAGACACGAGAACAACACCGTCTGTGAAACGACGTTATACTTGGTCTGGAGCGGACAAAAAATAATTTGCAACGATGCCTAGCTCCGAAGAGAGACGAAGCTCAGAACGAATCGCAGCACAGAAAGAGAAAGCGGAGCGCGAGGAGAAGGAAAAATTCGAGAGAGAAGAGAAGGCAAGACTCGAGCTAGAGCAAAAGGATTTGAAAGCTCGAATTGCACGGGGTTTACCTGAGGATGGATCCCTCATGTTCAAATCGTTCGGATACAAAGACAGACCTTTCCTCGTTGAACGCGAAGAGGTATGGCGTAAAGAAGAAGATGTCAGAATCGGTTCCTGGGCAACCAAAGCACACTGGAAACCAAAAACTTCTATCCTGGTCAGATCTTGAGAGTAATATACCACTACCCGCAAACCAACCTTGATGCCAAATACAGCCCGGATCTCGGCGAGATCACCAGGACGGGTGTCGAGCCGCTGGGCGTGAAGATGCGCTGGGCAGTCGTACTATGGAGTACTGCGTTTGGACTTTTGTTTTACCGTAAGTCAGAATGACAGCATTAACAACACAGTGCTTAGTATGTCACACCGAGACTTGTGCTAACACCATCTTCTCCGCTCACAGAATGTTTACTCTGAAGGGGAAGAACGGTCTCAAGGACTTCGCTCAAGACCGCCAACAAGAATATATTGCCATGATCAAGGAAAACACTTCTCACCCGTCGGAAAAGTTGACGCCGTGGGGTGGTCCTCCCATCATCATGAACATCAATCCAGATCTCGATATCCCGTATTCGAATCTCTGCTACGTCGATTTGAGTCGTCCTGTGGCCATAAATACCTATGAGTATCTCGAAGAAAACATGGGCTCAATTGATGGGGACGAATATCTCCGACTGATCAGTCTTTTCAAGATGCAGATTGACTCCTATATACGACACTCTTTCGGCGATTCAAGGGCAATCCCAAGTATGAAGAGAAGAAGCTGGTGTTGCCCCAGCCAAACAGAGACGCCTACGGCGCCTTCGAGCAATGGAGACAGGATATGGCGGATACTGAGTTCAAGGGACGGTTCCTGTCCAAACAAGCAAAGGACAGGATGTATGAAGAGCCAAAATCTAAGTCCAAAGCTAAGAGCGGGTCTGGAAGTAAAAGCTCTGGGGTCACGAAGTCTCATCATGGTGGTAGTTCTTCTCGAGGTGGCAGTGGTAGAGGCGGTAGAGGCGGTGGTAGAGGAGGAAGGGAGGAGGAGGGAGTGGGAGTACGAGCGTGGGAGTGAGCCATTGATCGCATCTCAATGTTCCAGTGCCATTTGTGAGAGAGCGATTGACACAAGATCTTTCTCATGACAACTAAAACATGCAGTCTTGCACTTGAGCACCTGACTTGAGTTTCTACAGAGAAACTATATCTGCAAGTGAGATAGAGCGGGAGAGATCACACCAGGAGCTTGAAACAGATCTAACAGAGCCTTAGGATGTCCTAAAAAGACGATCCAGTGGGAGGGTTCTCAAGTTGTACAACAGACATCGTTCGGGAAGGTTATGAAAAGAATTTACGGCTTCCAGCACCAATCCCGAATCGAGATACTCGTGTTCAGTGGGTTGTGTTGTTAGCTATGATCGGATTGATATTTTCAGCTATCATTCGCGTTCAGCAATGCTATGATGACCACACACAGTTCTTCGAACCTCCTTTTTCCGTCGTCTGGCACTTTGAGTGTTGGCGATTTTACTCAAACCCCTCCTCTTCCCCCCTCTCGTCAGACACTTTCAGTGTTGACGATCTCGAACATGTCTCAAATCTTCCGTTTTATGGATCTGTCAGCAGAGATCCGTAACCGCATCTATAGCTATGCGCTCAGTCTGGACTTCTACGACAAGGCGCATGAGAGAAGTTTCACGAGTGGTTACTCGCACACCACAAACACAAAGCAGTACAATGTGCTCCTCATGGACCGCAAAACTTCGGAAGAGGTAAAGGCGATGATTCTTGCAACTCCCATTACACTCTCCTATGGTTTGGAGCTGGAGATGTCATCCGACTCGACACTCAACCCACCCCTGAGCTCAGAATCGATTCGAAACTACTTCCCAGTCCCGCGTCTTCGAAACACCTCGCAGCTCACGATACCGGACGTCGGGTACAGTGACAAGGAAACAGAGTTGCTCAAGGTGAATCACTTTCTAGGTCTTGCACTTCTTCTTCGCGAAGTGGCCGAGATCTGTCGCGAGGGCCACAAACTCAAACATGTGCTTGTTTCTTTCCAATCAGACTTGGTAAAAGATTATATCAACGAGTTGGCAACCTCTGGAGATGCTCAAAAGTGGATGTTTGAGGTTGTCAGCAGTCTCAGAGAGATTCGAGGTGTTGGAAAAGGCAGAGTCGTCTTCGATCTTGATATCGACCACCCTTCAACAACCAAAGAGCAGCTCATTACCGATATGGAGGCTCCACACAAAGGCTTGCTTTCGTTACCAAAGCATGTTCGCCAAAAGATCTACGGCTACGCATTGGACTGCAACCACGGGGTCAAGCAGATGACAATACATGACGGCATTAGACCTCTCAGGCTGACTACGCCAACCATGCTCCTTCTGAACAGACAGATCAGTGCCGAAGTCGTGTCATACATCCGGCAAGTTCCTTTGGAGATGACTTCCGACCCATCGGTGGAGGTTATCTTCCTGAAAAACACATTNTCCCTCGAGACAATTCGTCACATCAAGCATATTCGTCTGAATGTCCAGCGCTCTGCACACCTGGAAATCTTCTTGGCCTCGGATCTGGTTGAAGGTTGGACCGGTGGTGTTGAAGGGCAAAACGTCTGTCCAGCTTTGGAATGTTTCGAGCTCAACTATCATGAGCCCGGGCTGCGTAGGACTGTTTTGGAAAAGAACAAACGATATCCCCCGAAAGATCTCGCGGCTGCTATGATGAGATTTGCCACGATGAGGTCAATCCCGAAGGTCAAGATCACAGGGACTCTTCCAAGATGCTTCACCGATGCCATCAGATACAACATGATGCAGAATTCCGACTATAAAACCCAGCTTTCGCCTCACTACCTTGAAAACGGGATCAAGACATCGTCCGAATACGACGAGTATGACAGTGACAGCGAGTATGATCCGGAAGAAGACGATGGGGCACCTAAGACTCTGAAGGAATATGAAGACAGAACGAGTCAGGGCGAGAGAATGCCAGATTATTTCTACACAGAGTCTATGGAAGCAGAGAGACAAGACGAGCAGGACCAAGCATGGGCTGATTACATGCTCGCCGGCGCTCAGGCCGGACTGGACCTGTATCCTGAGGAGGCTTCTGAGACTGAGAGCGATGACGAGTTTTCTGAGGACGATGACGAGTTTCCTGAGGACGACGAAGAGTAATCGTAAGTCGTTCCCAGGCGCCAGAGTTCTTGTACCTAGCTAATCTTCCGAAGGATGAGACAACAATCGAAGCTGTAACTCGTCATCCATTGACGAACAATGTATCAGTGTATGATTCACCACTGGATATCAGTATGAGACTTACGTAGTGAAGGTTTCTTGATTCCCAAGCGGAATGGATAAGAACTGACGTTAATTCGCTTATGAATGGACGTAAGTTGGGCGGGTGGGCGGGTATTTTTGAGAGCTATATCAATATGAGGATGAGCATTGCAGTCAGAACAAAAACACACAATTGTTTTCAAGAATCTACTCATGTCCAGAGAAACATATCCTAATCTTCCAGCTCTCTCTGGATCAATCTGTACTTCCGAAAGATTCATGCATCTCAACAAGCGTATTCTAAGCCATCATGGTAAGAGGAGAGAGAAGGGCATACACCACTCCCCAATGCAACCACCTTCTGGAATCACACCCATAAGAATGCACGAAGGAATTCGGAGATACAACAATGTCCAGAGAAACAATGCACAAACACTCTCTTTCACTGGAACAATCGCTATTTTGGATAACATTGCGCACTTCCATAGCGCTATGATTTCGTGTAAGACTTTGAGAGTCCGCTATCACCTAGTAGAAACCCCTTGCAAACGAACGCATATGTTTCGAAAGCTCTCGCAAATGAGACTGTTATCCAAACATCATTACATGCTAAGAAGCCCCCTTAAATTCATCACCACTATTCCAGCCTATAAACATTGGTTTTCTTGTCGACCACAACAGGAAGTTTATTGTTCATCTTCGCCTCCCTGAGTTTCCACACCGGATCTTTATTCGCCCACCATTCTTCGGGATCTGGGAGATTCGCCCATTCTCCAAACTCCTCATACGTCTTTTGTTTATGTTGATGCTGTGAGTACATGTAGGCTTGAATTAACCTGCAAAGGGCACTGCCACTCAGACGTCCCAAGTCCATGTTTACCTCAGAAGCTATGTTGATCAATATTGGAGAAGTAAGACTGATGAAGCATCGATCCTTGAGTCCATCGTCTTCTGTCTGCTTAGGATTGGGAACGTACAAGAGCGGAGGACCGGCATGGGGCGTCTGGTCTTTCCACTCTGTGTCGCTCTCGGTGGTGACGCTGATGTATTCGTACCACCTCTCTGGGTAGGTTTCCATGGCTTTGCTCTCCCCAGCGTTCTCAGGGGTAGACATAGAACAGCGCTGTGCGTCTTCCACAACACAACCATAGGACGCTTCTTAGCTATGACTGGCCCGTCTTTGTGTGACAGCGTGTTTCGATCTTCCAGGCCTACATTAAAATCGCATTGGGGGTGAGCATCTATGGCTCGAATGATCTGACCAGGATAGAAGTGATTATAAGGCGTCAAACAAAAAGGCATCATTATCATTCAATGGAGACAAAGAAAATCCTACCATAAGAAAATCGACTTCATCACCGCATCCGGGCCGAATCGTTCTAACAAAGCGAAGTCATGTTTTTCTGCTTTCGGACCAATACAGATCCTTTGTTGAAAGAATGCAATGTTGCCCTCGCGCCATAATATCCTGCTCAAGTAATTCTCAATGAATCTTACAGAACCATAACAACTGTCCAACTACGGTTTCGGGGTTCTAACCCTTGGTTCATTATTTTATGCCACATCTTCGCTTGAGAAAAGATATCCTCGCCAAATTCGTTGCATCCATGGCGCCAATGAGCTATGCAGCCATAGTTGCGAAAGACTCAGGGGGCACCACAGGTGCCGTCAGCGCAGGCGTTACGAAGCCAAAGACTTCGCCTACTCATTCCAGCACTAAGAAACCGTCATCCGGATCCAAAAAATCGACATCTCCGTCCAAGAAACCTGTTCCGACCGCTACGGGATTAGAGTCAGCACTCAGACGTTCCTTGAGGCTCGAAGGCAAACCTCCAGAGATTGATCCACTTCCCACCACCGGCAAGACCAAGGAGCAGAACAAAAACTTTGTCATCACAAGTATATGGGGGGACAAAACACGCGAGGGCGCCTCTCTCAAAAAACGATTCAGAAAAAACAAGATAACAGGTAGTAACGAATTGGTTGCGTATCGTGCCGATCGAGGTCCTGAACACTTCTACCCTGGAATGATTATCCGGGCCACCGAAGCAAATTACCAGACCAAGCTCAAACTCTGTGTCGATGAACTGGATGACAAGGTACGCAAAGATCTGGATATAATGGTACACAAAGATGGTCCTGTTTACAGCAAGAAACGACCTATGGTGGTACTCTACAAGACTTTGATGGGACTCATGTGTGTGCCAATGTTTTCCAACACCGAGGGTATTGCGGGGAGCTCAAACAAGAGATGGAGTCAGATTGTCAGTGCCACAAGAGTCGGCGACGAGTCCTGGGAGGGGAAAACTCCTTGGGCGGGAAAGCCACTGATATTTGAAGCTTATGAGATTGAGGGGGGACAACCATTGCATGACAAATGCTTCATCAATATCGCGGAACCGATCCATATCTCCAATTATGAGGAGATACACGTCAAGATGGGGCGTTTGAGCGGCGATCAATACTGCAGGTTGATCAATGCTTTCATGTTTCGACAGTACAAACTCCTCAAAGCTGCTTTTGCCGATTACGGGGAAGAGCGTGGGCTCAAGAATCTTTGGGAGGCGTGGCAGTCGCAGAAGTCGGGAGATATGCTATGGCCAGCTGAGAAATCTGAAGAATGGAAGCAGATGGAGGCTAATATGAGTGAGAAGTCTCCACAAATAGTCAGCGAGACCGGTGAGTATACTTTGGTTTGAGAAGGGAGTTTTGGCCGGGTCGAATTTGTTGATGTCCCAGATACCACATGTATGAAGTGAACATCTGTTAAGGTCGCGTATCTGACAGCCGAAGTGATCTCAGAGTGTGCATCTTGACTTGGGTCTATGCGGGACCCGTTCAGGGATGAAAATCTGACAAGCATCGAATCCGCTAAAATCCAGCATACCTCATAACTTGTGAGTTCTTTGTGAAAGCTCTTCGACCTCATCTTTTGTTCTAGGCAAGATCCATGGTGAAATCCTGAGCAGACCCTAGACTGTCCTTTGTGCCAAGTTTACCTTGTATTGAAAGATGAAAGGGAAATCTTCCGCTTCCGGCAAAATCGAACCTCTTTGTTCAGCACGGCCGAGATACATGAAGTTAAAGGCCTGAGAAGCCTGTGGAGAAAGGGATCGCAAGGGCAAATCAGTCTGCTCTCCTCATATATACCACCTTTTTTTTTTTTTTTTTTGAAGAGAAGCTTGTAACAATGAGCGAAAAGTACGGCTCCGAAGAACTATACCGGACGAAGAAGGAGTTAGAGGAGATGATGGAGAAGAAGAAACGAGAACGAGAGGAAGAGGCGAAGGAGAAGAAAAGACAAGAAGAAGAAGATCGGCTTCTAGCTGAGAGATTAGATTTGGAGATAAGGACTCTCGCAGAGGGCTTTTCCGAGTACCCAGCCAAGGTCGCCGGCTCGACTGACGAAGAAATGCGTGACGAAGAGACCGATGAAACAGACACCGGAGGCGATAAAATCGAGCAGTGGGATGCGGACGTCGCTATTACCAAAAGCATAGTCAGACAAGCAGCCTCTAGTCCAGAAGCAGCCAAGAGATTGAAGAAGTACCTGTTGAAGAAAACAGAATATTCGCCTGTCAAGAAGAAGCCTGGCAAAGGTGGTAAAGGTGGTAAAGGTGGCAAAGGTGGAAAAGTGGTCAAACGGTCAAGTCCTGGAAGAAAAAAAGGAAAACCAACCGTAGGGCCAGAAGGCAGTCCTGGCTACGCTGAGGAGGTCGATGATTTCGAGTTGACCAAGGCCTTTGGAGGCTTAAAGTCATCCAGCCCCGAGGTGCCTAAAAAGTCAGGGCATACCAGGCACGAATCTGGACTACCCAGCAACATGAATGAAACGGACGACGACGAAGTGGATGAAAGTTGGTTCCCAAAGCCCCTTGGATTCGAGCAAGAAGAAGCACATCAGAACGAACTCAGCACCGATATTCAACTTTTCAAGGGAATGGCAACTCAGCTCGTACCCACCCATGGCTTCTTCAACACTCCCTACGGTCAGGTAGAATACTGGCAGCAGATGTTACAAGAGAGATCCGACACCTCGAATAACGTGAAAACAACCAATATCGGGCTCTGGACCGACAAGCGCAGAGTTGGACCGAACGTCGTCAAACCTGGCGACGTTATCAGAGCGACCTACAGTGTTGCTCAGAACAACACCGACGTAGTCTTTCCTAATCCTAACATTCGAGTATTCCGCCATGGACCTGTGTACTCCAAAATGAGACCATTGGTAGTACTCTGGAGCACCGACAATGGCATGTTGTGTTTACCACTGTACTCAGGCGAGTGGCTAAAGCGGCCAACAACCAAGGACTTTTGGAAGGCTGGCTTCATGACGGTTATCACTGAAGAATGCGATGAACCAGCAAACTGGGAGAGATACACGCCGGAAAACGGCAAGCCACTGAGCATGATCGTATCTCCAGGTGTACCACACTTGAAATGCGAGTCTTTTGTGAGTATAGATCGACCAATTTCGATCAGTAGGTCGGAAGCCGTACAGTATAAGCAAGCAAAGTTCACTCGAGAAAGCTTTGTGCGGTTGATGGAGGTCTATACGCACAGAGAGAACGAACGGAAGGAGGAAGCTTTCAGAGACCTAGGTCTGCAATATCCAACAGGAATTCCACCACGAGCACCAATGTCGGCTGCCCCTGGATTTGAGTACACCAACGCGACTATTAACGTAGCGAAGAAGAGGTTGAAGGATATAGGACTGTCGGCAAACGAGATCGAGCATGTGTTCAAATCATGAATAGTTAGCAGATGAGAGAGGAGCTGGGAGAGGGAGCTTGGGTTAGTCGATGTATGTCTACGCGTATCTGATACTTATCATTGAATTACAACTTCACGTTGCAGATTGCCGAGAAGTTGCTGAAAACAAGCAGTCGGATCAGACCCTGGGTGGCTCGCTGTTCTATCTTCAGAAAAGACCGCAACACCACCTTGTTGTCGCGTTGTTACTGTCCAGTCTCTAATCAATGTATCTGTGAGAAATGTTATGTTGATACGAACAGTGTACTTTCGCAGACCACAGCCGCACAGCAAGAGCTGCTATCAACAGTGCGGCAGATTTAACCACAGTCGTCATGGACATTGTACTCGAGGCATTGACCAGACGCAGGAAAAGTTCGTGCCGCATGCAGGATTCGGAGCATTCGTGCCCCTGGACTCGATCGCAGCGGCGAACAGACGAGCAGCCCTCGGTACTCGTCCTCTGGAGGAGTTGAAGCTGCCTTCCATCCGTCCACTTTTCGCGTTCGGAGCAAATCGGGAAACGGCTCCCCAAGCTGTCGTCGGCAGCGATCCCCGCACTCGTAAGTTGTGGGGGATCGTTCTTTCTCCACCTGAGTGGTCAGACAACAACATCAACTTCTCGTCTCCACGCAACATCTCGACGATGCCTCGAACTCGCAGAAGCGATGCTGTGTATAGGCAAGGAACTAGAGACCCTTGGTGAAAAGCGTGCCTGATTTTCTGAAGCGACCTGGTCGCTGGGTCAGGTTGTTGACATGCCAGGTCTTGAAACAAGCAAGCCCAGCGATTCGCATGCGTAACGTAGCTACCTCTGTGTACCTCTCGAGCGAGCGAATGGCGGAGCACCAGCTCTATCCAGAGTTCGAACGCCTGGTTCGAAGGCAGACAACGGGCTCTGTCATTGGATGCGGGGCAAAGGTTAGGAGCTGCAACTGCTGGTACAGATGACTTGTGATCGACCCCGCATCTCCTTCGTTGCCTTGTAAGAAGGAGCGAGTAACAAAGTGACTTCCCTCCTCGAAAAGCAGGTCTTCCCTCTTCTGCTCACAAGGTTCATCTCGTGAACGAATCGTAAACTTCCGGACAAACAAAAGCCTCGTTCCCAAGACTTGAGCATCCGCAGTTCCGATATATATACCATTATCTGCTTCCACCTTGATTGTTCTTCACGTTAACGACAACCACTCCCACTGGTGTATATGATTGTCATCCGTCTTGCGAATCAGATAGCTTAGACGTTATCAATCGTACAAGCTATCCCAGCCACAGACTACGCCAGCTGAGCAAGCAGTAGCAGACGGGTATCTGGACATCAAGGTAAGCAGTTGACTTCTCCACCACAAAGTCCCGGCATGTCCTCGTATCGTTGCCGAGCAAGCCATGGCTATCACGGGTAGCAACATCGTCTATCGCGGCTTCGAGGTCTGGAATGACAATGTGTGGACGGAACATCTCGCGGCCACGGCTTCCGGCTGGCTTGCAAGCTCTCTCCACACATCCCGATCCAAAGTCGTTTCAAGCAATCACGACGATGGACTATGCGCATGCTGTTGAGCATGCTCTAATAAGAGCTGTCGGCTGACATCTTTTGTGCACTCAGAACAGATCACAGAAGCCTCAACCTCTCTGAGTCACACCTCGACCATCGCATAACCGAGGTCGAAACAGCCTTCATCAGCGTATAACTTCGATCGAGCAAGATAGGATCTTTCTTGGAACACTTTTGTCTGCCGAATATGAGCACCACGTCGACCATCTCCGAAGCAGCGGCTGCTGCCCGCAACGCAGCCAAAGATGCACCTCAAGCAATGAAGGCAGCAGCCGAGAACCCTAGGAAGGCTACCGCGGACTTCCTGCACACACCATTCGTGCGCGCCGCCTTGCCATTCGTCAACGGCGGTATTGCTGGCATGGTTGCTACGAGTGTCATTCAACCGATTGACATGATCAAAGTACGCCTCCAACTCGCTGGCGAGGGTGTCAAGACTGGACCCAAGCCCACACCTCTCTCAGTGACTCGCGATATCATCGCCAGTGGCAAGGCTCGTGATCTATACACCGGACTCAGTGCAGGCCTTCTTAGACAGGCCGTCTACACGACAGCTCGTCTTGGCTTCTTCGACACATTCATGGCCACCTTGACCAAGAGAGCCAAAGACCAGGGCAAAGGAATTGGCTTCGCCGAACGTGCAGTAGCTGGTCTCTCGGCTGGTGGACTGGCAGCCATGGTCGGAAACCCTGCAGATCTTGCGCTCATTCGCATGCAGAGCGATGGCTTGAAGCCTGCTGCCCAGCGTGCAAACTACAAGTCAGTCTTCGATGCCCTGACTCGCATCTCTCAAAAAGAAGGTGTTGCTGCTCTCTGGTCGGGTGCTGGACCAACCGTGGTCCGAGCCATGGCTCTCAACTTCGGACAACTTGCCTTCTTCTCGGAAGCGAAGAACCAACTCAAGGACACATCTTTGTCGCCTCGCACTCAGACCCTGACAGCGTCAGCGGCCGCAGGATTCTTTGCATCCTTCTTCAGTCTGCCGTTCGACTTCGTCAAGACCAGACTTCAGAAGCAGACCAAGGGACCCAACGGCGAAGTGCAGTACAAGGGCATGTTTGACTGCTTCAAGAAGGTCGCAGCCGAGGAAGGCCCATTGAGATTCTACAGAGGATTCTCGACCTACTACGTGCGCATCGCACCTCACGCGTAAGTTTAACCAACACATATACCATGACAACGGCTGACGTGTATGACAGANATGGTGACACTTATCGTTGCCGACTACCTTGGCTTCATTACCAAGTAAGTACCTAGGACTGATGGACGAAGAAAGATGTGGAACGAGTGATGAAGAACGAAGAGGAGACCTAAGAGACAGTAATACCCACGAACGCTTTCCGTGTGAATAAGGATCAAGGCCTGGTGCCTGGTAGCCTAGAGATGGACATAAGCAGATAGCAGATTTAGTATTCCAAACAACATTGACTAAGATCGAAAGCTTGTGATCCGTATCGTTACACTTACCTTTGATTGCTGATCTTTTCCTCAAGGCCTTGAATCGTTCTTGTCACTGCCATGTTAGAGCACCAGCTTGATTCATCACTGGCATCGTGATACAATCTGTCCTACACGCGGTTGGATTTCATAGTGAAAACATGAATGCTTGAACAACAAATGCTATTCTAAGCATTTCTACTCTTCTTCCTCATCCTCGTCCTCATCTTCATCATCTTCATCCTCATCTTCATCTTCACTAACCTCCTCCCATGCTTCCTCAGCTTTTCTCTGTACCCCTTGGTCTTTTCTTCAAGATCTGCAAGCACCATCAACATATCCTCGAGTTCAGTTCTCGCTTTACTGGCTTCTTCCTTCTCCTTTTCAATCTCCTTCTTCTGTGCCTCCAACTGTTTCTCCAGTTTTGCAGTGTTGTCGTTGGAGGTTTTTTTATTCTTGGAGTCGGTAGAAGCGGTATCGAGTTTCTTCTTTGTGTCTGCCAATTCCTTCTCCAGTGCTTTGAGCTTGTCTGAGTTGTCGGGAGCAGCAGGCTTGGATTTGAGTTCGGAAATTTGGGATTCAAAGTCTTTGTTCGAGGTTTGGAGGTTACTGTGTGCGGTCTTGAGATCGTGGAGTTCGGATTCAAGATCATGGTATCCCTTTCTTTCTCCTTCCAGTTCTAGCTTTAGGCCAGAGACTTCTTGCTCAAGCTCGGAGATTTTCTGTTGTTTGGCATCGATGTCGGATTGCAAGGAAGAGATTTCCGAGGTGACGGTTTGGAGCTTGGTTGTGAGGGCTTTGGCTTCTTCTTCGAGTGTTTTGACGCGAGCCATGGCTTTTGTGTTGANCTTGTTGAAGATCCTTTTGCAACGTTTTCGTGGTCTCAAGTTCCTTTTCTAGCTTGGCTTTTTCAGACTTGCTGGTGTNNCGAATTCTGAACGAAGCTTTTCGAGGGTAGCTGTTGTGGCGGAATGTTCTTGCTTGAGAATCTTCTCGCTGCGGGCATGATCAGAGATGGCAGCCTCGTGCTCTTTGATTGTTTTGTCCTTTTGTTGAATAGTGGCGTTGAGGTCATCAAGAGCTTTACGGTGCTCGGAAGCGACTCGGTCAGTACGAATACGTTGCTCCTCTGCAGTCTGCTCGGTAGTTTTACGATGTTCTTCTGCAGCCTTGTCGACAGCGGCTCGTTGGTCGCGAGTGGCTTGTTCAGTAGCCTTGCGGGCCTTGTCTTCCCATAGCGAGCGCTCGCTGGCTAGAGTAGCACCGTGTTGTCCCTTCAAACGTTCCAATTCCTGCTTATGCTGATCGCGAAGTGTTTGGAGATTGTTGCGGCTTTCGAGTTGGAATTGTGTAAGTTGACTGCGTAGCTCACCAGATACTCGTTGGAGCTCAACGTCATGATCGCGTTGCAGAGCTTCGTTGATACGCTTGACGCGTTCAACTTCGGCTTCCATAGATCGCTGCGAAGATTGCAGACTCTGTATTTGGTGGCGGTGCTCTGCTTCGGCCTGGTCTGACTTTTGCTTAGCGGCCAGGTCATCTTGCTCTATTTGTTGTAGTTTCTCATCACGAGCTTTGATCTTCTCCCGTAAATCATCCAGAACATCGCGATCAACGCCAACATCTGAAGGACGGACGACCTCGATGCCGGGCTCGCGATCTATTACTCGCTTGAGACGACCGTACTCATCCTTGTACCAGTCAACAAACTCGTCGCCAAATAGGATAGCAGCACCCTCAATCTCAGGTGCAAGGAGTTCCGAGTCGCGAATGATGGGGTTTTGACGGAACTGCATCAGAGCGTCGAAGTATTTTTGTCGACCAAGTTTGGAGGTCAAGAGAGGATGCAGTGTTCGTCGGGGGATGGGGCTGTCTTTGGTACTGAACTCGTAGATCGTTCCAAGCAAAATAGCCGACAGGCCAGGTAACAGAGACTTGATAGGATCTGCAGCAACTTGTGAATTTGCAGTAAGAAGAGCGTTATCGATCAAGACACCCATGAGAGAAGAACCTTCGGCTAGGCAGTCGTTAACAGCTGCGGGGTCGTCGAAAAGGAAAGTGATGAGCAAGTTCAGGTATGAGATAGAAATCTGAGGGTCGAGGTCGTTTTGCAAGGTTGATAGAAGGTGGCCAGAAAGAGTTTGGATGGCTGTGATAACGTCTTCACCCTTGTCAGCATCGCCTTCAGACACGCTCATGAGCATAGACTTGGCATCTTGCAAGTTGAATAGAAGCTGGCATGTAATATCACTAGCAAAAGCAAAGCGAGGTGGATCGGGAGTGGCGGGACCGAGCTGAGGGCCGTTCAAAAGTGTGCTGAGAATGTTGATGTCCTCCTCCTCGCCCTCTGTATATCCAGCAATGGCTCGCTGAAGGAAATGAAGCTTGATTCGATCGTGACCATGGAAGTAGGCCTTGATGAGGGAACAGCTGGCGGACCGCAGGTCAAGGGTACGAGAGGGTGAGGCGGAAAGAACGAGGTTGAGCAAAGCCTCGATAACATACATGACTTTGGGTTGAACTTTGGCTGCGACACCATTCACAGGAGCAGGGGCTTGTGCAGTGACAGGTACTTGGAACGAAGCAAAAGCCTCCTGTAAAGGAGCGTTGAAGATTATGGCATCAGCGCACGTCTTCAAGGCGTTCATGCGAATGTGAGGAGCGGCTCTCTCATCGAATGCCAGAGTCAAGACAAGCTGCAGCACGCCGCTACGCCAGAAGACATCTTGGTTTTGCTTAGTACCCAGCTCACCTCGCTCGAGGAAGAGGCGTAAGACAGCAAGCAGACCCCAGGCATTCTTCTCACGATTGCTACGGCTGAAGTCGTTTTCATCGTCAGGCTGAGTTGAAGCCTGCTTGATCAAATCGAGCAAGCGTGGGATACAGCCGGATTCGCGGAACAAGGCCTGGTTGGAATGGCTGTGACGGATGAGGTTGGCAAGCAAGGAGAGACAGTCCTGGGCCACTATGCCACCTTCTGAGAGACCGCCCTCTGACTGGATGAGGTTGAAAGTGCGTTGAAAAGCGTCTTCGAAAGCAATGAGCTTCTGCAGCTCTGTTTGCGAGACATTGGTCAGATCGACCAGCAGGAGCAGGGCAGCATTTCGCACAGCGTCTCTTCCGTCATCTAGAACACCAACCAGTCTGGCAGTTCCGAGTGGTGCTTGGAGGATACACTCTTGAGTTCTCTCAGGTCTGGAGGTCGATATGGCGGTAAGGAGTTGAATAGAGTAAATGCGAGCGTAATAGTCAGGTTGGTCGAGAAGGTCTAGTAGAATGGTGATGTTGTCTTGACGCTAGGCCTTAGCTCAGTCTCGCGCAAACAATGTGATTCTTCTTGGACGGGAGCATACCTGACTGAACTCATCGGCCAACCACAGGGCAATGTCCTCGCTGGCCTCGGGACTCTCACGGTCGGGCTCGAAGAGCATGAGAAGCGTCTCGAGCACCAGACGCACAGTGTCGACATCTCCCTCTCCATCTTTTGTCAGACCAAGGCCATCGGTACGGAGAACAGCAATCAAGTCGCGGAGGGAACCACTGGCGACCGAAGCGGGATATTGTTTGGCGAAAGAGCGGAGGCCGAGGATGGCAGCACGTCTGTCTTCGAGGAGAGTGGCCGACGACAGGCGCGACGACAGGGTTGCGATTGTGTCGCCGGCGGTTTGCTTGATTGGCGCCTTCAACATTTTCGACTTTCCTTCACGCCATCTATTCAAATGTGGAAGTTGCCAAAAACAACCACCATGTCACTCAAAAGGACAGCTCCTATTCGACCTCGTACGAGTCGTGTATCGATACGAAGCCTCCAAGTTCGAGTCAGATGCGTGCTAAAGTCCGAAAGCCGACCATTGCTAGTGGCGCGCGGCGAGAGCGACTCCGCGAGTCTATGAGCTCAAGTCAAGTCAGTCTCTGCTGAAAGAAGCAGACTTTGTCCATTTGCGCGCCTTCCCTTTTGTCGCCTCTATTTCTCGCGTCATCCAGGTCGCAACCATCCATTTGTTCTGTTTCCTTGCCATTTTTCAGACACAGTCAGATCGCCCGCTCTGCAACCCCAATGACCTCCGTATAGAAATCCTCAATACCAATCAAGAAACCCCTCCGACCACCACGCCAACATGGGTGTCCCCGCCTTGTTCAGATGGCTGTCGCAAAAGTACCCCAAGATCATCTCGCCCGTCATCGAGGACCATCCTATAGATGTCGACGGTGAAAAGATCCCCATCGACGCCCGCAAGCCGAATCCCAATGGCGAAGAGTTCGACAACCTGTACCTCGACATGAACGGTATCGTCCACCCTTGTTCTCATCCTGAGGATCGCCCCGCTCCCGAGACCGAGGAGGACATGATGTTGGCCGTCTTCGAATACACCGAGCGCGTTGTCAACATGGTCAGACCCCGCAAGCTTCTCATGATCGCCGTCGATGGTGTCGCCCCCAGAGCAAAGATGAACCAGCAACGATCAAGACGTTTCCGTGCCGCCCAGGAGGCTGCTGAGAAGGACAAGGAAAAGGAGGAATTCTTCAAGATGCTCCGTTCGCAAGGCAAGGAACCCGAGGGTGGAGACGGCAAGCCAAAGAAGACCTGGGACAGTAACGCCATCACTCCCGGAACTCCCTTCATGGACATTCTAGCCGCCAGTCTGCGCTACTGGTGCTCTTACAAGCTCAACACCGACCCTGCTTGGGAGAAGCTGAAGGTCATCATCTCCGACGCAACTGTTCCTGGAGAGGGAGAGCACAAGATCATGCAGTTCGTGCGCTCTCAAAGAAACTCACCCCAGCACGATCCCAACACTCGTCACGTCATGTACGGTCTGGATGCTGATTTGATCATGTTGGGTCTGGCCACTCACGAACCCCATTTCCGCATTTTGCGTGAAGACGTCTTCGCCAACGACACGAAGCCCGGATGTTGTCGCATCTGCAACCAGCCTGGACACATGGCTGCCGAGTGCAAGGGCGTGCCCGCCAAGAAGGAGGGCGACTTTGGTGAGAAGAAGGGCGGTGCGCCTCTGAAGCCTTTTATCTGGCTGCACGTTGCCGTCCTGCGCGAGTACCTGGCTGTCGAAATGAGTGTCCCAAATCAACCCTTCAAGTTCGACCTGGAACGCGCTCTGGATGACTGGGTCTTCATGTGTTTCTTCGTCGGAAACGATTTCTTGCCTCATTTGCCCTCTCTGGACATTCGTGAACAGGGTATTGACACTCTGATCGCCATCTGGAAAGACAATATTCCTACCATGGGAGGTTATGTTACCAAGGACGGTCACGTTGATCTCGCTCGCGCACAACTCATTCTTGAGGGTCTCGCCAAGCAAGAAGATGCCATTTTCAAGCGCAGGAAGGAGGTAGAGGAGCGCAAGGAGGCTGCCGCAAAACGTAGGGCTCAACAGGCAAACAAGCGCGCTCGTAGATCTGGTGGTCCCGAGACGGGAGATGGTCCCGCTACTCCTGTCGGACAGTACATGGGCAGTCGCAAGCGTGGTGAAATGATACCCGACATCAACGCTCTGCCTACATTTGCTCCTGGATCTGCTCAGACCGGTGCTGATCCTCGCTACATGACCCACGATATGGTTGTCAACAAGGCCAACGTCGCCAACAAGAGCGCAGCAGCTGTCTTGAAAGAGAAGCTCTTGGCTCAGAAGAATGGAACACCCGCTGAGTCTCAGAAGGATGCTGTTGATCAACTGATGAGCAGCGTCGGTGCTTCGACAGAGACATCTCCTGCTTCAGTTCTCGGCAAGCGCAAGGTCGAAGACGAAGACAACGACGCTGGAACTCCAGGCCGCAACTCTCCTGATCCTGCTCAAGATGGTCCCGCCAAGGACCCTGATGCTCCTGCCGAGGACACTGTCATGCTTTGGGAGCCTGGTTACGCCGATCGTTACTATGAGCAGAAGTTCCATGTCCCAGCTGGCGATATCGATTTCCGTCATCAGGTTGCTCGTGACTATGTTGAAGGTCTCGCTTGGGTGTTGCTTTACTACTTCCAGGGATGTGCCAGCTGGACCTGGTACTACCCTCATCACTACGCTCCTTTCGCAGCCGACTTCGTCGATCTTGACAAGATGACTCTTGACTTCAAGAAGGGCAAGCCTTTCAGACCTTACGAGCAACTCATGGGTGTCATGCCGGCGCGCAGTAACCACGTTCTGCCTGCCGTCTTCCACCCTCTCATGACTGACGAAGATTCCGACATCAAGGACTTCTATCCCGAGGACTTTGTGGTAGATCTCAACGGCAAGAAGTTTGCTTGGCAAGGTATTGCCCTNTTGCCTTTCATCGATGCAAAGCGCTTGCTTGATGCCATGGCCACAAAATATCCCCTTCTTACCGAAGATGAGAAGTCTCGCAACGCCTTCGGTCACGATGCGTTGCTCTTCAGCACAAAACATCCTCTGTACGAGGACGTGGCTACAAATTTCTACTCCAAGAAGGCGAATGCTGGCAACTTCAGCTTGAACCCTCGAGTGTCTGAGGGTTTGGCTGGTAAGGTCGAGAAGAATGAGGACTATCTTCCCTCATCTTCGCTCACGTTCCCTCTTCCTGGCTCCACACCATTCCAAGATATCGATGATGACCAGAGTATCGCCGTCCACTATGTTATGCCTCCTACCAACACCATTCACAAGAGCATGCTGTTGCCTGGCTTAATACCTCCCAACCCTGTTCTCGACTACAGCGACATCGAATCAACAAGGCAAAAGTCACAGAAGTCAGGTAGACAGTTTGGAGGAGCGCCACTCTATGACCAAGGAGGTCGTGGCCGCATCGACTATAATGCTGGCGGCGGTGGCAACGGCTACAACAACAATGGATATGGAGGAAACAACGGCGGTTACAGAGGTGGCAGAGGTGGTGGAAACGGAGGCTATAACAATGGCGCTCGCAACGACAATTATGGTCGTGGTAATGGCTACGGCGCACCGCCCCCTCCCGGCGGCTTCCAGAACCTCCCACCTGGTCTTGCCGCACAGGCTGCAGCACACTTTGGCAGAAATGGTGGCGGTGGTCTTCCTCCACCGCCGCCTCCAGGCTGGATGCCTGGTATGGCTGCTCCTCCTCCTCCTCAACACCACCAAGGTGGCTATGGTGGAGGCTACAACAACAATGGCGGCAGCTACAACAATGGTGGAGGATACGGAGGTGGTGGCTACAATGGCGGCAGGGATAATAATGGCGGTGGATATCGTGGTCGTGGTGGAAGAGGAGGAGGTGGTCGTGGCAGAGGTGGATACGACAGATATTAGGAGTCTGCTGCTGGACACGCCGAGTGGCGGGAGGACGAAGAATGGGAGTCAGTCATAAAGACTAGCCTATCCCCAGATATTATCCATGCCTTCTTATTCTGTTTCGATGTGTCTTCAATGTGCTGAGCTGCAATCGACGAATGTGTTGAGGGAAGATCTCATTAGGAACTTGGACAAATTGTAACCAAGACTTGTAGTCAACACTTCTTGCTGCATTTTGTGTCTCTTAGAAACCCACAAATGCACGTTAATTCCAATCGCAATTTTCTGATACATTATTCCAGACCTGCTGCCTTCCATCAGTGTGTAATGCCTTCAGAAACTACGGAAATCCAGTGACCCTGTCTTGCCTGTCTTGACCGAGAGCTTCCCCACACATCTGTCCCATCTTCAAAAGTCACAGCGCCACAAACCTTCGTCACCATTCGAACACATCAATCGCAAAACTCTACTCAACATCAGAACCTCCGTCATCACCACTGACCGCTTACACTAAATATCACTAAACCCATAACCGGACGCATATTCTCAGACACTTTCCACAAGACACAATGGCCGACCGCAAGGGGGCCTACAGCGGCGCCCCCGCCAGCGACACCTCATTCCGCAAAACCTGGGACCGCGAAGAATACGCCCAGAAAGCGCTAGATCGCGAACAACGCATCAAAGACGAAGGAAAAGCCAAATACGAAGCCGCAGCCGCGGGAAAGAAATACCATCGCAGGGCGTCCACACCACCAGATGCTCGCGACACGGAAGCACGAAGGTCGCGTCTAGATGTCTCTGCACAGATCGGCAAGACCATGTTAGTGCCTGCCGGCTCAGCAGTTGGCAAAAGAGGCAAAGGCGCAGGTTTCTACTGTGATGCCTGTGACCTAACCTTCAAAGACAATTTACAATTCGTGGAGCATTTGAACAGTAAACAGCATTTGTACGCCACGGGACAAAGCGGCGAGGTCAAAAGAGCAACACTGGAAGATGTGGTGGAAAGACTGGAATGGTTGAAGAGGAAAAGGGAAGACGAGAAGGCGAAAGAGACTGTGGATTTGGGGACGAGGTTGGAAGTTGCCAAGGAAGAGGAAGAGAAGTTGAGGGAAGAGAAGAGGAGGAGGAGGAATGAGAAGAGGAGGAAGAATAAGGGTGGGGATGGGGAGATGGAGGTTAAGGTGGAGGTTGAGAATGATGGGGTCATTTGTTGATGGATGATGTGGTTATGCTGAAATGACATGGTTCAGCATGCATCACGTATATCTACTATATCGCTTTGCAAGACCAACCCCAGCAGGACTTTTCGCGCTACACCTACACCGGAGGCCAGCTCAAGCGCATATCAATACGACTCAGAGCATACGTCAGATGCCAATGTCGACGCTGTACACGAAGAAACATCTGGCTGTCCACCTGCATGACTCTGCTTTGATCCGCGAGTCTTTGCAGCTTTGGGTTGATTATGGACAGCAGCCTATCGCCACTGAGATGGACCCAGACTGGATTCAGCTCAAGGACACCCCTTTTTGAGGGGGAGGAGCAAGCTGTTCAACATGGTCACAATCTCCAGCGAAGGCCATTCGAGTAGGCACGAAAGTCACAAGATGAGCAACTGAAGCGTTTATGCCCGAGAAGAAACCTCGAACGATCAGCTCACACATACATGTGCATGAGATAGCATTACAGTGAAAACAAGTTTCATACAAATCTGCCTCCTACTCAACATGTTCATATCGTTGTATCATTCCATGCGGTGATTGTCTGTTCTATTCGAGATGATGCGGACGCGACTTTTCGTGTGATGGTCGTGAAATGATGATGCCAAGGCCGCAGCGATTTGCAGGGTCGGGTGGTGTTTTTGTGTGGAGTAAACAAAACAGTTTGGCTGCTGCAGCTTGCACATGCGATTCTTCGTGATTGCCCCTTCGAGTCCTTCCTTTCTTTCCAACTAACGACCCATACGCCCAGCGACCTAGACGACTAGAGTGAACGACTTGTCGCTTACTTCACCCATCCATGACTTTTGACTGAATACTGTAATTTACACAAGCCCAATAGCCGGCGCAAGCATGGACGACTCAATGGCAGAGTCCGACTTTGCCATGGATGCCAGCAGTGACTTTGAACTCCCCAAGAAGGCTCCTGCTGTAACTATTGTTCTTCTTCCTTTCACTCACTCTCACCTCTAACGACAATCACAGAAGAAGGCTCCTGCAAAGAAGGCAGCAGCTGCACCCAAACCCAAGGCAGCCCCCAAGAGACAAACCACTCTCAAGACGACCAAACCAGCCACAAAGACGAAAAAGCCGCCGACACCAGTAAGCGACGACGAGAACTCGGACGCCGACATTCACATCGACAACGACGACGACGACAGTCTACTCGCAGACACTCCTCCCAAGAAGGCCGCCCCCAAGAAAGCTCCTGCGAAGAAGGCTGCCGCAAAGCCGCTACAAGAGATCGACAACGAGAGTTTCACAGCCGAAGGCGCAGACATGGACGCCTCCGACAACGATAAGATGGTCCAGCCCAAGCCCAAGAAGGGCAGCGCCACCTCGCAATACCAGAAACTCACTCAGCTCGAGCACATCATCAAGCGTCCCGACACATACATCGGTTCCGTCGAACGCCTTGAGAAGCAAATGTGGGTCTACAACTCCGAGAATGAAGCCATCGAGAGCCGCGAGATCAGCTACGTACCCGGTCTGTACAAGATTTTCGACGAAATTCTGGTCAACGCCGCCGACAACAAACAGCGCGACAAGAACATGAACGAGATCAAGGTCTGGATTGATCGCGAGAAGGGCGAGATCGCTGTGCGCAACAATGGTCGTGGTATTCCTGTCGAGATGCACGAAAAGGAGGGCATCTACATTCCTGAGATGATCTTCGGACATCTCCTGACATCCNNCTCAAACTACGATGACGACGAGCAAAAAGTCACTGGTGGAAGAAACGGTTACGGTGCAAAGCTTTGTAACGTCTTCAGTACAAAATTCATCCTCGAGACGGTCGACTCAAAACAAGGCAAGAAGTACTCTCAGACATGGCACGACAACATGACAAAGAAGGACAAGGCCAAAATCACCTCGGTCAAGACCGACGACTACACCAAAATCACCTTTTACCCAGACTTCTCAAAGTTCAACATGGACAAGATGGACGATGATTTCGAGGCTCTGGCCAAGCGCCGTGTTTACGACATGGCTGGAACTTGTCCTGGTGTCAAGGTCTTCCTGAATGATACGCGTATCAAGATCAACAAGTTCAAGCAGTATATGGAGATGTACACCAAGGCCATCAAGACCGAGAGCTTGATCAATGAGGGAGTCAACAACCAAGTTATCCTGACTGACAACCCCAATGAGCGATGGGAAGTCGGTTTCGCTGTTTCCGATGGCTCTTTCCAGCAAGTCTCTTTCGTCAACTCAATCGCTACCACTTCTGGAGGTACACATGTCAACTATGTCGCCGACCAGATTGTCAACAAGCTGCTCGAGATCGTGAAGAAGAAGAACAAGGGTGGAGTGGCGCTCAAGCCTGCTCAGATTCGTAACCACATCTTCCTNTTTGTCAACTGCTTGATTGTCAACCCAGCCTTCAACTCTCAAACCAAGGAGCAACTTACAACAAAGTCTTCGCAATTTGGTAGCAAGTGTGTGCTTAGCGACAAGTTCCTCAAGGATATCGCCAAGACAGAAGCCGTCAACAACATCATGCACTTCGCCCAGCAAAAGGCCGATCAGGTTCTGAAGAAGTCAGACGGAAACCGCCGTACTCGCATGAGCAACACCAAGCTTACAGACGCCAACAAGGCCGGTACCAAGGACGGTTACAAGTGTACTCTGATCTTGACAGAAGGTGACTCGGCCGCCATGCTTGCCCTTGCAGGTCGTGCTGTGGTCAACCAGGATCTTTTCGGTGTCTTCCCTCTGCGTGGTAAAATGTTGAACGTACGCGATGCATCTATCGACCAAATCTCGAAGAACCAGGAAATCCAAAACATCAAGCAGTTTATGGGATTGCAGCACAAGAAGGAGTACACCGACACCAAGAGTCTTCGCTATGGCCACTTGATGATCATGACCGATCAGGATCACGATGGCAGTCACATCAAGGGTCTCCTGATTAACTTCCTCCAAGTCCAATTCCCCAGCTTGCTCAAGATCCCCGGATTTCTTCTGGAGTTCATCACACCTATCGTCAAGGTCTACAAGGGTGATCCGAAGTTCCCCAAGGCAAAGAAGGACTTCTTCACAATCCCCGAGTATGAGGCATGGAAACAAGAGCCCGGTCATGACAGGGGTTGGGAACACAAGTACCTGAAGGGTCTGGGTACTTCAGATACCAGAGATGCCGAGATCTACTTTAGTGATCTAGACAAGCATCTCAAGGAGTTCCACACCATGCAAGAGCACGAGAAGCAGTTGATCGACTTGGCTTTCAGCAAGAAAAAGGCTGATGACCGCAAGATGTGGCTCCAAAACTTTGTTCCTGGAACGTATCTCGACATGTCTGGCAAGGAGAAGATTACCTACGACGACTTTATCAACAAGGAACTCATTCTCTTCAGTATGGCTGACAATTTCCGTTCCATTCCTTCCCTGGTTGATGGTTTCAAGCCCGGTCAGCGCAAGATCTTGTACACAGCTCTTCGAAGGAATATGAAGAAGGATGTCAAGGTCGTTGAGTTTGCTGGTTCAGTTTCAGGTTTGACCGCATACTCATACGGTGAAGCATCTTTGCAGCAAACCATCATTGGTCTTGCTCAGACTTTTGTTGGATCGAACAATATCAACATTCTCGAACCCAGTGGCAACTTTGGTAGTCGTCTTCAAGGTGGTAGCGATGCAGCCAGCGCTCGTTACATTTACACCCGCCTGTCTCCTTTCGCTCGTCGCATTTTCAATGCCCACGATGAGCCCCTTCTCACATACAATACCGATGATGGCAAGACCATTGAGCCGGAAACATACATTCCCATCGTCCCTATGGTGCTAGTCAACGGTGCTGATGGTATCGGTACTGGTTGGTCCACTTCTATTCCCAACTACAACCCTGTAGACGTTATCGAGAACATCAAACGCAGAATGGCAGGAAGCTCAAAGACAGACATGAAGCCCATGCAGCCTTGGTTCCGTGGCTGGACGGGAGATGTCGAAGATATCGGCAACGGTCGCTTCAAGTTCACTGGTACGATTGAGCACAAGGACAACAACACGGTCGAGGTCACTGAATTGCCTGTCCGCTTCTGGACTCAGGACTTCAAGGCCCATCTCGAAGAAATCATCAAGGCCGAGAAGACTCCTTCGTTCATCAAGGATTACAGCGAGTACAACACACCTGAGAAGGTTCACTTCATCATCACGCTCGATGACAAGGGTATGAAGGTGGCACTCGACAAGGGTCTGGAAGACCAATTCAAGCTCAGTAGAACCATGGCAACCACCAATTTGGTCGCATTCGATGGTCAGGGCCGCATCCACAAATACGAGACTCCTCTCGATATCATGGAAGAGTTCTACCACATTCGTCTTGCATTCTACGAGAAGAGAAAGCAGTACCTTCTCAATGAGATGCAGAAGGAGCTTGACAAGCTGAGCAATCAGTCTCGTTTCGTCCAGATGATCATCGACGGAAAACTCATTGTTTCCAAGAAGAAGAAGTCTGTTCTTGTTACCGAGCTCCACAAGCTCAACTTCAAGCCCATCCCCAAGCTTGCCGATGCCAAGAAGCAGGGTGAGTTCGAAGAAATTGTTGAGGAAGAGGATGAGGATGCTGCACCTGGCGCAAATGACTTTGACTACCTTCTTGGTATGGCCATTTGGTCTTTGACCCAAGAACGTGTCGAGAAGTTGCTCAAGCAGATTGGCGACAAGGAGGCCGAGGTTGATGCCCTTATCAAGCTTTCACCTAGGGATCTCTGGACCACGGACTTGGATGAGCTTCTCGAGGAGTGGCACACTCAATTAGAGCTTGAGGAGACGCGTGCGAAGAAGTCGAAGGGCAGAGGCCGTCGCACTTCTCACAAGCTCGGTCTTTTGGGCAACAGCAAGAAGCGCAAGTCAGACGATAGCGACGATGACGACGATGATGACTTCGTTGTTTCTAAGAAACCGAAAACCGCCGCCAAATCATCTGCTGCTTCGAAGACTGCTCCTGCGGCGAGGTCCAAGGTTTCGAAGGGAGCAACAAGCCTGCTTGATAACTTCCTCACCAGACCGGCCACCACCAAGCCACCTGGTGTGTTCCCTGTCGTTGATGGAATTGAACAACAGCCTGTTGAACAACCTCCAGCAGTCAAGGCAGGTCTTATCGCACCTTCAGACATCACCAAGCCGTTGGTGAAGAGGAAGATGACCAAGATTGAAGACTCTGACGACGACATTGAGATGGTGTCTGAGCCAGTTGCCAAAGCACCAGTCAGGAGGATTAAGACTTCTCTAGACACCGATGACGAGGAGGAAGTCAGACCAGCTGTCAAGGCCGCTGCAAAGCCCGCTGCTAAGCCTGCACCCAAGAAGAAACCCGTCATCGAGTCTGACTCGGGGGATGATGATGTCGAAATGTTTGATGCTGCAAAGATGAAGCCCGCAGCTCAGCCTGCTACTACATCTCGTGCTGGACGTGCTGCTACAAAGAAGCCTGTCAAGTATGCTGCCGATTCAGACGAGGACATGTCTGACGACGATCTTGGCGATATCAGTAAAATGGTCAAGGAGATTCCCAGCGCAGTAGCTGGTCGCTCTCTTCTCAGCAATTCCGCTCATCGTACTGGTGCAAGCCACAGCATCAAATCTTCGCATGCTAGAAAGGAGAGTGTTGAGCCCGTGGATGACACAGACTGGGCAGAACTGGCCAAGGGCACACCTGCCAAACCTATTGCTCAAGCGACGGCCGCAACAAACTTCTCGGACGATGAAGACGCAAACATGGATGACGACAGCATTCTTCTCTCGACGCGCAAGCCGCAACCCCTAAAGACGATCTCCAAGACTGCAACAAAGCCCACTGCTTCCACCACTGCGAAGGCCAAGAAGCCAGCAGTGGCACCAGCAAAGACACTCTCTCCCGCAGCAAAGGCATACGCAGCAAAACAGTCCAAGGCCGCAGCTGCTGCCGCCAAACCAGCCGCCAAAGCATCAGCTGCATCTCGCAAAAGACTGCTTTGGACAGTGAAGACGAGGACGACGATCTTGCCAACGATATCTTGAGCGATGACGATGAAGACATGCCATCTCCTGCTGCCCCTGCTGCAGCCAGACCTTCGAGAAGAGCTGCTGCTGCCAAACCCAAGGCGAAGTATGTCCTTGACGATGAAGATGAGGAGAGCGAAGAAGACGATTTCGAGGAGGAGGAAGATGAGGAAGAGGAGACGTTCAATGATGATAGCGAGTAAGGGATGTGTGTTATGGTGGTGGGTGAAGAGGTTTCTTCCAAGACATTCTCCATTCTCGAGGTGTCTTCTTCTGCGGCATTGCTGAGAACAGCCGCTCTTATTTCGTATCGTCTCTTTCATTTTCACATGCATGGTTTTCAAGGATGGCGGAACGGCAGTGGCGTTGGTGAGGGTTGTTTTTCACTTCCCTTGTTGCTAGCTTTTTCTTTTTCTTTCTTCGGAATGGAGTCTTTCCCAACTCTCTTGATGCTTTACTTTGCGCGATTGAAGACAGGCTCTACCTGTAGACACATTCTTCCTTGCCATGTCTGCACGCAATGCACTTGAGTGACTGGTGATATGCACAAAATTCGTGATGTCAATCAGCGAGAGTACATGAAGCTGAAGGAATGCCCATTTCGATTTGGATCTTCGTTATTGTTATTGTTATCGTTTATCTCCAGTGTTTCTTTGCTTACATTGCGCCATTCGCTATGCTAATGCTAAACGCTTTATACTCCCATATTCAAAGAATTGCTATTGTTTTCCTTGTTCTTCTTGTTCTATCCACTCTTGACACCACCACCACACCAACACCTTCCTTCTCCTTCTCTTTCCACTTGAACGACTACATGCATGTTTAGTTGCAGGAAATAGTCGTTTACGCGTTCGCGCACGTCTTCTGGGTCGGCTGCTGACGCGCAGAAGACGTGAATGACGCCTAGGATTTTTTTTCTTTGGGGGTTCGTGAGAGTGGTGATCGTTATGTGCATGGTCGTGGGCATGATCATGATCGTGATGGTGATCGTGATGGTGATCGTGGCCATGATCATCACCCCATCATCCTCAACCCAGAACCTCGGCACCTTATACCCAACCACACCTCTCAAGCCACTGAGTTCCTGCAAAGCAGTCTTGAGTCCATATTCCAAGTCATCAGGGATAACAAGCAGTAATTTCCCGCCCGAGTCTCTGACCAAAGGGACTGCAGCCAAGAAAATCAAGACAGCGATGACGATGGTAGCCAATGGGTCCCACAGGTACCAAGGTTTCCAGAGTGTGAGGATCGTAGATAGGATCACGGCCAAAGAACCTCCTGCATCAGCGGCAACGTGCAGGTAAATGCCATGCATGTTTTCGTTGTCATGGGCATGGGAGTGATCGTGATCATGTCCATGATGCGCATGTCCAAATGCAAAAAGCCCCACCATGTTAACCAAGAACCCTAATGTGCTTACCACCAGTAGTTCCTCTACATGGCGCAACTCAGTCCCTTCCATAATACCTTCCACAGCTTCCCAGATAAACTCCACAGAAACCAACATGAGGAAAATGCCATTTCCAAAGCCTGCGAGCACGTTGAGTTTGCCCCAGCCAAAAGGCATTTCAGGACTTGTGGGCCATTTGCTGGCCACGGCGGCGCCGAGACCAATGACTAAAGCTAAACAGTCGAAGAACATGTGTACGGTATCGGACAGCAAGCCCAAAGAGCCACTGACCCAGCCGTAAAAGGCTTGAACGAGCATGAAGCCAAAGTTGAGGCAGGTGAAGTAGGCGATGCGGCGCGAGTCTCGTTCGCACAGGATGCTGTGGANAAGAGAGCCTGGGCGACAGCGGGCGAGCAGGAAAGAGGTGAAGAGGGATGTTTCGGCGTGTGTGTGGTGTTGGTGGCCATGGTGGTGGTTGCAATGTGTATGTGTAGAAGCATGAGCATGAGAATGGCCAGCGTCATGAGCATGTGGATGATCGTGGGAATGTGCGTGAGAGCGTGAAGTGTCGTAGAGGACGCCAACATAAGACAAGGCAGCGACGGCGCCGTTACAGAAAGTACCAGGCCAGGTACTAGGAGAGAAAAGTAAAGATGAAGCGGCACACAGGAGACATCCCAGAGCGAGACCAGACTTTTTGGTAGTACGAAGGTGTGCCGGACGAGCAAAGAGGACCAGAGCTGCAGTGATGGCCATGGAGAAAGTGGTAAAGGTGATAGACAGGGGCGTAACGGTAGGGGCGAGAGAGAAGACGATAGATGCGCCGATGGTGAGNNGGACGGAGAGGAGGGCACCTGCATACAGAGTGGTGGTGGTATCGGAAGGAGTGGCGATGAGAGGCGAGGTAGATGAGCCATTTGCTGGCAAGGGCGGGTGCAGTAAGAAGACCGAGGTCAGAAGAGCTGCATAGCCAGTCGCGAGGTGATAGACATCAGCATAAACAGTCATGCCAAATGCATCAGCCAAGACGCAAAGTACGAGTGCAGCCAGAGTCAGGGGTCGAGAAGAGAAAGATGCAAAGAAGGACTTCGAATGCCTGTCAAAGCAAGATATGCCTGAAGCAAGGGCGACCAACAAGACCAAGCCAACTCGCAGGCCGCCAATCTGGATAGCAGCATAATATGGTAGACCAACTCTGAAGGTGCTCGTGACCATGGCGAGTATTGACTGCAAGGTCAGAGGCCCAGGAGGGGTGAGGCCGGCGTTTGAGCTTTTCCGCTTGTCCAAACCTCTTTCTGAAGCGCGAATGTTTGCCAATATGGCAATGAGGAGGAGAGTGCCAGATGTTAATGTACATGCTTGTAGCAGACTCGAGGCATGGTGTGCGTTTGTGTAGTCTTCAATCTTCTTGCCGTCTGGTACAGCCTGTTGCAGACGCGCATATGCGGACAGAGGAGGAAAGTTGGTGTTGGGCGTCGAGTACGCGGCGGATGCGAGGAGGTAGGGTATGGGTATGAGAATGCCGGTCAAAATTTCGACGAGGGAAGACGATGGACTGTTGGATGATGTCGCATGAATGGGCGCATGTTGGGGGGCGTGGTCGTGGCTGTGGGTGTGATTGTGAGTATGCGCATGGTCGTGAGAATGGTCGTGTGAGTGGCCATGTTCGTGAGTATGCGCATGGTTGTGGATATGGCCATTGGATAAGGAGTAAGCGCTGTGGTCGCTATGGGTGCTCTGGCTATGAGTGTGACCGCGAGCTGGAGTCGGGTCGTGTGTGTGGTCGAGGATGTGCTCGGGGAAGGCGGCCGAGACTGGCGAGAGAGCGTAGCCAGAGCCTTGACGGAGGTGGCCTTTGAATGAAGGCTTCACAGGCGTGCGTATGGGCGACTTTGGACCAGCGAATGAGTATGTTCTGGTGTGGCCTCCATGAGCCAGGCCATTGGGGTTGAACTGATCCGTCTCTTCGAAATCGAGGCCGCTGTCGAATGCTTGGGTGGCCGTTGCGTGGTCGTCGTCGAAAGGGCTATCGTTCAATGCCCATGAGGGGCCTTGGCTCATCGAGAGCGGTCGACCTGTCGTCATGTTGGCTAGTTAAAGGTGCTTCTATTGAGCCGCCATGTCCAGACAGTCCAGAGAATATGTCCAGTCGAAGCTTCTTTGTGTGACTATTTGTTGAGAGAAGACAGACAAAGGAATGTTCAGAATGTGACTTCAGCTTATCGCATTGCATGTCATCTTCTCTACCTAAGGTCGGGCTCAGGGGTTGGTCTAAACTTTGATCTGAATCAGGGTTCGCTCTGGTTTCCACTCCCGCCTCCAGATCCGCCCGCCGCTCACCGCCCTGGAACGACCTGTCCGCCGTCCTTGGCAAAGATCCACAACCTGAAACACAGCCACCTTCTGCCAGCTTTCTATCCAAGTGACGTCGACATTCAGCTAAAGTCGTCTTGACCACGGTGCTGACCTTGCTCCTTCCTGCCAATTTCTCCCAAGGACAGGTCAGGTCGCCCAACATGGACGAGCTACCATTGATTGAGAGTGGTGGCCATCCTGCTCGCTCATGGCTATCATCCCTATTCTGGACTATTCTCCTTCCCATCGCTGTTACCTTGTCAACTCTGGTTACTGCCTTTATCCTCACCCTACCTTCTCCTTATGATCCTCAACAAGACCATCCGGTAGACGAGACTTCCTTCTCCGATGAGGACAAGCAAAACAAGCACTCTGGATATTCTTACTATGCCAAGAATTCTGCATCCAAAAACGATGCTTCCGTTACTGTCCTGGTGCTGGGTGACATCGGAAGAAGTCCTCGCATGCAGTACCATGTTGCCAGTATAGCTGCTCATGGAGGTCGCGTCAGTCTCATCGGCTACTTGGAATCTGAGCTTCTGCCAGAAATCAGAAACAACCGCTTCGTCACCGTCATCCCTCTGGCTCCTCCGCCTGAGTCTTTTCGCAATGCTAACAAGATGTTATTCCCTATTGTTGCTCCTTTGAAAGTTCTCTGGCAAATTGGAACTGTCTGGCATGCTTGTGGTTACCGCACAAAAGCCACAAAGTGGATGTTGGTCCAGAATCCTCCCTCTATTCCTACTTTGGCCATTGCACAGGCTATGTGCTTCATCCGCCATACCCGTCTGATTATTGACTGGCACAACTTTGGCTACACCATCCTGGCTCTCAAACTAGGCAACAAGCACCCTCTGGTCAGGATTTCGGAAATGTACGAACGCTACGTCGCTCGCGCAGCANNAAATGCTCACTTCAGTGTTACCAACGCTATGGCCAGAGTACTCAAGCAGCGATTCGGCGTCGAAGCTACACCTCTGCACGACCGACCCGCTGCTCAATTCCAGCCTTTGAGTCAATCTCAACGTTCTGAGTTCCTACACAGATGTCCAGAAACAGCACATTACGCCAAACACCTCGATCACGGCAGTTACAAACTACTCGTCAGCTCCACCTCCTGGACAGCAGATGAAGACTTCTCAATCCTTCTTGACGCCCTAGTCGCATACTCGGCGACCGTGTCCATGGCCACCCACCACTCCTATCCCAAAATCCTCGCCATCATAACAGGAAAAGGTCCTCTGAAAGACCACTACCTCAACAGAATTTCCACCTTAACCAAGGAAAAGAAACTTGTTAATGTCAAGATCTTGACCGCTTGGTTGAGCAATGAAGACTATGCCTCCTTCCTCGCCTCCGCAGACCTCGGTGTTTCTTTGCATACCTCATCGTCAGGTGTCGATTTACCCATGAAAGTGGTCGATATGTTTGGGACAGGACTTCCCGTGGTGGGTTGGTCGCGCTTCGAAGCTTGGAAAGAACTCGTCCATGAAGGCGTCAATGGATTTGGCTTTTCGAGCGCTGATGGTTTGGAAACGCTGCTTGAAGAGTTGTTTGGAAGTAAGGGAGCGAGAACGTTGGCGGCGATACGCAAAGGTGCTATGCAAGAGTGTAGTAGGAGATGGGAAGACGAGTGGTTCCCTGTTGCTGGCAAGTTATTGGGCTTGCAGAGAGAAGAGGAAAAGCAAAACGTCGAGGCAACAGTGGTGTAGAATATCCCGTTGGATCCGGTGGATGCGAAAGGCGCTTCATGATCTTCAAAAGAGTTTCTACCATGATCTCTTTGCATATAAGGAAAAAGGTATGTTTACCAAAAGCACCAGATCTTCCACACCGGCTGCCGGCAATTGGGCACACGTGGTACTTACTCTAAATCCCGACGAATGTACTCTACCTTCAATCATGAAATGATATGGCCACTAGTCGCTTTTTGTTCGGCACGCGATTCGCTGCGAATTCGTATATGCAAGCTTGAGGTTGCTATTGTACTTGACCAATGGCCGCGAAGCCGTTCTCCCTGTAGCTTGCTGCAGTGTAACGTTGGTGACGAAGTACAGGCTATAGTCATCAAACACCATCTCCAAACCTCCTTTTTCCCATCTACGATCTACTGACTCCAGCTAGGCACATCTACCCAAGCTTAATCAACGAAAGATGGATCAGAACACCTCCTTGCTCGAAGCCATCATCTTACCTCAAGCCCGCTCTCTTCGCCCCGGTAAAGGCAAAGTAACCCTCTCACCCGGCAACACTTCACAAGTGGGTCATTCGCACGACATCTTCATAGTGACTCTAGCAGATGGCTCCAAAATCATCGCTCGTGTGGCAAAATCAAGTCACCTTGACGGACTCGAACGTCGCGGCGTCCAAATCCTCAAACACATAGCATCTGCAAATCCAAATTGTCTTGTTCCTGAGGTGTATTGGCATAACCTCGATGACCAAAAACCATCAGGACAAGTACCCATCGTTCTGCAAGAGCTTATTCATGGTAAACCACTAAGTGTCTGGAACTCGCTGATTCCGCAAACTCAGCAAATCTGTTTCTTGGATTCGCTGGCTGGGTTTCTGGTTGAGTTGTGGTCGATCCCAGGTTTAGGGTGTGTTGGGGCAGAAACACCGAATGTACCATACTCGAAGTGGTTGCAAGACATGCTTGACAGAGCTATCAAGAGATGCATAACAGGCACCGGTAAATGGGGCACTACACGCGATTATCTGGTTATGAGGTCGATGATCGGCTACTACGCTTACGACTACGACTATATCGCTGAGTACGGAATCGCACATGGCGATTTGCATGCAAACAATATCATGGTAAACGACTTGTTACAACTGACTGGGTATGTGTCAAATTGCATACCACCCCACACATTCATCAAACATCGCAAATTCATCACCACTGATACACAAGACTCAACAGTNGTTGTCGACTGGGATTGGGCTTTCGAAGCTCCTCTCCCAGCAATCGTCCAATTCCCATGGTTCATTGCCGATGTACCTGGTTGGCATAACGATGGCACAAGTCCTGGAGATTCCTTCCGCGAAAACAGAGATTATCTGGTGCAAACCTTGAGAATTGCAGAGATGTCCAAGACTGGAAGTGACAAGTTGTCTATCTTGCTGGCTAGCGCGAGGGAGCGGCAGATCTTCCAGTCGGCCATCAATTTTAGAGACATACATAAGGAGTTTGTCGCTGGGGATCAGAGGTTCCAGGTTGCACGAAAAGAGGATATGAGACCTGAGCTGGAAGCTTTCTTGGTGAAGCATCCAGATCTGAGGGATGCGTGTGAGGTTAAGCTGATCATGGCATCGATGCAATGAACAAGCTTGACTGAATCTTTCAGAAAGCATGAGACGTCAAAGAAATGCCAACGACAACACAGAAAGAAGAAGGAAGAGAAAAAGAAAAACATCCCTGAACGCTCAGGCGGGATGGTAAATGTAATATAGAAAGTGGTGTAGAGAAAACATATTTTGGTCAACCCACCCAGAAAAGAGTTGCTTTCCAACAGCACCTTTCGTTCTTTTCGCTCTTTGGTCTTTTCGCTCTCGAGTCTCTCTCATATCCTTTTACGAAGCATAACTTTTGGGTACACTGGTTAGAGAGCTACAAGCATGATGGACGAGATACCGTTGTTCTACGAGGAAGTCTCGTCAAGCTTGGTCTTCTCGAGGTCGGCAGCGACACCATCAGCAGAGTTACCGTTGGTGTTTGCGCCGTTCTCAGAGGTTTCGGCTTCGAGGCGTTCAATCTCCTTCTTGGCCTTTTCGATGTTCTGGGGAAGAAATATTAGCATTATTTAAGTGATGTTTTGAAGAATCAAATCTTACCTCCTGAGTCTTGCGGTCCTGGTCCTTTTGCCAGCTCTCGAGCTTGGACTTGATCTGCTCAACAACACCAGCAACAGCGGCTTGCGATGATGGGGGCTGGACATCGATCTTGGCGAGTTGCTCGATAACACCGAAAGACAGGTTGAACTTTCCAGCAGCGGCTTCGGGGGCGGGAGAGGCGTTCTGGTTCTTGCGGTTCTTCTTGCCCTTCTTGCCTCCGTTGCCGGCGAAGTAGTCCTCGTCAGCCTCGCCCTTGCGGGGAAGAGCAGTTCCCTTGATGCCAGTGGCCTCGACGGTACGGCTGGCTTGAGCGGCGAACTTGCCAGGGCCAGCGGCAGCCTTGGCCTCTTGCGATGAAGGGTCGAAGTAGCGGATGAGGGATTGGGCAGTCTGAATTTCGTCACCGTAGGCAGGGGCGCTGGCCTCCTCGAGCTTGGCCTCGGCGACCTGCTTGCGCTTGCCGGCTTCGTAGGCGTCACGCTCGGCCTTTTGGCGCTCTCTGCGCACGCGGTATGCCTCCTTTTCGTAGTCGGCGAAGGCGCGCTTGGCTTGCCAGTACTTGTCCTTGATGTCCTTGAGGTTGGTGTATGCGACCTGCTGGGCCTCGTTTGCGCGGGTACGCTCGTCACGGAGCTGGTTCAGGTTCTTGAAGACCTCGTCCTGCTTGGCCTTGATTTCGTCGAGCTCGGTGGTGATCTTGGTGTACTCATCGGAAAGAGCCTTGCTTGCCGGGTCGTCCATGGACTTCTTGATGTCAGCAATCTGGGCCTTGATGTCGTCAATCTGCTTCTGGGCCTGCTCGAAGCCAGCGAAACCCTTCTTCTGCTTGTTCAAGGCGGTGATTTCGGCGAGGTTCTTCTTCTCATCGACAATCTTCATGGTGCCGGTCTCGACTTGGGCTTGCAGACGGTTGATCTCGTTCTGGATGTCGTCGACGGAGCGGAAAGCGACACGGCTGCGGGCAGTCTTTTGCTCGTTGATGCGCGACTTGAGCTGTTCGTCCAGACGCTGGATCTGACCGAGTTGCTGGGCGCGACTCGACTTGCCCGACTTTTGTGCCTCGCGGATCTCGTTCAGTCGTGCGCGCAGCTCCTGCTGTCTCTTAGCCTCGGGGGACTCCTTGTTGTTGGGGCGCGAGTCGAGCTTGGCCTTGATCGACTTCTGTGGTCATGCATTAGTAAGAGTCCTCAAAAGACTAGGATATTCAAGNNAACTTGCCTGTCTCTCAACAGCAGCATCGAGAGCCTTTTGTGCTTCAGCGAGAGTCTTCTCGTACTCAGCCTGGTCGGGCCTCTCGGGCTTGGTGAAGGCGGGCTTCTGAACACCGGCATCGATGGTGCTCATGGTGGCAGCAGACGGTGTTGCGAGGTCGGCCATTGTGTATTGTGTGCTGTTGCTAGGGGAAGACGGAAAGGGAGAAAGAAGCCAGCGTTACCCAAATCCAAAGCCGTGCACACACGTCTCGAGTCTCGACGACGGCTCAATTTTAGACTCATCTCGGCTTGCGGAGAAGGTGCCGCTTTCCAGCCAATCACACCACAAAGCGCTACTGTGACTTGAACGACACCTCCGCCCTCGTTCTATATCGCTTCTCGACTCATCACACTGATTTCATTTCAGAGGTATAAGTGTTGAAGTAGATCTATTGCTCTCAAATATTCATGGACGTCCCTGTGGCTGCCAATGTGCTCGGCACTCTCGGAGCCGTATGTCCTCCATCATTTCGACGAATTTCCACAATTAATTTGACCTCGTGATGTATANNGGTGTGTTGGTCCGTTCAGGTACATTCATTTTGAATCCATCCATCTAAGCACCAATTCTTGTCACTCAGCTCATTCTCTCCTTATAAACTCGTTTCTTGAGCGAAAACAACCCACAACCAAGATAACAGCGAATGTAACCAGACACTGACACATCCAAAGTTAATCCCTCAAATCATTATAAACTACCGCCGCCACAATGCCACCGGTCTTCAACCCTCAATGATGATGTTCTGGGCTTGGGCAGGCGTTCCCCTCGGCGTCTACAACATAACCTCCTCCTTCAACATCGCCCTGCGCATCCAACCTCAAATCCTTTCGTTTCTGTCTCTGCTCACCTGGATTCAAGTCTACCACTACGAGAAAAAGTGGTCTGTAACCCGCAGTCTATTAGTTGTTGTGCCTATTGCTTGTTGCATGGCAGGCATTGAACTGGGTTTGATCTTTGCTCTGAGGCATGGTAGTGAGAGAGGTATCGACTGGCCGCAAACGCTCATGGCTGTTCTTGCAGCAGTCTTTCTTGCTTGTGGTGTGTTAGCTCACTATTGGGATATTTACACCCATAGAACGGTTAGAGGCATCTCTTTTACGTTTTGCTTCATCGACGCGTTGGGAGACTTGACTTCTCTGATCTCAGTGTTTTTCCAACCCAAGCTTGATGTTCTAGGGATCGTCATCTATGGAGTGGAGTTGGTGCTCTGGTTGGGTATCTTTGCTTGTGGAGGGTACTATAATCTGACACCTTGGTTGAGGGAGAAGAGATGGACACGGACAAGGCATGGTTCTGAGAATGCCGGAGATGGCGTTTCCATTCACGATATGCCGTCTTCTACCTCGGCGTTCAGCACTTCTTCTGCCCAGGTTGATGTTGTTGGTTTGCGCGATCGACATACAGCTACAGCATCGCAAGCATAAACATGTCGTTTATCGTTCCACAGTTGCATCATGGCTGAACTCCGAGCAAGGGTCAAGAACTGATAGAGGTGCGAACTCGTACTCGATCGATCAATTCCTCTGGGAACAGGGAAGCGCGCCTCATTGCAGCGAGTAGGATTCGAACCTACATCTCCCCTCCAACACCACCAATTCCCTTCCCCTCCACGCCCCCGGATAGCCGTCCCTTGTGTTTGCAAATTGGACTGGTTCCGACTGGGCGCGTCTGAGCGTGCCTAGAATGGCATGCTTGTGTTTGCAAGACATTCAATGGCGAAGGCGCCCTAGCCATGGGCCACCGCCGCTTTTGTTACCATGAAGTTAGTTTTGGGTGCAACAGATGAGAACAACTCCTCGTTGATCTCATCGCTCTCGACAAATGAAGCCGCAATTGGTGATCTCGCGATCATGCAGGCAAGCAAGGGTGACAAGACAAATTCGCAGCCACAAAATCGACATGGAATTATGCCGTGTTTGAGTGGATCTATGGCAGTCGAAGACTCGAAGGATTGAAGCTAATGCAAGTGTTTAGGCTTCTTCTTCACGGATGTGATCTGACCACATACAAGCCGTCTTGATCGTGCACGCATCGGCAGATTTTTGGCGTGTAGCACAATAAGAAGTATGACAGTGCGGTCTGGCAGACATGGATACTAGATAGGTGCAAGCAAGGGGATTGACGCACCTTCTTTGCGCTTGCCGTATGCGAGGCGGGTCATGAAACCTCCATAGACTTCTGGACATGCATGTTACACATCGGGGGACACCGGACCGGCGGCTCACGCCGTATATGCACGTCGATCGTGCCTTCCCGACTTTGATTGTTGACTTGCTCCCGTCGAATGCATGAACGCATGTGAGAGTCGCTGCTATCCGGAGAGTGGGTCAGGTCTTGCTTCTCTCGAACGTATTTCGTGTAAGCAATACCTGCCGATTCGACGTCGAGCCCTATGGTTTGATTCCAGCTCTGGCTTCTAAATTATCATTTCCTTCTAGCGCCATGATCAAGATCCTCTAAGGGACAACGAACCACAATGCGTTTCATCGCTACTAGCATGAACAACGCTATTGAATTGCGTGCATTCCAACCGCGCATGGCTCGCATTTTGCCGCTCTCATCACGCCGCAGCTCCCTTGCTTCAGCTTCTCAGACTCATCATATTCTGCCATATTCCGCACCATTGCTGCAAGAGCCCATCGACTTCTACTGGCTCTATACTGAACAGTGATAGATATCTGCTTTCGTTTTGGCAAGCGGTTGTACATGGCTTACATACCTTGCCGCTCAACAATCACTTCGACATCTCACTGGTGGCATTTCTGAGTGGACTCTGCACAGTCCGATTTTGCATTGCGATGGCAGTCGATGCAGGATGTCAACATTGAGGAGTCTGAGGTTCTCTGGAAGTCTCGGCCGAGCATAAAACCCCGACTATGATCTCTGGAGATGATCGTTCAACTCCCACTTTGTCTTTCATTCCATACCGGACTATCCGAGTGGCTTTCACCGGCATTATTCGCCCAGATGCCTGACCAAGATGTCTTCCCTTTTCTCCAACTGCCTCAAGAGGTTCAACTTAGAGTTCTCGAATGCCTAGCATCAGATGTCGGGACACTTCATAAGGCCATTCAGGTCAACAAGCTTTGGTATCAACGAACTATTGGCTTGTTGTGGAGATCACCTCCAAACCCGTACCTACAATCGGCAAAAATCGAGAGAAGTCGGCGACCGCAGTACGCCAGCATGATCCGCACCCTCATACTCACACATCTGGATGAGGATTTTGAGCCAAGTGTTATGTCTCTCAGATTCGCCGGCACCAGAAGTGTCTATTTTGGAGCGCATCTCACTCTTCAGCAACTCCATCAATTCTTGCATCCAGGTTTGCACGCTATCGGTATCTGTCCCAGACAACCATTTTCGGCACAAGATCTTGAGCTCATACAGCTTCATTGTCCTGGACTACGATTGGTTATACTCGACGGCTTTCGTTCTGATTGTTCCCCGAACACACTCATCGCTTTCATGCAGAATTGTCGACATCTCCGGTCAATTCAGCTCTCGCATAACATGTCCATGGCATCTGCGAACTGCATACTACCGTTCCTGGCAACACGTGATATCGATGAAACCCGCCGTATTGCCGAAAATCTTGAAACACTGATGATATGTAATCTCGCACAAGTCAGGCCAACGGAACCGCAGTTTCCAGCGCTTGACTACTCAATCTGGGGAAGATCTGATCACTTTCTTCGATTTGTTCAGCAATGCACTTCTCTCAAAAGCCTAACTCTAGGCTGTACAGCCAATCTTCTCGTATCTGAAGAAGTACTTGCATATCTTGCTGGCCTGCATTCGATCTCCAAAATCATGATTCACAGGCACCTTGATGAAGCTTTCATTCGCTCGGTCCTGCAACTCATGTCAGGAAGACCGCTCTTCCGTGGTCTTCGCGACATGGCATTGTGTGTGGAGGCACAAGCATTTGCACTGCTTGCTCCCTGGATAACCTCAATCACAAGCTTGTCACTCAAGATAGATGACCCGAATAACGAGATCTGTGGGCTTGTTGGCCAATTGCCATGTCTCACTCAGCTCATTCTGAAGTTCTCATCTACCAAGGAGTTTTCTCGCAACGAGCTGGCTTCTCTGGCCAAACTCCAAGGTTTACTTGACTTGCGACTGGAGGCCAGCCGAGATCTACACGATGCCTACCTCGCAGTACCCTGGATGATAGACTCTGATTTTGAAGACTGGATGTGCTCTTTTCCACACCTCAAAATACTCTGTCTAGACTGGAATTTTGGCGATGTTCCCCTCACAGCCAGGACCACTGCTAACCTTGCACACAAATGTCCAGATCTCATCTCGCTTGCCGTACTATGGCACCACAATCTTGACCTATGGATAGCCTCACCTCCACTGTTCGAGAATCTCAAGGTTATCAGCTTCAGGTGTATGAGCCTATCGTCGGGCAACAATGAGTAGGTTTTTTTTTTCCCCGCTGTTCTCGGTTTGCGCTGATGTGAATCTCCAAAGTCTCGAAACCTTGCAGGTGCAGGCAGAAGAATTTATCAAACAACTTCCCAAAATCGCACCGCACCTACGTGAGATATGTGTCTTGCATGATTCGAACTTTGCTAGACGCTTGGAAAGTCAGTGTAAGATTTCGAGGCTGGCCAGACGAGGCTACGGGACCATCGTCTCGATAGGCAAGATTGGGAATCTGGATGTGTTTTTGCAGGAGTGGTGAGGAGGTTCTAAGGTCGCTTTCGGTCTTGACACGAGACTTGTATATGGTCGGAAACTTTTGTAATATCTTGATCGTTCTTTTTCGGTAGTCAGTCTAGGCTGATCAATACATCGATCTTCATTCTTGCTTCAAGACTGCCAAGATGGCAGAAACTTCATCTCATCCTTGTGAAGCCTTGAAGTTCGGGAACCCACAGAGTATCTGTTGTTCGTGCTGATCTATCGTATCTCGACAGCATAAGGTCAAAGCACGAGGTGACAAGGTGATAGGTCGCATCTTTGCTGGAGGATGCATCTGTCGTTCCTTCTTGTTACCAGAGAAACACATATCCGCCTAGTCAACAAGCAAGTGCTTACCCCCGACTTGATCTTCATGTGTCAACCTAAACAAAATAGATGAATCTTCACAGAAGATAGTTCTCCAGAGGTTGATCAGAAAAACAAACAAACGGACGCAAGGAATCAACAAAGAATGGACAACCAATAGGCAAAGAAAAGGCAGGTCTTGGGCATTCTGAAGGCGGCAAATAGTATGGTGGATTGAGATGTTCATCTTATTCTTTCGATGGTTCGAGGCTCCTTGTGGACTAGGCATTGTCACAAAGATATGATTTTGGAAGTTTTTTGTCCTGTATTGATGATTTCTCGGTATATCTTTCCTTTTGGCAAATGTATATCTTGATTGTATGGTGGCCAAGCAATACATATGAACGGCAAAGTCGTATAATTGACATCTGTTTATATGCGCTTTTGCCTTCTGCTGTTCCGGGAATTTGCACACAGGCCTATAGGTGTTTCTGGATTGCTTAGAAGCTTTGAGAAGCTAGAATCTCTGGTCCAGTGGCAGTCCCATACTCAGCCGTTCCCTAGTCGTCTTTCCCGAAAACTGTTTGTTGCGAGGGAACAACTTGAAGAGGAATCTCTTGAGCCAATCAGCTTCCTTGTGGTGTCCAAGATGCCTCAGAACAAGTCGCAAATCCCTGCATTGTTCGACTGACGATATCGCGGCCTTTTTCGACGTTATACTATGGAGAGGATGATCCTGGCCGTGGCTGGCAGCCTGCCACCACTTGTACAATGGCCATGGGTCCGGTTGCTGTGGATGGTACAGCTTCATTCTGGCCTGGAGCAATGGAGCAAAGCGCTTTGGGCCTTTGCCGTTCCAGACATAGAAAGCATCCCACAATGCCAGACTGGTGTTGGGAAACCTCAAAGAACTTCTTATCCTCTCATAAGATCTTTGCGGGTCTTGATCCGCAGGTCTGCAAAGCATTTTATGGCAGAGGTTGGCTGCCGACCGAGTTGGAAGTAAATACGGAACCCGCGTCCCGCGAAAAAATGTCTTCAGAGCTGCGTCAAGACTGTTGTCGGTTGCAAAATGTGCTTTTGCCTCTACGAGTGCGCAGAGAGCTGCTTGGCGCCAGTCATGGCGCAGATTGAGGTTAGAATGCCCAGAATCGCTAACCGGCTTTAGAGACTCTTGACTGATCCAGTCCCATAGGAGTTCCTCCTTACCCTCACGCACCAGTAGAATGGCAATGGGGTTTATCAAATCGGAATCATTTGGATACTTTATGCCGTCGTAGTGGTCCCATAGCCACTTGATAGCAATTTCGCCCACTCGAGAGTCGATTTGGTTCAAACGGACTGCATCCTGCAAGCACGAGACTGCCAATGGTCTTGTGAGCGTCCCCTCCGCGAGGTGCGCGCGAAAGATATTTGAGGGATCCTTGTCTTCGGGTGGCACCATTACATTGGCCAAATCTAGCTTCCTAGCGTTCGTTGTGGATAATGTGCGGTGGTTGATAGACCAGGACCTGACAAGTGCAGCAGGTCGGGAGTGGCCAAACGACCATGGTGAGATGCGATCAGAAGCGACATGTTTTGATGTCTGAGAAAAGCGGCAGATGCGTGTGAAACCGGCTCGTAGATTCATTTTTAATGAAGTTGAGTTGTTGAGTTGAGGATAGAAGTCGAAGTCATTGTGGCCATCTCTTGACGCGCTGGCCAAGGCTTGTGTAACATATGCGGCGTCGATCATTGGCTATACCGTGCCGCAATCCTCGAACTTTGAGAGGAGCCCAAGTGCAGAACCATCACGCTTTCGCATCTGAATTCAGCGAAGTTCTCTTGAACAGATCAATCAAAATGATGAACGTTTGTCAGAAGCAACCCGCCTGCAAAAGCCTTGTGCTCTAGCATGGCGGAGTTGCTGTGCCCTGCTTCTACAGCCGCGAGCGCGTGTGCTGATGTGTTGGTGCTGATAAGTATGTTCCAACGCAGACAAGTATCAGCTCCAGAAGACTTCTTGAACCTGCATCGAGCTTGATGGACGGCTTTACACGCCACGCGGTCCTACCGCCCACGGACAAGGTCAAAAGCAGCTGCAAGCGAACATCACCGTGTGATCACGACCGTTCAGATCTTATCAAGCAGGATTCGGCATGTTTACGAGAACCTCGTCATGGCTCGTGGACAACGTCGACAACTGTATCGACGTTTCGTTCAGCTTGCCCAAAGCAGGACCATGGCAAGCACGGCAAGAACGTCCATCGGGAATCAACGGTGCTGGGCGCATGTTCGGCTTCTCCATTTCCATCTTTGGAACAGACCCTTGTATCTTCAGCTGAGATCAACAGTATGGATTACTTTGGTCGAGAGTCGTGAGGGGCACGTCGTTGCAATGTGCATTCAGGAGCCTTGACGCGTCCTCAAGCAAATTCGTGCGATCACGCAAGTCTGCTTTCGATTCGGAATCCGCAACTTGCCCTAACACAACAGATATACAAATATTCGATGCCGAGCATGCGAAATCAATACTCTGTGGGTCAAATCTCGTTCTATCAATAATTTCCAGGAGAGAGATCTTGACTCGGCATGAGAAATCGTGTCTCTGAGAGTACCGAAGCTTGGCAAACAGGGGTGCATCGAGACTCAGATCTCCGCAAAATGGCGTTGGCATCACAAGCCCATGAGCTTCACAATTGACCTTCTTGTCTTTACCAACTCGATGCATGACCACAATCCCTTTCTGCTCCTGCAGCCGTGCCTACTTTTGAGTGCAACAGGTAAACAGACTGACTCAGGATGAAAGCGATTATGTGCCTTTACGCGGCTATTTGCTTGGACGCTGGCATTTCCGGACTGCGACGTTATAACGGACGACGTTGAAACCGTACGAGATAGGAGTCTTTGGGAAGAAAACCCCCTGGCAACCAAAAAAAGACGCCATCGACGACCACTATAACTGCCATGGAGACCTTAAAGCTGTTCTGGCGCGCCCACTCTCCCTTTGACGTTGCTACCGCGTTAGACCACACACTCTCTTTATACAAACCTTCGATTTGGCTGGTCCAGTCGATTATCACACTCTCTTTCCAAAATGATAGGCTACAATACTATGTACGAGAAGAAGTACGAGTATGAGCAGCTACCACAGTCACCTCGCTGGGCGCAAGAATCAGCATATTACCGCCTACGGACTTATGGCACTACAAGAGTCAGAGTGACGCGTTTACCAATCATTGTCGGAACATTCATATTCTCGGCTATAATGTTCGTGTTTTTCACAGGGGTATGTTGAGCTGTTGCCATGAACCGGACGCGTCCTGATGACTAACCCTCCCTAGACAGCNNACCAACCATATCTCAAGCCTTGGTCCCATCAACACAGCCAGGCAACGTGCATCTCCTTATACCAGCATCAGGCAAGGATGAGAACCTGTGTAAAGCAATCGTTGGTGCTGCTGTTCTTGGCTACCCGTCACCTAAGGTTCTCAACTGGGGAAAGACTTTCAATGATGAACATCTGGTTTCTGGCGGCTCGCACATCGCAAAGATCAGCGGTGTCTCCTCTTACCTCGAGAGCCTCTCACCAGAGCAAGATGAAGACTTGATTGTTATGACAGATGGTTACGACACATGGTTCCAGCTAAGACCGGAGACACTCATCCAACGCTACTTTGACATTAACCAACGAGCAAACGAACGCATCCGCCACGACTTGGGTGACCATGTCGTCAACGCCAACAAGATCGAGCAGAAGATTGTCTTTTCAGCACAAAAGAGGTGCTGGCCCTGGGCTGCAGATGCCGCACCTTGCTATGCCGTTCCAAACTCAACTCTTCCCGAAGACATCTTCGGACCAGACACTGACACAGATGTTGGTGACCGAAACCCATATCTTAAACTCCGCCCTCGCTACCTCAATTCAGGAGTTGTCATAGGCACAGCAGGCGCCATGCGTTTGCTCTTTGCCGAAGCTCTAACCCGCGCGAAGAAGGATCCCAACTTTGGCAGCGACCAGAACATCTTTGGCTCCATCTTTGGCGATCAGGAAGTTTACCGCGAGGTTGTGCGACAAAGAGACATGCCATGGATCGAGCGCCAACACAATCTCCGCAGCGATGATCCACGCCAGGGTCTGATCCGCGAGAGCGACTTCGAAGCCGTGAGAAACATGAACCGAAGCATGGAATTCGGCATCGGGCTTGACTACGAAGGCTCCATCTCTCTGCCCACCGTGTTCTCCGAAGACGACACGGAGTGGGTAAACTTCGACAACCAACCCTGGATCGATTTCTTCAACTACAAACGCAACATTGACAAGTCGGAAAGCAGATTGCTTCTGGCTCAAGACATTGCAAAGACGGCTGCGCCTCTTTCTAGCAACGGCACTGATGGCATTGAATCCAAGGATTGGTCGCAAGTGTCACTGTTTACAAACGTCCCCACTGGTTTTACTCCAGCTATTATCCATCACAATGCCCACCGTGACGGCATGAAGAACCTTCGCACAAAGGTTTGGGATAAGATATGGTTCCAACCTTATGCTCGCGTGCTCATGGATCAGTACATGGATACTCCGCTTTCGGCTCTGGCAGTCGCAGGTGGCAGAGAGTGGAGAAGCAGTGATGAGTGGAAAGGAGGTGTCAGAGACGATGTAGGTCGATGGTTACCATACCAAGATGTCTGCGGTGGCACAGAAAACGAAATCTTTAGAGATGGAAAAGGTCCTTGGATGGCTAGCCGGCACGTTTGAGTGACCTTGTTTCTTCTCTTCTTTCCTTTACTCCTTAGATAGATTTTACGAAATACCATCTCACGATTCCATAAATTCTCTGCTTGTACTGTCATTCACATTGATCCACTGTTAAGTTTGTCTCCACAAAAGCACTCTCTGTCGCCACGGGAAACTCTCAACCGGGAAAGTCGGGGGATCGCACGGCAAACTCAAATGAGTCAGAATTTCGGTCCAACATCAACACAAAAAATATTGTAGAAACCCAAGTTATTCTGTTTTCCCTCTTTGATCTTTATTATTCTTACTTTTTGCATCCTCCAATTCTGGTGGTGCTCTGCTCGCTCTCTTGTGGAATTGCAAACAAAAACGAAAAAAAAAAAAGCTAGGAACAGGGTGGGAAAGAAGAGATGGGCAAGCATCCGGCAGTCGAGTTACAAGTCCTGGATCTTGGATCTGGAGTTGACGACAAAACACCGACAACTTCTGGGCCTTCGACACAAAGGAACTCTTTCTCGGGGATTGCAACACCAGCAACCATCGATACCGAAGCAAACTCTTCTGATGACGAAACACCATTGGATGCAGCTCTTCTCTCCACAACCACTCTCTCAACAACGAGAGCAATAATAGTCATCACCCAACTCGTCAGCGTGCAACTCTTTTCCTCCTTCTGTAATGGCGTTATTGTCGTTGGCTTGCCTTCTATCGCTGCTTCGCTGCATATGCAAGGGGCACTGCTACTATGGCCAACGTCTGTGTTCTATCTTACCGCCGGAGCATGTCTGATGCTGGCTGGCTCCATTGCGGATGTCCTCGGCACCAGACCGATGGTTTTGACCAGCAGTGCTTTGTTGGTTGTCAGTGCTGCTTGTTGTGGTGTCAGCAGGAATGGAGCTGAATTGATTGCGTTCAGAGGTTTGCAGGGTATCAGTAATGCTATTGCTGTGCCAGCTTCCGTCTCTATCATTTCTACCAGGGTGCAGGACGGTCAGCCGAGAAACATTGGCTTCTCGTGTCTTGGCTTTGCGGCGCCACTGGGTTTCCTGCTTGGCTTGGTGCTCGGAGGTCTGTTTGTGGATGGTGTAGGTTGGAGACCTGCGTTCTATCTTGTTGCTGCTGCGAGTGGCGCTACAGGGCTTGTGGGCGCTTGGGTACTGCCGAAGGATGAAAACCCAAAGTCCTTGTCGTGTATCAAGAGGCGACTGAAGGACGAGATTGATTGGATGGGAACGATCATCTCAAGTACTGGCTTGGTGACCTTGTCGTACGCTTTGGCGTGAGTATTTTATCAAAACCCGGCAGACACATGAGATTGACAACTGTGACTGACAACACCTCAGNNAACACTCTCAGCGGACGTCAGTAACATCAGGACTGCGACTACTATCTCGCTGTTGATTATTGGCATCGCTACCGTTCCGGCATTTGTTTGCTGGATGAACTATCAGGTCAGAAATGGTCGCCCAGCACTCATTCCAAACTCTTTCTGGCGAGATTTCAGCTTCACGAGCATCTGCATCATGATTCTCTTCAACACTGCCGTCACGAATGGCATGGAAGTGTTTGCCAGTTTATTGTAAGTTGTCGCATACCAGACCAACCTTTCTCTCATCATGGCAGAATGTGAATACTGAAACTCGAGATCGCAGNNCTTCCAGCAGGTTCAAGGTTTGTCGGCGCTCGGAGCTTCGATCCGCATCTTGCCTTCTCTGATCACGGCTGTGTTGACCAATGTCTCGACTGGCTACTTTGTCAACCGCATGCCCGTCATGTGGATGGTGTTGGTTTCATGCGGATTGTCTGCGCTCTCTCCTCTGCTCNNCCTGGCGATGATAAACCCGCGTTGGCCATACTGGTACATGGCTTTCTTCGCACAGGTAAGCATAAAGCTTGACGCCTACCTTCTTAGCAATATCACTGACATGATGGAAAGNCTCCTTCAAGGTATCAGTATGAACGTCCTCTTCACAGTCGGACTCCTGATCATTTCGGCAATCTTTCCGCCGCACACGCAAGCTCTGGGCGGTGCAGTCTTCAACACTTGCGCGCAACTGGGAACTTCGATTGGTCTGACCATCACATCCGTCATTTCCGACTCGCGGACAGCTGCTTCAGGATACAGTGATAAGACAAGCCCCCAAGCATTGATGACAGGCTACCGGGCAGTGTTCTGGGCGTTGTTTGCCTGGATGATAGTGGTGTTGTGCGCAGGCGTGGGTGGACTGAGAAGAGTGGGCAAGATTGGAGTCAAGAGGGATTGAGATGCGCAGATGTTGCATGTAATGAAGCTGCGTTGCAGCTGAACGACGCTGTGCCGGGTCTGACCCAAGGTGAAGAATCGAGAGGACATGGCGATCAGGGTTCGGGTTTGGACGTGCTTGCGGCCTTAGTGTCGGAACGTCTTTTACGACCAAAGACCTTGTCCTCATGACCGATCGGCAGGGCTCNTGACCAGTCACTGGTGAAACATGGATGGCACAGAAAGTCGTCTGTCTGCTTGTCCTGCCACCACAACTTGAGATGTCTGTATGAATCACATTCAGGACAGCGACGAAGAATCTNTTCCGAATACACAGGTTTGTGAGTGGGCCAGTCAAGGTCGCGAACCCAAGGCGTGCGTGCGATCCAGGTTCTCAAGGATTCTCGTTGGCGGTAATGCTCGTCAGAAGCCCAGCGAAACCTCTTTGGAGCCCAATATCGTTGATCAAAGTCAATCACCAATCTTGCCTTTTCCTTGTATTGTCGTTTCTGGCAAGGTATTTTTCCCGATTTTCTCAAGCCACTTTGCGTTTTGTACCCGGGTGTGGTCACGAAACTCAGGGTCGGTGGCTATGCGTCGAGCGCGAGCTTCGATATACTTGTTCACGTATTGATGTGTCGGAGTCCACTCGATCTTGGGTGCTGAGGAGTAGTAGACGCGACCAAGAACGGCAAGGAAAGATGCGCTCGGAGTGAAGAGAGGGGACTGCAGATGGTGCGTGACGCGGGACAGCAGAGAGAGCATGTTGGGGTGATCAGCGGTCGCAAGTGGCCAGCGACGAGTCGGCGTTTGTTGTGATGGACAAGAGAGGTGCAGTGAATGAGAGACAGGCAGATATGGCCAGTGCGAGAAACAGTCGAGCGAAGCTGATATGGCGGGAGTCAAGGATAATGGTTGGGTGAAGAGTGGGAGAGCTGGCAGTCGCGACGCGTTCGGTTTGCGAAGGCGCCATAACTGCGGCTCCAAATGCTTGGACAAGCCCAGACACGAGCTTATCTGAACAAGGCTGAACGCACTTTCTCAGGATACAACATCGCAACCAAGCACACCTACCTTTACACAGACACGTAGACACAGCTATGGCAGTAACGCGTCCAGCGGTCGGAACTGCCAGTCTTCTTGTTGTTGTTGCTACTCTGCTGTCCAAGACGGAAGGACCCTGCCGACTCGTAGCCGAAGATCGGGAGGCATCGGCAAGAAAAGCGCTCAAAGTCAACCCTGACCGGCATGAACGGCTATTGGCTGAAAGACTGACTCGCAGCTCGCGTGGTCGAAAGATCAGGTCGATTTGACATGGACCTCGACCACCGCAAGCAGATTTCTGCGATAACAGAATGCGGAGAACGATAGGGCGACGGCGCTGCAATTGCAGATAGTTTTTAGCCATCGAAACTGGCCGGCGAGAGCTCTCTCGGCCTTACTAAGGTGACGTTCAGACAAAGTGGTCTGCCTTTTCGGCAACTCGGGGCCAACCGCACACAGCTCGGACTTCTCGGCGAACGTCATGCTTCAGAAAATTTGCTCGTCGAAACCTGCCCAACAACGCCTGACGGAACCACCGCTGTCCGAACTCAAAGGCCAGCAGCAGTCGACGACCGACCATCCTCCTCGTATGCGGATTATCGTTTGTCACAGTAACTCAACATGGTAAGTCGGTATGTTAAGCACACAGTTGCTTTTGTCAAGCAACTCTCTTCGAAACGCTTCTTCTTCTCTCCTTCTTTCCTTCGTGCGCACTTTCCTCCTCCTCTTCGTCGTCACGTCAAGCTCTCCCTCCACGCCTTACAGCACGCCCTAAGCACTACAAGCACGCCCTACTTTCCAGTCCAAGCTTCTCCTTCTAGCTGCTTGATCCAATTTCGAACCCCAACATCTGTCTTGGCTCTATTTCATTCCTGTGCGTAAAAGCTTCGTAACAGAAACTTCGTTATTCGTCAATTCTCCCTTGACGTCCCGAACCTGCACACGATTGCATTTGCCAATCCCAAGCTCACGCCGCTGATAGGCTTGCGATCCTTTCATACTTCAAGAAGAAGCCCATCCCCAGCCCTTCTTCCCCTCAGCTACCCACCCTGTCACACATGTCTCTGCCAGAACATCCCGACGCTGCCCGTTTCGGCCCCTTTGGTGGTAACCTCGCAAACATGCCTCCCCACTACGAGGATAGCATCTCCAAGGCTGGTTCTGGCGACAAGGTCGGCGCACCTGAGCTAGAGAAGACAGCCACGCTCGAGGAGGGAGAGGCCAAGTTCAAGAAGTTGGGATGGAAGCGTCTGACTATCTGTTTGATTGTTGAGGCCATTGCTCTTGGTGCTCTTTCCGTTCCTGCTGCCTTCGCCGCTGTCGGTATGGTTGCTGGTGTTATTCTTTCGGTCGGCATTGGTATCCTCGCCATCTACACAAGTTACGTCGTTGGCCAGGTCAAGATCAAGTTCCCCCATGTCGAGCACTACTCGGATGCTGTTGGTCTCATGTTCGGTCGCATTGGCATGGAAGTCGTTGGTGCTATGTTCACTCTCCACCTGATCCTGCTCTCGGCTTCGCACACTTTGACTGGCACCATCGCTTGGATTCGCATTGTCGACGACCCGACTGTCTGCGCCCTTGTCTGGTCTGTCATCTCGGCCATTCTTCTGTTCCTTTTGGCCATTCCTCCCACTTTCGCCGAGTTCGCCATCCTGGGTTACATTGATTTTGCTTCCATCATTGGTGCCATTGGTATTACTATCATTGCTACTGGTATCCAAGCAACCGATTCGGTTGGCGGTCTTTCTGCTGTTTCTTGGAGCGCCTGGCCTCCGGAGGACATTACCTTCCAGTCTGCTTTCCTCGCCGTCACCAACATCGTCTTTGCCTACTCGTTCGCTATTTGCCAGTTCTCCTTCATGGCTGAGCTCCACACTCCCAAGGATTACGTAAAGTCCATCTGGGCTCTTGGTATCATCGAGATCATCATCTACACCGTTACTGGTGCTCTCATTTACGCTTTCGTTGGTACCAACGTCGCCAGTCCCGCTCTTCTCTCTGGAAGCAACATTGTCACTCGCGTCGCTTTCGGTGTCGCACTTCCTGTTATCTTTATTTCAGGATCCATCAATGCCACAGTTGTTGGTCGCTACCTGATTGGTCGCATTTTCAAGAACTCGCCCATCCGCTACACCAATACCAAGCAAGGTTGGGCCGTTTGGATCTTCGTGCTTGTCGCCCAAATTGTTCTCGCCTGGGTCATTGCCGAAGCTATTCCCTTCTTCAGCGACCTTCTCGGTATCACCTCCGCCCTGTTCATTTCGGGCTTCTCATTCTACTTCCCTGCACTCTTCTGGTTCCTACTTATCAAGGAGGGCAAGTGGAATGCCAGCAAGAAGAACATTGCACTGTCTGCTCTCAATGCGCTGTGCTTTGTCATTGGCTTGACTATCCTTGGATGCGGTACTTACGCCAGTGTCAAGGACATTGTCGATTCCTACGCTTCCGGCAGTGTCAGGTCGCCCTTCACTTGCTCGCAGGCAGCTTACGCTTAAACGATGCGAAAGTTTATTTTTCCCGTTCCCTGGATGTAGGGGAATCTTTATGTATATATGTATATCAATGTCACGTCCTTCAATTCCTCCTTTATTACCTTACGAAGTCCTCTGTGAAACATAAACGCTATTTTCAACACCTTCACCTTCTCTTTCTAGCCGGTTACCTATCCTGCCTTCACCGGCAAAATTTGATACTCTCGCGTAGCCTCTGGCAACCACGCGACTACTCTCATTGCCAAATTTCAGGCCACCCGATCACCTTTGTCAGTCCGGCTCTTAGAACCAACAATTTCTTCGGCACTCGCTTTCCTTGCACACGCACGCATCCAAATCTCATATGTTCTCGAACATTTGCATCGCGTGCTGACAGCACAAAAATAGTCGGTCCTTTTGTTACTATTGCACAGCAACCACAGCTTCGGGAGTTGAAGACGTGTTGTATCGGCTATAACAAATTCCGAGGGTTTGGGTGTGTGGCGCGAAGCGGCTCGGACCGCGCGTTTATGCATCATGCATGTATGTTGTGCAGTGTTTGTAGTTGAAAGGTTGCGAGGGTGTTGGCAACGAAAATGTTTGGAGATGCAAGAGTGATGGTATCGTGTAGGCTTCGTGGTTGCTGCTTGGGCGTATCAAAGGGTGGATGTGGTCTATCGATGGCAAGTATCGCATGGTTTGGAAAAGATATCCTCTTTATTTGTAAGACTTGGATCCTTTGATGTTATTGAACTGCTTTTCCTTCAGTATTACACAAGGTCACCATTGTTTGCGTATGATTTTGCTTGATGGTGCAAATTTTCGGAGGCTTGATTCGAAAAATTGGCAAAACAAGGCCACAACTGTCGATGACATTTCTAAGACTGTGTATGGCAATACAACAAGTCACTTTCAGCCTGTTCGTGCACACGAGATCTAAATCTCGAAAAGTTTGGCACATCGTCGACCGAAAATGTGTTTCTGAGTGTTGCTAGTGGTAGCACCCTGCCCACGCGGATTCTCGAGACGTCTGTCTCAAAGAGGCAATTTTGTCTCCGAGATGGACATGACGATGGGTCACGTTTGACAAGTCCGCTCTCCAACGGCGGTTCTTCCTGATTCAGTCAACTTCCGCCTTGCACCAGCAGATACTATCGAGTATATATTCAGTTAGAACGACATCGCTATCAGGAGCTGCTTTAACGTCCGCCATTCATTCCGACTCTGAATCCGCATGGTCTCGGAAGTCCTTTCTGTGTACGACTTTCATTTGGGACGGCACTTCTCGCGAAAAAAAAAAAAACACGCGCTCTCTAAGGACATGTTCTACCACCGAACTTCTGACAAGACAGGTGCTTTCGCGTGATCAAACCAGATCAAATCTAACTATGCGACAGAAGACGAACTGAGATCGTCCGCTATCTCGTTGTCTTCCGCAAGCTGTCAACGCAAGATGCCGTCTTTTATTCATGCACGCAATCTTCAAGGACACGGTCTACCACCAAAGTTACAGTAAGGGCGGCGTATTTATGAAACCAGATCATATCAGATCTGTTGTATGGAAGAAAAGCGAGATCGTGCGATATCTTACGGTCCTCCGCATCCTGTCAACGCAAGATGCCATCTCTTATCATGCACCCCAGTACTCCAGGATCCAGATGTCAGGTGTTTAGCGACCATTCGGTCCTTCTCTTGAGTCTGGAGATGGATCGCGAGACGATTCCAACATGCGGAGGACGATTTGGGGATGTGAGGCAAGACACAAAACAGGATCTGATCAGCTGGAGCTTTCGATGGAGCCGAACGAGGAGTTTGGGGGAGTCGCAGGTTGGGGGTTGGTCTCTCCTCGCATTCTCCAGGACATGTGGGCCTCTTTGATTGCGACCGCGATACCACCGGCACTATTTGTCTCCGCAGCAAGGCAAGAATGTTTTGCGGGAACCGGGGTCCTTTGACGATGGTAGAAGGAGTTGGAACAAGGCCCCCGGCCCCCCTCGGGTCTCGTGTCTCGGTGTCAGGAGGTCATCCATATAGAAATATACCAACTGTTGTTGGCATCTTTTCACGAGCGCCAAGGGGCGCGCGGGTGGCGCTTACAAGAATACGCCATTTGAAGGCTTCTGTCGGGTTTCCACACCTTCTTTTTGGCTAAACGCCTCGTGCGTAGTTATTTCCGCACGACTCGCCAAAGCAAATCTTCACCACGAGATGTACATCTGACAAACATGCAATTCGATAGCCTCGAGAGTTACAACGGCACGAATATCATGGCCAACATCCGTAGGATTCGAGACGGTCTCCTCGTCCTCGGGATCTTGTGGATGCCCCACATCTCCACCGACAGCCCCCGACAACTCGGCCTTGTACTCGGTGGTATTCTGCTGTTCCGTCCTCCATATGGAGTCGTTATGCGGATGGATCAGCTCCCGGTCCGATAGTGTCAGGAACCGCTGCAATGTAGCGAAAAAGCCCTGGCCGCACAGGCGCTCGCGTGTCGTGTCCCACCCTGGCAGAAACAACCATGACGTCCTAGCGTGCCATGGGGAGTGTATTTTGCTTCGAGGCCAAGCCCCGCGATTCGGTAGCCAATCCTCCAGACCTTCTCTGGCGAGGCTTGTGCTCCGCGTTTGGAAGACGGTTTGATGCACGCGGGAGTTACGATGAGGGTTGACTTTCGATCCATGCGCTGGGCGCCAATTTCGAATGTCGTTCTCTGGCAAGCGTGGCGTGCGTAGGTGGGAGCCGTTTGAGGCCCGGTTCTATAAGAAGCATCGAGTCTGCCACTCCATACAGGCCAGTGATCATCGTTTTCTTTTTTGAGTCGCCTGTCACCTCTGCCTCTCGTGTGGTATCTCATACCGCGACCTTCGTCCATCTCTCCTCCTAGCCATCCTCCTGGACTAGCACACAACCATGGGTTTCCTCTCATTANNAAAAAAGCCCGACGATGAGGTCGGTGCAGCATGGCCTTCCATCATGGTCGGCGCCTTCGCTGCCTTTGCTGGTATTCTCTACGGTTACGATACTGGTACCATCTCCGGTATCCAGGAAATGCCTTTCTGGATTGAACAATTCAATGACCCCGCTGCTCACGGCAAGATCTCCCTAATCGTCTCCATTCTCTCAGTTGGTACCTTCGTTGGTGCTCTCGCTGCTGGTCTCATCGCCGACTGGACTGGTCGCAAGTGGGGTATCATCCTCTGTGCTGCTATTCCTTTCAACCTCGGTGTCATTCTCCAGGTCGCTTCTACTGAGCAGAGCATGTTCATCGCTGGTAGATTCTTCGCTGGTCTCGGTGTTGGTCTCGTCTCCGTTCAGATTCCCATGTACCAGGCCGAGACTCTGCCCAAGTGGATTCGTGGTTTCATCATCGGTTCTTACCAATTGTGCATCACCATCGGTCTGCTCATCGCCTCTCTGGTCAACTACGGTAAGTTTTGATACTCAGCATTCAGACATCCAGAAACTAACGTCGCCCANGCAACCAAGGACCGTGATGACAGTGGCTCATACCGCATTCCCCTCGCAATCCAATTCGCCTGGTCGTTGATCCTGTGCTTCGGAATGTTCATGCTTCCCGAAACCCCTCGTTTCCTCATCAAGAAGAACAAGCCCGAGAAGGCCAGAAAGTCCCTGCACTTCCTTCGCCGTCTTCCCGCCGACCACCCCGCCATCACCGCCGAGCTCGCCGAGATCACTGCCAACTACGAGTACGAGCTTTCTCTCGGAACTGCTTCATACCTCGAGTGCTTCAGAGGCAACACTGGAAAGCGTACCTTTACTGGTATCGCACTCCAGTCCCTCCAGCAGCTTGTTGGTGTCAACTTCATCTTCTACTACGGTACATCCTACTTCAGCAGAAACGCACCTGCCGACCCTTCCATTCAATGGTTGCCCAGTGCCTTCATTCTCTCAGTCATCACCAACGTCATCAACGTCATCTCGACCTTCCCTGGTCTCTGGGCTATTGACCGCTTCGGTCGTCGCCCCGTTCTTCTCGCCGGTGCTCTTGGTATGGGTATCTCGCAGTACATTGTTGCTGCCGCTGGTGTCGCAACCTCGCCTACCGACTACACTTCGGCTTGCGCTCAGTTCGCCTTCATCTGTATCTACATCTTCTTCTTCGCCTCCACCTTCGGACCTGCCGCTTGGGTCGTCACTGGTGAAATCTTCCCCCTCAAGGTTCGCGCTAAGTGTCTTTCCATGACCACTGCCGCCAACTGGTTCTTCAACTGGCTCCTTGCCTTCATCACTCCCTACCTTACTGAAGTTCAGTACGCCAACCTCGGCCCCAACATCTTCTGGATCTGGGGTGGCTTCTGCTGGATTGCTGTCGCCTTCGTCTGGACTTTCATCTACGAGACCAAGGACCTTTCTCTTGAGGAGGTCAACGAGCTGTACAACACTGTCGGCAAGGCATGGAAGAGCAAGGCTTACCGCCCCATGATCAGCCAGTCCAACGGCGATTGGGATGCTGCTCGCTCCAAGGCTGTGGCTGAGGGCAAGACCTCGCATGCTCCTAGCGATGAGATGCTTGAAAAGGCATAGATATGATAGATTTTCTTATGAGCTGCAGCTGTGTTCTTGGGCTGTTTGACTCGGCATATGTGTATATGATAATTTACTTGGCAATATATGAAACTGCCTACTTCCAACACTACTTTGCCCTCCCTTCCGTCTCTCGTCTGTAATTCTTAACCTAAGGACAAGGAACATAAAGGTGTTACTTGGTTCTGTACAGATGACATCGAAATTTACCCAAGATGGTCTTTAAAAGACCATCCGCCACATGATCCAAGCGTGCCCAAGTCGATATAAAAGCCTTCGAAGCCCTGGAAACTTCGGCAATGCCCTCGAAACGTAGCCTGTTTTGGTTTTGGAAACGAGATCGCATATCTGGTTTGCAGATCCCTTTGACGCGGTTTTCGATTTGCTGACTCTTGCGATGTTGACCTTTGAAAGAACTCATGCGAGAGATCCGAGATCCGAAATTGGACGACGCTTCGGTGATGTCTCGAGATTCGAGCGAGCTGTTGTCAACGCGAAGCCCACGGCTTGGTCATTCTCCAGAGGAATTGAGTTCTATACGTTGAACAGGTGCTCTACACACCCCGACGGCAAGAGTGTCCGCTTCTTCTCCAATCCGCGACTTACTTCCGACGCTCGAGGTACGTTAATACCTCACTGTATACTGTGAAGGATTCGAGATCAGGAATTTCAAAGGATTTGCATCACATGGCGCCTGGCGCAAATGCAAGTCAAGAAACACATGCATGGAGGGATGTCATCAGATACAATTGATCTCACGGATATGTCGGCTTGAGCACTATATCGACGTCAATCGTCTGTCCAGGTAGACGCAGGTGAGTATAGAGTAGGTGAGGCCATAGCTGATGTCTGCAGTCACGATGCATCCTCGTCGTCGCCGTACTCGACCCCACCAGTGTTTCGCTCATCACCGGGCAGCATCACCGCATGGTCAAGTGCATACGGCAATCCCCTATGCCTACCCCCTCAGCATCATCGCACAGATAACCAGCTTGCTAAACGTGTGAAAGTCACCACTCAAGCTCGTCAAGGTGGCATTGGTTCCCAGACTCAAGCCCACATTCCCATACGCACTAGTCACCTCAAACAACACCGCAAACACGTTGAAAGCAGTGTTGGAGGTGTCGCGGATAGGTGCGGCCTCAGCGACGCATATGAGAAACGTGCCGAGGAAAATGTACCATAGATCAAAGCTCAGCTGGTTGCGCATGTGGTGAGCAAGGTACTTGGACGGGGCGAGGTTGTCGGCAGGATCGTCCTCGATCGCGTACTTGCCCAATGCGCGCTCCTCGTAAGTGTTGCTGACGCGCACGCTAATGGCGATCGGGAAGACGGCAATGTACATCATGATCAGCAGACTGAACTGTACGGCTGGGTTCACATTCGCCAGGTTGAAGGTCGAGGTCCCGGTGTGGCGAGAACTAGCGGATTGAAAAAGTGCGGCAAGTACTCGTGGACCCAAAGGCAAAGCCGTAACCTCTTCACTGTTGAGGTCAAGCACAATGATGAAAAGTGCGTCAAGGAAATTAAGAACGAATAATATGCCGAACAGGATCCATGTGACGTTGCTGGGGAAGAGCAGAGTGTAGCATCGTCTAGGATGCTCCAGCAGATACCTCAGTGATTGACGAGTAGAGCTGTGTTGGCGAGTAAACTTGTGCATTGTCCAGATGACCACTCGGAGAAGGATAGGATAACACGTGTTTCCAGCATACGCAAGGAAAGTCATGACCAGCATTGGCCAGGTTGCATCGCGGAAGTGAATCATGGAGTCCGGCGTCAAAGTAAAGCCAAGGTTACTGATCATAGTCTGAGCCGAGTAAAATGCCCTACGACAGTGTGAGAATGGGCGCATTATTCACATAATCTCTCTGCAAGCTTACCACCATACTTGGCCTTGTCCTTGTGCCGCCAAATATTCACGGTAGCGCAACGGAGCGTTCGTGATCCAGGGTGCAAGACACAATGCACCAAACAAGTGTAGTCCAAAGAAGTAACCTGCAGAGAACTATAAGAACAGATTGAAGAGGTATTCACACAAGCACATACCGGTAACAATCTTGAGCAGCAGTTTTAGACTTCGATATTCCAGACCACCAAGCACCTCCCTATCTTTCTTGGTCAGGTTGCCAAACGATGAATTGCGACCAAGGGTTGCATGATGCGATAGTTGCGGAAGAGATTCGCATGCCAGAGAATTTCGCTGAGAAGTGGCGGAAGTGACCGACGAACGACGGTGTAAGTTCAACGAATCCGTTGTGGTATCGGTCTCCGTGTATGCCTGATTCTCGACATCATGAGTTACATCTTCGAGATCTTGCTTGGACCTGTCCGATTGATTCTTGAGTGGAGACAAGCTTGCTTGGCCATCTACATCTTTGCCCATGTTACGCGTCTGTTCTCATGCGTTGTCAGCGCACGAGCATTCGTGTTTGGTCCTTTGCGGTGGTCCTCAACAGCAGCCGGAGTGCTGCTGTCATCGGGCTTCACATTGTCGAACGGAATATGCGAGACAGAAGAGCCAGTCGCAGCTGTGCTGCTTTCTGCTCGTCCATGCCGTATAGCATTGAGCCAGGAAGGTTTTCGGTTGGTGAACAGCAGGTTTTGGTCTTTGTGGACCGACTGCAAACGCTTTTCGAAGTAGCGAAGGCGCACAACCACAACGATGATATTGATAAACCCAAGATTCGTTATGATGGGAAAGATGTATAGCACAAATTGTTGGAAGGTGACCAGGTCTTTGACGTCCACACTGCGAAAGGTAGTGTTAGCATATGCTTCGATGACTCGCAATGTAACAAGACGCACGTATTCAGCCCGGATTCGGTGTTTGCGCTGACGCCGAAGAAGAAAGCATCGATAGCGCGCAGATTATCAAAAGGATAGATGATTATAAATGCCAGTAGTGAACACAAGATAATATATGCATCTGTGGGTGTGTTAGGTCGACCAGAAAAGCACAAACTGTGGTTCTGAAACCACGAGGTGGGACACTTAACCTATCCATGATCAGCTTGGTCGTGCTTTTGTGATGCCCGATAAAAGCCCTTATAACTTACAATGGATGCTGATGAAGTCTGCTCTCAAGAACGCCATAGTCATCAAGGGGACGCGCGGAAATATTCAGGCCAGAAAGGAAGAACCAAACAACACATTCTGAGAAGCGCGATTTACGCTGCTTATGAGTGCGGCCAGGTCAGAGTCGCTTCCGCGGTCATCTCTGGTCGAAATAAATCCCTCACGCGGCCAAGAGAACACAGCCCTTTCCATTACCACAAGATACAACTTCTCTAGGCCTGGTCCCGTTGTGCTTTATGGTCAATCCTCAATGAGACCATACTTGGAAGCGCGCCGGTTTCAAGTTGAAGCATCACCTTGGGCAGTCCATAGCCTTACAGGTGACGGTACGTTTGCTGACGGACGCGACTTCGGAGAGCTACCAGCATGAGGGGCGCCATGTGCGCCAACCCAAGAGCCCGACATACCACAGCTTTAGCGATGCACTGAGTGCTAAGAGGGTATGAAATGACCAACCATCTCAAGGATCGAGCATCCGCAAAATGTCCAACTCGAAATGAAAAGTTATGACAGCGATTTGCTTGTCAAGAAGATCGAGTCCCGCAATTGTCGGTTAGTAACAACACCTCGCGCAGCGGAAAGACTTGGCAGCCATCAGGTAAGCTTATGCGAGTCATGCATCTCATCAAGTCTTTTACTTTTTCTTTTTCTTTTCCTTTTCTCATCTTTTCATTCTTATCTCTATTCTTCTGTTTCTTCCTTTCGACAGAGGCAGCGACCAGGATCTGGCGACAGTTCTCTTTGGTGGGATATCAAAATATCTTCTGTATCATCACATGTTTCCTAACGGCGGGATTGTGTTGCCACGGCCGTATCACTGTTATATGCAGTCAACCTTCCGATAAACTAAGGTTTTGTTGAAGCAACCGTGGATGTCCAAGTGGCAAGTCTACACCTTGCAGCATGATCCGGACTTATCTTTGAACTATGTGGTCCTTAGGTGTACCGACCAGCTATCGGCTGCACCCCACACAGAGTTAAGGTTAGCTATCTCGCATTGCCTTGCGATATTGCGCCATAACTGTGGCGTTTTCCGTCAGGCCGAAAATATGGACGTGGTTACGTGTCTCCCTCAGGTTTAGAGATCCGCAATCACCTTACTGGAATGACAACTTCTACAATAGCTATGGCGTTATCTAGACTTGGTGTGCAACGTGTACAGACAGCAAGGATCTTCGATACATATGGAGGGCTTATATAGCCTCGCCTTGGTCTGGCAGAAAAACAAGCCTTCCAAACAAGCATCTGTCTTGTCTTCGAAGCTTGGTCCTTGCAATGACTGGCGACTCGAACATGGAACCATTGAAGAACGAACCACAGACTAATGCGACTGCATATCCGGATTCGGCTTCGACCTTCGAGCATGACCTCCGCGGCAGCGTCAGCGAACCCAAGGTCGGCGAGCTTCTACCAGGTGAGGCCGAGTCAGGAGGATTAGGTCGTCATCTCGGAATGTGGTCCACAGTGGCTCTGATGTATGCTGAGTATCGCAACCGTCACATTGTTCTCTGCTGACCATTTTACCAAGTNATTGGTCGCATCATCGGAACCGGTATCTTNTCAACTCCATCATCGGTCGTATCCAGTGTTGGAAGTGTCGGCGCTGCCTTTATGCTGTGGTTACTTGGTCTAGCCTCTTGTCTCTCGGGTATGTTCATCTGGCTGGAACTTGGTTGCATGATCCCTCGGTCTGGAGGCGAGAAGGTCTATCTCGAAGCAGCTTACAAGCGACCCAAATTGCTTGCCACCACATTCTTCGCCTGGCAAGCCATAATCCTTGGGTTCACCGCATCCGGATGTATCGTCTTTGCCAGCTATGTCATCAAGGCTGCCGGTCGCACAGCTACCGAATGGGAGAAACGAGGTATCGCGCTTGCTGTCGTCACCTCTATCTGTGTTGCGCATACTGTTTTCCCGCGATGGGCTGTGCGTGGCATGAATGGTCTTGTTGTCATTAAATTGATCGTTCTCGTCTTCATTGTTGTGACAGGCTGGGCCGTACTGGGAGGCGCTGCAAAGGATCGCATTCCACACCCCACTGCTAGCTTTCATGATGCCTTTGCTGGAACTACCTCGAGTGGCTACCTTTGGGCTACAGCATTGTTCAAAGTCTTGAACTCTTACGCAGGATGGTCGAACGCTGCATACGTTTTGAACGAGGTCAAGAATCCTGTAAGAACGCTAAAGATTGCTGGACCTTTGGGATTAGGCATATGCGGTGTCTTGTACATGATGGCAAATGTCTCATACTTCGCCGCAGCTACACCAAAGGAGGTTGCCGGAAGTAAGCTCACCGTCGCTGCTTTGTTTATGGACAAAGTCTTTGGCACTGCAACTGAAAAAGCCATCAGCGTACTCATCGCAATCTCAGCATTCGGAAATGTCATGACCGTCACCTTTGCTCAAGCTCGTGTCAACCAAGAACTTGCAAAGGAAGGTGTGATACCCTTCCCTCGCTTCTGGGCTTCTGGATGGCCAGCCGGGGCGCCAGGTGCTGGGTTGCTGCTTCATTGGATTCCAAGTGCCGTCATTATCGTTGCGATTCCGTTTGGTGATGCCTACAACTTTATTCTGGATGTCGAGGGCTACCCCGGCTCTGTGATCAACTTCTTTGTTGTCGTTGGATTCTTCTGGCTTCGGTATGCCGAGCCTAACCTCGATCGCCCATTTCGCTGCTGGCTACCTGTAGCTGCATTCTACATGGTAGTGCAAGCTTTTCTCATGATTGCACCTTTCCTACGACCACCAGGCGGCAAAGGCGATACTTCTCTGCCTTATTGGTTGTATCCAGTCGTGGGTATCGTTGTGCTTACAGTGTCGGTACTTTATTGGGTTATCTGGCGCAAAGTAATGCCCTTCATTGGGAGGTACAGACTTGTAGCAGATCATGAGAAGCTAGCGGATGGTACTGCCGTAGTGGTGTGGAGTCGGGTGAAGCGTGTCTAGCATGCTCACAATCTGCCAGCAATTCTGCATATCCTGACTTGAGAGCGACCTTATTTCTTGGAAACTCAGAAAAATTAGCTTCACTTTCGCTCCCTAGTTCCAGCAGAATAGTTGTGAGTGGCACATTTCTGCAAATCTCTGCAGCTTGAAACCCAACCAATACAGATAAGACAAGCTGCAGGATCATACAATCTTTTTAATATGTGAGTAACATCTTTTGACACGAACATCAAAATTTTGAGCATTGTCCCTTCTGCTCTTACCTGCTCAAAGGCAATTGACGATGGAGAGGCCTGGAGTGGTACTGCGGTCGAGGTTATGGATAGATATCGTCAGCGTCCAGAACGAGTCTAAATTCACACAGTGGAGCAACGAGCTACGCGTTGACAACGACGGCTTGGCGTGCCTTCATGACTCAGCAGGGCATCAAGGCTTGGCGCAGAGCTTAGGCAAAGGGTGAGAGTCTCCCTTGTTGACCTGTCAACACAGACGTCGGGCTTCAAGCGCGTGCACCACGCGCACCGTGTTCGCCGCCATACTGGTCCCCATGTCAAGTCAGTCTTGCGACAAGAAAGCTGGCTGCCTCAACGGTGCCTCCGTACGTCCGGAAGGATTCCAGAAGATGCCGATATCTGTCAGGAGAGCTTGCCGTCGCTAAACTTGTCGCAAGCTATACTGACCGCAAGACAGCAAGCAGGTTTCTTCGGGAGGCTTAGCTAGCGTTTCAAGAGCCAGCCATTGATCAGCAGGAACCGATGGTTCACCCCGGCTAGACATACTCATTCGAGGCATATCGTGGAAGTGATATAGACGATCATGTTCTTGTATTGACTTAGCGGGATCCGACTCCGCCCTGCAGGATGCACGCCCTTCCCCGGCGCCGCAAATTTGGACCCATGGAGTATGGTATACGAGCCCCGCCAAGCTCGAAGGAATAGCAATATCTTGGCCTTCGGGATGGCCGAATGGTCCTGCGGATGCTTAAGAGGTACCGCTCGCGCTCTTGATACCGGAGAGTATGTAATATTTTTCGCTACTCATCATCGGCTATCATAATGGTGTCTTTTCGGGCTCTTATCCTGACTCTGTTGCCATTGGTTGCTAGAGCTGCTTCTTCAGAGTCATCAGATCAATCATCATGTGTCAACCAGGCTGGCTTTGACAAGTGTGTTGCGGACGCCGATGCTGCGCTCAATACCTGTGTCAGCGACCATTGTGGAGATTCGGTCTGCGTTTCGAGCTGCAAGGGCGACGCAACTTGCATCAGGAACAACTGCTCTGGCGTTAGTAAGGACTGTCTCGACATCTGCGAGTGCACGCGCAACACTGCAGCTGTTGCTTGTGCAGCACGAGACTGTTGGAACCAGGTGAGTCTTCGGGGATTCGACCGACTCCCCTGACGATCTCACTCACACTTTTGCNNGCAGGTCTACTCCTGCGGATATGATCAACTCGTCATTTCAATGACGGAATCTTGCGCCAATAGCGAAATCGACCTCCAAGCCATCCCTTACTTCCCTGCACCAGACTCAGCACCAGGATCGTGCAGTTGCAACCAAGGCAAGCTGTACCTAACGCAGTCCAAGATCTTGGACCATCAAAACGCAACGCTCACGAACGAAACAATGTTTGGGTTTACTACGAATTATGATGAGCAGCAGATTCTTCTGAAGTCAGTTCAGTGCTGTACCAATGCTTACCTCCAATCCTCGTACNNGTTCGTGTCCCCACACAGCATTGACTACAACTAAATCTCTACTCCTAGATTCCGAGAGATCTGCCCAGACACCCAACCGTCGCTTTTACTTGGCGGCGACCAATTTGGCGGCGACCTGTTTTCGAAGTCGGCCTACGATGTTCCTCCAGAAGAACAGTGTCCGGCATTGTTGTCCAAGACCGACTGTGCAGGCGAAATGGGGTACGGCGCAGCAGTAGGGGATGTCATGCCTACCTATTACGCCGAAGACAAGCTCCCGCCCAACGGAACCGAGACACTGTACAACAAGGAAGGTGCGCTAGCAACGCCGACTCAAGCGACTATAGTCTGGACGCCAGCCTTAGGAGACATCCCTATCACGATTGTTGCCGCGCAGGCGAGCAAAGGTACCAGCAAAGGATCTACAACGGCGGCAAGCGGCGCAACAGCAGCTAGCAAAGCCGGCAATGGAGCGACTTCTGGCGCTCAGAGTGCTACTTCTGCTGCTGCTTCTGCTCCTGCTTCGACTACACCCAATGCAGCACCAAGAGCAGATGTGTCGTGGTTTGCTTTGACATTCTGCATGGTCGCCATGGTTGTCTACTTCTGAAGAGATTCCCCATCTGAGCAAATGCCTGAAGCAGACATGATGTAGTCACTGGGAAACAAGAAGATACGTGCAGTTATCTTCGAACTCTATATGGAGATCTTTAGGGGATTGGGTTCTTTCGGTTCTCGGCAGGAGGATTGTGACGGTTGACAATAGTTCGCATTGCTCTTCATCATAAACGTCCCACGACCCAAGGTTTTGTGTCTGGCTGAGGCTGGATATGCTGAAACGGTGGTTCGAATTTAGACATAAGGCAAGACACTTTCCATAAGCGTTGACGCGACCATTTGCAAGAAGATACGTACGGAAGATACTCCTGCGTTCATGACGCATTTTTCGACGAGTAACGCATGTCTGGCCGGTTCTGATTCCTGAATCAATACATGGCTTGCATCCTTCTAACGGGCATGTCTTACCGTTGTGATAGGGCTGTATTAAAACAAAGAGAAAGTCCCCACAAATTCCAGTCATCGACCACAGTCGACCTCATGGCTCCCGAAGTCACGATTGATGTCGTTATCTATGTCTGTATTGTGCTTACTTGTGCCTCTGTATTATTGAGGACCCTGGTCAGGTACAAATGGCTCGATGTTGGAATGAGGGCGGAAGACTGGTTGATGGTTGTCGCATTGNNGTCGGTCTGCTGCTATATCAGCATGAATATCACTTTGTTGACCCCTTTGCAACAGGTGTTCTACTTGCTCTTCTGCGCAATGATCATTGCCATGACTATGGTTGAACATCAGAACCCAATTTTGACAGAAACCAGTGCAGATTTGGTACTGCTGGTAAGCTGTATTTCCATCTTCCGAATCGAGTGGAACAAGCACTGAAGTTTTGTGACATCGCAGCTACTGTCCATTGGAGAGTTCCTCTTCATAGTGGCGTCTGTTGCCTTCAAAATTTCAATAGCGATCTTCTTTGGGCGTTTCCTCATCGATCGCACACAACACCTTATAATACTGGGCATCACGGGCCTGTACTGTATCATAGCTACGGTCGGCTTCTTCATCTGTCTGCTACAATGCGGCGCACCCGTCCACTTGGCCATGCAAGAGATCAATGGCAAGTGCATTCCCATACCGTGGTTCCTAGGACTTCTCTATACCCACGGTGCGCTGTCAGCATTCTCGGACTAGGTCTTTGCACTACTGCCTATCCTGATCTTATGAAAGTCTTCAATGCCAATTAGGACCAAGCTGGGCGTCTCCCTGTTGATGCTGCTTGCGGTTTGTGGTTCGCTGAGTGCCGTCCTTCGCACAATCTATATTAGGTGTCTTCCCTTCAATGCTTCGGACCTTGATCCGCAACGCCCGACACATGTTGAAGCAACTGTTCCCATCGCCATTACGGCAGTTCTGAAGATGGGCATTGGAATCACGGCGGCTTCTATAGCATGTCTTATGCCCTTGTTTCGACGTTGCGCGTCTCTTTGCCGGCGACATATACCCGCTGTACTGCCGCGACAATCTTCCGACGGAATGCACGTAGGGTACCTGCCGACCCTCAACGACACACCGTTAGATACGTGGGAGGAAAGTACCTCTGCTTTACCCATCGTCAAATCTCATGATCTAGGGAATCTGGACTTGGAAAATCTGGGTATCCTGCCGGATGTTGACTCGCCGACAGATGCGGATAATAACAGAGGTAGCTGAGTGCTACGTACCTATCAAGTTCAACATCTATCAGCGCACTAAACCAAGCGCTAAGTTGTACTGATAGGCTACCAAACGTCTTGAATCTCGGCGCCCTCAAGCAACTTCATCTAGATGAGTTTACCTTATTGTGATGCTCGTGACATGGACGAGCCAGCATGTCACTGGAAAGTTCGGAAAAGATTCCAGACCCCCTTTTCTTCTTCCCTGCTTATAGATGTGGACCGCGTGCGTTTCGCTTCTATTGCAACTGTACTGCTAATTAATAGCTTGCACCGAAGCCTTTGTTGAGAGCTCGAGGGGTATAATGATATTACACCTAACCTGTTCATACTTTGCATACCATGAAGATGTACGAGAATACCATGGACTCCAGTTGTATGACTTTCCCAGATCCGTCATGCACCAAAGCGTCCTTAAAATCACTTGGACTCAGAGCGGACACGACATCCAGATGGCTCATTGTCTGCAAGGTTGGCCTAGGAGAACGAGAAAGCAGGCTTGAGAATTTCCATGTCCTTATCAAGCTCTCACGCTTTTCTAGACATATTCTGGTAGCACTCGGGCTTTATCCCAACATAGACTGTTAAAATGGAACTGAATAACTGAACGTATGCTGATTATTTTCCAAGATCCACACGTTCAGAAACGCTGTTGGAATGCCCAACTGCCTTGCGCCTCACCATCTCCCCTAATCAGGCCAGCATACAGTTCCTTCGCCATCGTCAGAACCAACGTGCACGCTAGACGAAGCAGAGACTACAGAATCATACCAACGCCATCAGCAATGTCTGCTTATCAACTACGTATACCCATTCAAATGCAATGATGGCGATGGAATGGAGAGTGTGGATATTTGTGTGGGAGGTACTGCCGCGCTACCTCAGAGCCCTGGCACAGACGAGCAGATTTGCGCAATGAAAGCCAACCCTGATGCAACACGGGCAATGATCAATTGCTGCTCAAGTACTGGAGTCAATGAATCTAGTCTCATCCCATTGACAATGGCTGCAATGTGGCATGTTCGTCCCAGTCTGTTGACGGAAGTTTTGCGGATTGTTTGAGAGATACTTTTATGCCCGACTCCGGCATTTCCTGCTCTAATCAAGCTCGCAACCCGGATGCAGATCGCGCAATTCCTATAGGAGATTCCTTAAGAAGCTTGTCGGTGGATCTGGGTTTGCTTAGATTGACGTTGCTTGCATTGCTAGCTACAATATGATCGGCCCGTTGCGCACAGCCGATATCAATTAGTATCTTCAACTACTCGTGTCATGAGATTGGGAGACGTGTAGATAAGAGCGATTAAGTCAGAATTACAAGCTTGTGATCAGTGATTAAAGTGCTACTCTACTGTCTATTACCAACTTCCTCCACATCAAGACTAACCATCAACCCAGCGTCAGCCTTGCTTTCTCCCACTTCAATGTCACTTAATACATGAATTACATGTTGAGCATGTGACTCCACTTGCCGCCAGATGTAGCGCTGCTAGATGCAGTGTTGCTAGATGCAGTGAGGCTGAATGTGGTGTTGCTGCTGGTAGACGTGACGTTACCAGATCCCAATGGTGTAAGAGGGCAATAACCGTCGTAGACGCGGTAGTTCGCAACCATGCCCATGGTGTTGTGGTTGTTGACGTGACAGATAACTTGCCACTGGCCGACACCAGCCGCGCTCATGACAAGGGTGTGGACCTTACCATCGTTGATGCCTGATTGAGGACATACTCGTTAGCGAGAAACTCATAACACGTGTGGGATCAAGCAACGTACTTGNNCAGAGGGCATGGAGATACCATTCTCCGAGAAGCCGTTTCCGTGCATATGGAAGACGTGTGATCCAGATCCGTAAGCATAGGTGTACCAGAGGACGTTGTCATCACGACACATCTCAAAGATTGGGTTGTTGGAAAGAACATAGCCGTTCATGCTGTAGAAGGTTGGACCATTGCCATGTCCCGACGACAAGAGATTGGTGATTTGAGGTTTCCAAATGGACTCGTTGCCATAGCCTGCGTTAGGACTGAGAAGGTCTTGGAAGTTCTCGTATCCAGCCGGTGGGTAGTAAGTGCTGTTGTAAGTTGAGTTTGCGTTGCCGTTTGATGTTGAGTTGAGCCTTTCGTTGATCTGCGACAGGAAAGATGACTGCTCATCCATGGACATGAACAAGAGGGGGAACTCTCTCCAGTTCGCCATAACGTGCTCCATCTGACCTCTTGGGTAGATGAATGTCGGGCCAATCAGACCAGCGTTCGTGCCTTCCTGCATGGTGACATAGGAGTGGTAGCTGTGACCCTTGGCGGGCTCGTTGACAGTGTTGGGTCNCTATGGACGTGTCAGACCGTTTCGGGTAGATATACGATTGACCAGCGGCTACTTACCAGCTCCTTCGTTGACCATCCACTTGTACACGACACATTTACCTGGAGAAACGGCCATGGTTTCGACGAATGGAGATTCCTGACCAGGCATAGTGTTGTTGGGGTAATCACCACCCTCGGATCCTTTGTCGTACATCAAACCCATCGAGTGCATAGAGGCATAGTTCTCGGTCAAGTTGTTGAGGAACATGATTTCGATCAAGTCGCCAACCTCGGCACGGATGATGGGTCCAAGGGTGCNCTCCCAGGATGGTCTCTCGAGTTTCTGCTCGAAACTTGCATCAGCGTAGCCGCGGTAGAATGCCTTTCTCCATGTCAAGCGCGGAAGGTAGTTGGAAGTCTTTGCGCGTGGAGAAACATCGATGGGGACGCCCATGTAGTTGTCCCAACCGGTAGGGGCATAGTTCCAATCTTCCTCTTCCGCGGCGATATAATGTTTGCGAACATTGCCACTGAACTTGAAGTTGGAAGGAGTAGGGTTAGGCAAGTTGCCGTCCAGGGTTATCGTGGAGCACGCATCGGCAGCATTGGCGGCGGCTAATGAAGCCTGGGCGGCGATGATCGAAACCGAAGTGAGGAGACTGGGTACGAAGCGCATGCTTGAGGTAGTTTGAGGTCGTTTGAGGTCGTTTATGATGCACTAATCACTAGTGAGGGAAGAGACAATATATTATATACATATACAGGTACCACGCGTTGTTTTCGCGGACCTGAACATACGTCATCAAAGTTTCCTCGCCGTATGGCCGGGAGCCCGGCGACAACGATTGACTCCGAGGAACCCGAAGACAGTTCTGGTGTTGCTGTACGTTGCAGTCGGTCTCAAAGGTTCTTGGTCTTGGCTGCCGACATAAACTCAGTAGAGCGTCACTCAAGGACGCCAAACCGATGAGACTACCCAAATAGAGTTTGATATTGCCAATGCTTGTTTCGTAGGGGCTTAAACAAGACAGCAGATCTAGCAACACGGCGACATTCACATGCCGCGGACCCTCAAGTTGGATGATGATATCCCATCTGGGTAAGGGCATCTTACTGAAGATGACTTTTTGCCGATGTGTTGATTAAGAAGCTACTCCGCGGTCATCTTTCAAGGACCACCTCATCACTGGAGGACGCAAGCAGTCGGCGATTGTCGGAACAGGCAGCATAACATGTTGAGAGGCCCCACGCACTGCCAGAGTCGGCGATCGAACCGCGATGATCTTTGGCATCGTTCATGTTGGTATTGTAGTCCATTTATTTCCGGCAGATGTCAAGGAGTCCAAGACATGGAGAATCTCATGTCGGCAACTGCAGCAAGATGTCGAAGACGTGGGAATGCCGTCCTTCCCGCATAGAAGCTTTTTGCCAAGCAACTACGTCGAAGGTCTGGCCTCTCCGCCATATTACCATTGCTTATATTGTGATTGGCCACGGAGCGCGCCTTCCGAGTGCAACTTCCAACGCTCTTTCTTGAACACATCTGGTTTGACGTATGTGTGTCTACGATCGTCGTTCGCTTCGAACTTACTTGCGATCGCTTTGTGAAGTGGTATACGCGTCTTCCGAGGCACGTGCTGGTGTTTTGACCAAGGCTTTCTCTCCGATCAGCACCATCATCGCCGAGGGGTTCAGGGAGAACCGGAGCTAAGCATTCGTGAGCGACTGCATCTCACTCGGCATCTGCCTCAACGGATCCTCGATAGAGCCGAGTACTTGTATAGATCCATATCCCGACCCATGAAGATCGATTCACTTACAGATCGACCGGAATGCTGGAACCTTCATGATTCAACGATAACTACATACACTGCGCTTGGTATCATTGCGCTAACTGCGCCGATGTAAGAAGGCTGAGAAGTCGCGTAACTAATCGTTGCATAATTCATCCATGGTACAGTTGATATCTAGGAGATGACACTCGCCAAGATATCTTGCGTTTGGTATTTCTCCTGCCCAAGCATTCCGCCCTTGAACGCTAAGTTCAACTCATGCATTCGAAACACGCACCACGCTAGATCGGAGAAACCAGTCTGGTACCATCCCTGAAGCTCTTGGCTGTCTTCGAAGGACTGTGCCCCATCACTCTACATACGGAGGCAGCTCTTCAAGCTCACGGAACTCCTGCATCGAAACATCGTACCCCAAATGCCTCTTCAACAACTCATGCGTCACAAACCTCTCTGGAGTATTTCCCTGCGCATCCACAAACGAAACGTGATGGTTCACATCACTAATTCTCTGCAACTCATTCGCATGACGATGGTGATGCGGGCATCCATCAACTCCAATCAAGAAGATCGTTACATGCGCCCAGGACAGGCCTAACAGCTCGAGTTCGAATTCATCCATATCGGTTGCTTCGCCATCGAGTAGAAGAAGGAGGCGTAACATGGGTGTTTGTGGTCCTGCTTGCCAGCCATACACGGGGTGGTATGTCGCCGACTCGGAGTGTTTTTCGAAATGGCGCTGCTTGACTTNTTGCCAGCCGGTCATGACGCGAGTGCCGCCGCCTATGGCGATTCTGTTCCAGGTCTTATCGAGGTTGGTATGACTTATCGTGCCGACGAATTTGGCGTGACTGGAGAAGGTGACGAGGTCGTAGCCGTTGAATTCGTGATCGTGGTTTGCCATTGCGTCGATGAAGCGTCGGATAATGGCTTTTGCGACATNCTGTTGGGCCAAGATCAGTATCTTCAGAGTCACTCGAGGTTCGTGATTGGATCTGATACCTTTGTTCTTTGGCTGAGTCGACGGAGCATATCCAGTGATGAGGTATTGATCGTAACTATATGCGTTTCAGCCATGCTCGGCCAATTTCGGAAGCATAACTGCGGTCACTTACACTGGTCGGATCGGGTCAAAGTCCATTGATCCCGAGATATCCAAAAGTATCATAGTGTCATCTGTCGGCACCTCTGGCCTATCACTCGATCTGAATGGGCTTGGCATCACTTGCTTCGAGTATCCCTTCGACGTATGCTGTAGATGGCAAGTGTCATCAGCGGAGTAGTAATCTGGCGGCGGTTCCACAGCCTTCGACATGCGATCTCGAGCCATATTCATCTCGGAGATGAAGTCTGGTTTCATTCGTACGACATTCGATGGTCCCTCTCTGTGGTTCAGCACCCAGTACAACCGTTCCTCAGCTGTATCTTCATATCCTCGCCATTGTGGCGTGATGCCCCGCCAGCCTCCAGCAGCCTCGATGTTGAATGTGAGTATACTGCTAGCTTGATCGGCCCATGCGACAGGTATGGGTTCAAAATATCCTGCTCGCAACAGATGGAGATATTGCAGAGGTTGATGTGTGCGCAGATGTGCAATCTTTCTCTCCATACCGACCTTGTCCTGATACTGCGCAACGATTTCTCGAGTCTCGTCATCTGGCCATCGGCCTGCTTCTTCCGCAAGGATACTGTGCCGTAGGCTAATGCCCTGGCCGATCGCCTTCTCCGATTTTGCTGTTGCTCTCTCATCTGATGACTTAATCCCCACAGCTTTTCTGAACGCTGCGAATCTGGACGAGCTGCTGCGCTCAGATTGCCCGTTGGGTCGTGACGTGAGCTTGGAACCAGATGCTTTCTCAGCTGGATAGCTTTTGGCATCGACCTCGGGAGTAGATGGCGTGCCTTTTTCGGGCGCAACCGACAAATTCGACATTACGCTTTCCAAGGTCTTGTCATCCCAGATGCTGTGCTTGGGCTCCATCGCATCAACCTTAGCCTGAGCTTCACGATTTAACTGGTTGTTGAGCGAGATTGTCTGATGAATGAATTTGACATGGTAACCAGGGCGAGGATGCGACTGGACCCAATTCGAACCTCCATAGCCATAAGGCGAGGTAATGCGAAGTTGATACGGATTGCCACTAAACAGTGTGGTTTGTGGTGCCAAGTCGTGATAAACCTTTTCGCCAGGATACATGACTGCTTCCGACCATTGCGTCAATACATGTCGACGACCACGCTTCATGCGTTGGTATTGGTGGATTGGACAGGAACAGGGATAATCGCTGTCGTGTTCGGGTTCGATTTCGCTGTTGTAGATACGATACCGCATTTGCACGTCTTGTAGGGCGTTTTGCATTTCTCGNNCTGACAAACAGAAGTCAGCATCAAGCACAAGTTTGCATGTTACACAAAGATCAATGGGCTTCCAGTGAATGCGTACCTCGGTCTGGGCGCGCAATTCCGCGGCCTTGTCCACAGCATTGACATGAGGCACATGGCGTCGCTNTTTGGTCGCATGTCCATTTGTTGGTGTGGTTTGACGGTGACTGTCGACTGGTCGCAGTTTTGCTTTGGTCGGCGATGTGCTGCTGCTCTTCCTGTCGGGCATTGCGGGCGGCGTCTGAACCAGAGTCGCGGTCGTGGCGCCGTTATCCTGAGTATCCAGATCTTGCGCGAAGTGCCAGTCGTCGTGTTCCGTCCTGTCGTGCGAGTGAATCTCTTGGTTGCATCTAGGGCAAATGTATCTCTTTCCATGACTCTTGTGAAAGGTAGGCGAATGTTGTGAATAGAGCAATTCAAAAGAATTGAACATGACGGTTATATCAATTGGTTGCGGGATTATGCGTCGCGTCAGATGACGCGCCACCCACCATGGTAGATGGATCCGTATAACCGTCAGCCACACGAAGCGTGATTTACTGTAGACACGACGGAAATAACAAGGCAACAATTGAGAACATATAACAACAAGGCGCCAATGCTACTTGCGAGACACGATATACCACAGAATATGTACTCCAGAAACACCTCGCTATGCTCGCTCAAAACCCAAATGCATCAAGCAGAGAATTCGGATCAGGTTCCTTAAATGCTTCTGGTGGCGACTGTTTCAATCCCTTTGGCAGCTTGTACTCCTTTTCAGCTTTCTCATCACCAGTACTGCCAGTCTCCGGATCTTGTCGTGCGTCGACTTCCGCACCCTTGTTGTGTATTTCCACATCACTTGGTTCTGCTTTCGAAGCGTTGCTGTCTTGAACATTGACCGTCGTTCCATCCTGTTTCGCATCGTCGTTGGCCGAGTTGGGCATCGAAGTCGGCATCGTTGGGTTGGCTAGGAATGTAGATGTTTCGACATGAGACTCCGACGATGTCTGTTTCACCTCGTCTGCCACAGCAGGTAGCGGTTTGGAGGATACTGGAGGTGTAGCCCATCGGTCGAGCAGAGAAGGTGGTGCAGCTTTAGAAGACTCAATGCTGGGCTTTGCGACAGGCGCACTCCAGTAATCGAGCATCGAAGGTGCTGATCCAGTATCTGTCTTTGTCGTAGATGGCATCGGTGAGCTCCATTGATCAAGCATCGACGGTGTCGACGACTGGGCCTTGAATTCTTCCACTTTTGGTTTCGCAGCCGGTACAGTCCAGTCATCGAGCAGTGATGGTGCAGGCTTGGATGCAGGCTGTGGTGCTGAAGACCAACCATCAAGCATCGAAGGCGCAGTCGTTGTGGGTTTCACCTCTGACGCTCTGGGCTTTGTGGGTGATGCAGTCCAGTCATCGAGGAGCGAGGCTGCAGGCTTGGAGACGGGCTGAGACGGCATAGCCCAACTGTCAAGCATTGACGGTGCGGCGTTAGATTGCTGCCTGGGTCTTTCCGGCATGGACCATTGTTCAAGCATGGAAGGTGCAGGTTTGGTTGCGGATGTTGCAGGAGAAGTCCATTGATCAAGAAGGGAGGAGGACTGTTTGACTTGTGGCGATGGCGCACTCCATCCGTCCAGCATGGATGGCGCGCCGTTCTCATGTACAACAGGTCTGCCTTCAGGCAAGTCAGCAACGACAAGACTGCTGCGTCGACGGAGCAGTTTCCTTGGGTCAAAGTCGTCAGTCGTAGTCCTTGACAATTTGCGACGGGGTAATTCAGCGACAGATTCGTCGACTTCTTCTTCTTCTTCCTCCTCTTGCTTCGTGGTAGGTGGTGGCTGCAGAAACTCCCAATGTCGTACCAGATCTAGGGCGAGGATGTCGCAACCCATGCGCAAGAGTAATGTCGCGGTCTTGGTAATGAACTCCCACTCCTCTTTGCCGCTGATCATCAGAGCGCCTCGTAAAGTTTGCAAGCTCTTCTCTCGCAACTGCTGGTAGAGGACGACAAGTGCAGGATCATCGTTTCGGAAGCTCTTTGCTTGTAGTGAATCTGGTGGCGAGCCTGGCGGGTCAAGTAATGAGTGCAGAGGGCTGACAAGCGCGCGCACAGCCAGCGATCGTTCTCCGAGCATCCAGTATGTCCAGGTCGCTTGGCAGCGGTTGCCATCCAGGGCAGCATTGGGTAGCACACGCTCATTCAGGAACTTCTTAAGTGAAGGAGAGTCATCTCCACCATAAACACGGGCAACAGCAATTGCCAATTGAATGTCGCCGAGCTGGTTGCTAAGGACCGAGACGGCAGAGTCAAGGTTGTCGGCAAGAAGGAAGAAGGCAGCAGCGTACTCGAATCGCCTTTTACCCATTAGCGCATAGGCATTCTTATTTGCAGCAGTGCGCCATCGCGGATCGTTGAAGTCGTTTTTCANAAGACGCATAGTGGCAGCTTGCTCCCTTGACCAGGTAGCCATGCGCCACAAGCCTGTCAGGACATTCTTCTTTCGTAGTGCAAGGTAGTGTAGAGAGCAGTTGACGGGATCGCGGAGTTCTGTGCTTGTATATGCGCTTCTTGCGACCGCCTCGAACTGTTGGAGCAGCGCTTCTCGATCGGTAAGCCACACAAAGACACCGGTATCCCGAGCATGAGACCACGTCATCTGACCCTTGTTGTGTCGAGTGACAATGTCAACAAGGATGTCTTGACTACTGCTGTGATATGCCCAGAGCATCTCACGCCAAGTTACAGCGGCAGAAGAGGATGATTGACGTGACCGCATGACAGCTTCTCGCCAGAAGAGCAGGTAGCGAGCTGCATTGTCATCGATTGAACGCCGGTGCTTTTCTGCCACACCAACGCATTCGATGATGTCGGCTAGACTGAGCTGTTCCGTACTTGACAGTTGAGGAATGGATTTCTCGGAGAGTAGGGAGACCAAAGATTGGGCGACTTCTTCGGTGACGGTAGTTGACTCTTCCTGCATATCAAGAGTGCTGTACGACTTGTGCAATTGCTTGCTAGAGTTTGAGAATTTCTGTTCGAGATTAGCGATGTCCTCCCATGCGTGGTAAGTGAAGAATACTTCGGTAGACGACATAAAGTCGTCAATGTCAAGGCCCTGAAAAGAGTCGAGGTCGTCACCCTCGGTATAGAACTTGAGTATCTTTTGTAGATTAAGCAGAATACGGTGAACAACGTCCATCTTGCCAGCAAGAATACATTGTGATATAAACTGTGGATGAAATACAGGAAGGGGGCCATTGAGCCTGCGGACAACGTCCTGAATGCGAGTGGATGACTTGTGCGGAGTTGAGCTGTGCAGGTCCGGTGAAAGGTCTTNTTGAGGATCGACCTCATTCCCAGCGAGGTAGAGCTGATTGCCAGCGCCGATGACCAGATTGCCGGAGCCCAGCCAGACAGAGTCTCCGATGGGATGAGGAGATAGATTGCGAATGTTGATTTGCTTGATGCGAGCCCATGAAGGGCGTTCGGTGACGTAGTCGTAGCGGAGCTGAGTATAGACAAAAACCGCGTGAGGGAAGCCGACAGCAAGAATGGACTGATTGTCGGGAGTTGAAGCCCAGTCGAGGTCTTGTATGATCTGGTTCTCGAAAGTCTCCTCGTAGTCAAGACGTCCACTTTTGGTGTCCCAAATAGTCAGAGTGGAGCGAGACTTGTCGACCAAAGCAGCTTTGCGGATAGATGTGCCGCTGCCGAGCGAAGGCTCTTGTATACTCGTGTCAGTAGTGGAAATGTTTAGCCAAGTCACAGACTTGTTCTGACGGTCGATCTTGGCGGTCCATGTTTGAAGAAGGCCAGCAGTTGTCCATGACACAGCGACGTCTTGAGCGAAGGTGTCAAAGAGGCCGGAGACGACAGGCGAGCTGCCTGCAGGGTCGACAGGCAAGAAGTACGACATGTTCTCGATGCGGTCGAGCTGGAAGGCACAAAACTCGGTTATGGTCGGTGAAGGAGCAGCAAGATCGAGCTCCCAGACGACACCATGCATATCTGCAGTTACAGTGGCGAGGTATGACAGATGGCCAGCATCTTCAGGAGCAGGGAGCAAGACGAGGCAGAGGGGCTTGCCAGAAACTGAGTATGGACAACGGCCGATCTCTTTTGAATTGGGAAGACGAGCATCCCACAAGGAAATGCTTTCGTGATGTAGAAGGACGACAAAGTCACCGTCTTGCAGCAAGACAGTGCGGTGGATGTGTTCTTGCAGTTTCACCTTGCTCTTTCTGACCAGGAACTTGGCGCGGTGTTTCCAAACAACGCCTTCGTCGGTATCGGTGCGCGAAACGACGGCTGATCCGTTGGCGGTTCGAATGAGTTTCTTGATCGAGGAAGAATGGCCAGTCCATGAAGCCAAGTTGCGCATACGATGTTTGCGCGGCGAAGGATCGAAGACATGGTGTACGCTACCTTGGTACCACTGGAGACGGCCATCGAAGTGGTGAACCAAGAGGGCAATGTCTCCAGGCTGGCCAGGCAAAGCAAAGTTGATGATGCGGGCATTGTCTTCGTCGATGTGTGCGTGCTTGGAGAAGTCGAAGAAGAGGTTCTCGACGTGAGTGGCGTGGAAGAACTCGCCGTGTTCATTGTTGCTTGTCCTCTTCTTGCAGCCGACATTTTCCAGACCCCATGCGCTCGTGTGTCCTTGATCATCCGTCACCACGACAATGTCTGGGTTCCTCTTGGCAAGCTCTTTCATGTAATCAATGGCGTGTCGCTCGGCGGGGACAGTCGGAATGTTGACAGCGTGCTCGACAGCATTCTCGAAGACGGACGAAGGCACGAGGAAGGCGTAACGACGATTTGACGGCACTAGAGGACGGACCGCCTTGGTCAGGTCAAGGTCAGCGTAGAGACCAAGGACGTCCATCTGCTGTGGTAAACCAGTCTTCCAGACTCGCAGTCGACCGTCCAAGCAGATGGTGTAGAGGACGTCCTCGTCGGCCGAGTCTTTTCTCCATTCGACATGGGTGACGATGTCTGGGTGAGAGAGGTAGGCGTAGTCAAAGATGGCGGATTCGAACGAGAGGCGGCGCCAGACCTTGACGAGGCGATCGTATTGCGATGTGGTAGCCAGGAGGGCGGCCGAGGGGGAGAAGGTGGCATGCGACACGGGTGACGGCAAGGAACGAGTCCAGCGGATTGAGTGGTCTTGAGTCGACAGCAGAACGACCTTGTCGGAAGCGACGAGCAGCTCGTCGTCGGTGCCCCAAGACAAAGTGTGTATCTNTTTATCTAAGATGTCGAAGGTCATGTCGAGGAACCAGCGCAACTGGCCCTTGATCTCCTCGCGCAAGACGTAGATGTAGACATTGTCGCTGGAGGCGGTCGCGATCTTTGCGGTTCGGTGATCATATGAGACGGCGACCAGGACAGACGGAGGAAGGAGGTCGTCGTGGTAGATGGTCTGCAGAAGCGAGTCGGGTCCGTTGCAGATGATGAGGGCGTTGCCCGAGATGTAGCAGATGACCGTCTGCCCTTCAAAAGCCCCTGTCGACACGGCCTGCAGTTGAGCTTGTGGTCGGCCAGGGAGAATCGCTTGCATTGTGGCCTGCAGCTCGCTATCGCTTCATATTTCCTCCTCTTGGTTTTAAACCGAACGTACGACTTGAATGTTTCTGTTTCGCTGCACCTTCCATCCATGTGACGATGATGCTGCCCCGGAGGTCCAAGCTCTTGCCCGCGATCACACGTCTTGGCATTTGTTCTTCGAATACTCTGTCAACCTGTTCCCCCTTTCATGAACCATGCTACATGCCATGTTCTAATATTTTCTCGCAATCCTATTCCCAAGAGGAAGGAGAAGTGCTAGAGAGATTTGCTATGCAACATTGTATCACCAAGACCGACACAACATCTGCCTCCTTGATGACCAAAATTCTCCAAAACGTCCCTCTGTTTTGATCCTGGCCGGTCACCTTGCTCTCAGTTTTGCGTAATCCAATCAACTGTACATGAGGGACTGATGTGTCCAGACCCGGCTGAAATATGTACAACTAGGACCATTATCCATTCGAAGAGTCCCCATGCAGCTGAGTACTATAACGGGCAGTCGGGCAAGACGTTGGAGATGCGGCATCTCCGAAGAGCTGACTCGCCAACGGCAACCACCTCAACTTGTCGTGATTCTTTTCGCAGTCTTTGTGACCTGTTTCTACCACAACCTTGGTGAGGTCAGTCGGTGACACATGAATCGGACAATCAGCGATAGGTGTAAACACCAGATCCTCATGAAAGACTTCCAGATCGGATCAGAATCTCTGCTAAAACCACACTCGCTCCTCGTCGAGCAACCGTTGGCCGTTATGGCCTTTTCCGGCGCCCAATCTTGCGAAACCAACACTATATACGCTCCTTCCAAGCCTTGCCTAAGACTCTTGTTGAAGCTTGAGAGGAGCTGAAAAACGTTCAACTAATAGCAGAACCATGCAGTTCCGTACAAATTTCAACACTATATAATCCGCTCCCAAACAAGTAGAGAATGGGTTGTTCTCTGTTCTTTGTTTGGACAGCAGCGCACAAGACAAAACATGCGCTACTCACAGACTGTGTTGCAGTTCTTCTCTCTGTTGCTGGCAGTTCATGCATTCGCCGTTGACAAACGAGGATGCGTTTCTTCTGATGTTGCGTTGGTCAAGTCACAAGTCACCCACCCCGACTATCTATGCACTTGGTACTTGAGCGAGTATGTCCAAGTTCAATGAGTGTCCTATGCATACTGAAACTAATCTTCATGAGCAGANGGGAGAACACAGTCCCCGGTTCCTGGAATCAAAGTCAATGCACTGTTGAATGCTTGCAACTGTATCATCGACGCAGCCCCCTCTGGCACTTCAGCTCAGATCAAGAACGAAATTGCGGAAGCTGCACGCTCGCAGACCTTCACATACGGAACCTGCCCGGTTGCGGCTTATGCGTTCATCAACAATGAGTTCAAGGATCCAGCTGCATTCTGTAATTTCTGGGGAAGCTGGCAAGTCTTTCTTTCGAACATGTGGTCTTGCAACATCTCTGACATGTTCCTTTAGGCCCAGAGTAGACTCACCAATCCCGAACAAGAACGATCCCTCAATCAGACATGCTTGTGGATGCATTCTGGCAAACGCAAAGTCGGCCTCAAAATCATCGTCTAGCGGCACTCCAAGTACCAAGAAGACCGTATCGTCCATGACAACTTCCAAGACCCAGGCTTTAAGGTCAAGCAGCAAAGACTCTCAACCTCGTCGATTCTCTCACACTCGAGCAGCCAAAAGACATCGACATCTCATACAATTGCAAGTAGTAAGAGTAGTTCTTCACCGATGAGCTCCAGTGTCCGAAAGACTTTTTCCTCTCCTTCACCAAGCTTCAGCAGCAAAAGACTTCTTCTGCCACAAGTCATAGCAGTGTAAAAGCTTCTGCATCGTCTAGCAGCGGAAAGCCTTCTTCCGCAAGCTCTTTTGCAAAAATCTCGCGTTCCACATCAAGCAAATCGAGCACAGCTACTACGACCAGATCAAGCAGCAAAGCAAGCTTGAGCCCAAGCAGCAAAAGCTCTTTGCACAAAGCTACCCCTTCTAGCTCTGCAAGCAGCCACTCGTCTCATGTATCGATCTCTGTACCATCGGCTTCGAAAAGCATCACGACGTCTCTTTCAGCACTGCGCTCTTCGTCCTCATCTTCCTCCTCAAGCTCCAAGTTTTCAACTTCTATATCTGTCAATGTACCAACCTCAACCATCGATGCATACGATGTCATCACCTCTTTGAGGCTCCAAGGATTTTGTACAGCCCTTCTCGGATATGCGCCTTCCGTGGTCACAGCCACACGAACAAGCAACAACTCGATCGCTGTGACGGAATCTTCTATTGTCACAGAATTCGTGACCGTAACAGAGACGGATTTCGTGACAATCACCTCTTCCACGGCTGCGACTACCGTCCCTGCCCAGAAGCGTGACAATTTCGTGACCCCATCTGCACTTTCGGATTACGCAAGACCGGCCCTCAAATCTGCGTGCAGCAGAGCCATTCCACCACCATACACTTCTACTGCCACGATACAGGTCAATCGGACAGCAATCTCGACCGTTGATGTCATGTCTACAACAATCGCCACTCTGATGGTAACAACCACCTCCACGACTCTGGTTTCACCCTCACCAGTCAACCTCCTTGTGAACGGTGATTTCAATACTGGTGACCTATCTGGGTGGACCGCAAGCAGTGATGGCTCTGGAGTACAAGCATATGTCGGCACCTCGGGTTCACCTACTGGTAGCCCGCACATGATTTGGTCCATTGACGGCTCCGCTGGAACCACTTCATATCTATACCAGAACGTCTCGGGCATAACCTCAAAGAACACTTGGTACAAGATGACCATGGATTACATGATGGAGTTCGTAGGTCCTTTCAGTGGCACAAGATGTATCCTCTATGGGCAAACCGATATGGGTGCATACTTCGAGCAATCCGCGCCTGACTTAGGGTCTGAGGATGGCAATTACAATTCGGATGCGGTCAATCCGTGCTCGAACACACTGATCCGTCAGCCAGTACCTAGCGCTGGGCAATGGGTAACGGTCACTAGCTACCTGCAGTTCCCAGATGCGATAGATTTTGATGAATATCTGGATGAGATTGATTTAGGCTACGTCAATCCGATGATCCACTTTACGACAGGCTGTGCACAGGGAATCCAGAATACGATCCACGTGGACAACCTTGTCTTGCAAGTTGCAACAGAATGCTTATAGACTTCGAAGGTAGCAATAACAATCAAAATTGTACTTCAACATTTGACAATGATGGACACATGCAGAAGCTTTCAGATTTCAGCTTTCTTTTCTCTTGTGTTGTTTACTGCAACTATCAGCCAAGCTAGCTTTCATATCGAATAGAGGAGCGCTCACATGAAGTCGAGTTTGTGGGTCACTCAGATTTGCTAGCTTTATCCTTGACACAAAGCTTGGAACATCTTGCGCAACACGCACAATGTGATTGTGCGGAAAACAGATCTACTAATAATCTAGCTATCTCCCTGTCTTATCAGGTGATAGGTCCGATCACGCTTTGCTCAGCGTTATCGCCCCACGCTAGTCTTTGTCTCCTGCCTTGTTGGGAAGGTCGACACACGAACTCCGGCACTACATTGCAGATCTACCCTAGTGCTCCCCCCAACCTTCGCTACCCCTCGACGTGTCCAGCCTATGCTCATATTCGCACCTGCTTAGCGCTGCCCACTTGACTTTGATGAACAAGTGCGCCTCCCACTGCCGTGTCTATGATCGCCATACTGCATATTATAGTGCTGCACGATCCCATGGCCGAAGTGGGCAGGTAGGTAGATAGCTAGGTCACTAGGTGGTGCCTCTTGTCGTGTTCATGCAAAGTATTCATCAACTGATATAAAGTCTCTCCGCCTGTGGCTTTTGTCTTTCTTGTAAGTCTTCATCATTGTCCGTCATGTATAGCCATCCCCCGAAGCTTGCAGTGCTTTCGCTGTTGAGCAGCACAAGTGTGCTCGCCGCTCCATGGCAGAAATCGGAACCTCATGCTTTCCCTCACCCAGGGTGGTCATTCCCAAGGTACTTTGACCTGTTTTGGCTACACACGATATAAGCACTCATCGTCCCAGCGTCATCACTCCAGGTCAGCCAGCACCCTCTTTCCATCACTCTAAGTTTCCTTGGCCTATTGCAAACTCCACCGCGATCTTTCCAATTGGGAGTGGCACTGGAAGCCACTCTACGATCTATTCCACAGATACTGTAACAAGCACTGCCACTTCTCAAATTGCAATCACTCTGGCCCCTCCAACAGCAAGACCCTCACCTACATCAATGACTTCCGGGACCCCTGGTTCCAGTCTTTCTCCTGGTGATGCAGCCTGTGTCAGCGTCAAGGAGCTTGTGGCTTCGCAAACTTCTGCATCCCCCAAAGCTACCCCGACCATCCCTGCTGAAATTGCTTACGAGTGCTTGAACGCCGTACCATTCAACCAGAGCGCAGCGGCAGACTTGTTGGAGAGTATGAGACCGTATCTCCAATGGCAAACTACTATTGAGTATCTGAAAGACCCACCTGCTGAGGTATGTTTCTCTATGAACAGGACAATCACCCTTATAATCACTGTCTTCATTTCCCCAAGTGTAAGCCACTGATCGCATATGCAGTACGCCGAGAAGATCCAAGCTCCCTACGACTTCTGGAATGTCTTCGAAGGTATCGTCGCCAAGGTAAACGCTGGCGCTTATGCCAGCGAGTATGCCTTTGGTTTCGATCTTTACGAAGCTACTCAAAAGACCCACGATGGACACTTCGCCTTTGTGCCTGACAGTGTCGTTGGAGTTTTCAGCTTTGGACGCAAGACCCCTCTTGTCTCTGTATCAGAAGACGGAACGAGTCTTCCCGTCATCTACGCCTATGCAGACCTTCTCACCGCATCATTCGGAAACGCAACATTTACACCTTCTCCAATCACCCATATTGATGGCAGAAACGTGACTGAATATCTGCTTGAGTGGTCTCAGTACGGTAGCCTCCAGGACAGGGATGCTTTGTGGAACAATCTATTTTACATCCCTGCCCAGGTCTCTCTCGGAACATCAGGCACTGGTACTGGTACATTTAGCGGAGGCGGTCGCGGTAGATATGTCTACCCTGGAGCTACGACGACCTTCGACTTTGCCAACGGAACATCGGCCACTAACGAGAACTTTGCACGCGTGCTCCAAGATTTTACCAACATCACCACTGGTGCCGATGTCTATCAGCAGTTCTTTGCTGTGGGCCCTGAAGCATACCAAGACGCCCTGCAGCTCGCTACATCTACGACCAGCAGCAGCACTACTAGCCCAACTACCAACGCCACCAGCTCGACATCAATGGCTGTGAAGACTACTCCTGCCCCAGGATACCCTTCTCCAGTGGTCAAACAAACCAACAACCTCAACTCAGGCTACTTCATCCCCGAGGCCGGCTATGACGATGTGGCAGTCCTAGTTGTGCCATCCTTTGTCAGCCTCGACACTGCAGAAGTCGAGTTCCAGAACGTCAACAGTGAACTCATCGCCGCTGCACTAGCCGCAAACAAGACCAAGCTCATCATCGACGTCTCTGCCAATGGCGGTGGCACTATCTTACAAGGCTATGATCTCTTCAAGCAGCTCTTCCCATCCATTCTTCCGTATGGTGCTACTCGTTTCCGCGCACATGAAGCATTTGACGTGCTTGGTCAGGAGTATTCCGAGATCTCGGCACACTATCCTAGGAGCTTGGCTGAAAATGATACTGTTCGCGGTATACTCTCTTCGGCATGGAACTACCGCACCGACGTCGATGTCAACTACGAAAACTTCAACAGCTGGGATGAGAAATATGGGCCTCATGAGTTTGGCCCTTACAACGATACCTTCACTTCCATCATTCGATGGAATTTGTCCGATGTATTGACTACGGATAACTCTGGCGGTATTGTTATCAGTGGCTATGGAAACCGCACGAACGTCACTACTCAACCTTTCGCTGCCGAAAATATCATCATCGTCTATGATGGCTACTGTGCCAGTACATGCACCATCTTCTCTGAGCTGATGCGCCAACAAGCCGGTGTAAAGACCGTCGCTCTCGGTGGCCGTCCCAACTACGACATCATCCAAGCTGTTGGCGGTGTCAAGGGCACAAACGACTTCCCCTGGAGCTACATTCTCGAAAGTATTGAAGGAGCTTTCTCCTTTGCCAACGAAACTCATCGCGAATACTTGAACGACAGCACTCCTTTCGGCTACTACAATCAACTGCCACTCTATCGCTCAGCATCCGGTCCCGTGGTCAACAGTAGAGATGGCATCAGACAAGGCGACACTACAGAAACGCCTTTACAGTTTGTTTATGAACCAGCCGATTGCAGGATCTTCTATACACCAGAGATGGTGGTTGATCAAGAGGCTGTGTGGAAATCTGTTGCTGACAGTGTGTGGGGAGATGTCAATCATTGTGTTGCAGGTAGTGATCAGTTCTATGGTCGCAGCAAGAGAAGTGTTGGGGTGCAAGGGCAGAGGCATATGGTTAGAAGAGACATGAACTTTGCTGAGCATTGGGAGGGTCTGGGTGTTAGTACTGGAGAAGGACTGACACTTGGTGGTGATGCTATTATGTATCCTTAGAAGAGAAGAGTATCAGGTTTTCAATGGATGCAATCGGTTAGTTAGTATATGAGCTCGTGATGATATTCAAAGCAGTTAACGCTTATCATCTTTGCAGCGTAGTGCTATACCTATTCGCGGAATCGCAGCAAACATCTCCTGATTCCTAAATGCAACTGCACATAGTACGAGATAACCTAACGTACGTATGGATACGTGCATATGGCAACTTTTCTTTCCAACCGCTGCAATCTTTCATGTGGGGGCGAAGCGCAAAAAGAGAACATGTGGATTCGTAGGTGCGCTTGCGAGGATGAAATCCCGGCGGGGACAAACCTTATATCGGCCTGTATCCTTCCGAATCTCATCGTGAACAGTTCCCATCTGAAACTCGGACCCAGGCCACTTGGAAAGACGAGGAATTCTTCCTTTCGCTCATCTATCCCCTAGTTTGTCGTGCCTGAGGCCCTGAGGTCCTGGAGGACTCCCATTCCGGCTCCTTCCTTTCTTGATCGGCTACCGCGCGTTCTTTCACTTTGCGATGATAAGGCTGTCGCGTTCACATGCTATGAATTGATGGAACTGGTGCCTAAACCTTTTATCACTTTTATATCGCCGATGCCACACCTGATCAGGATTCATTTCAACTGAACTCGCACCATTCCACAAGACTTTTTCTTTTCCTAAACCGGCTCAGCCGCTCAGAGCATCCTTCTTGTTCGTTCTTGACGTACTCAAGAGAGAGTGCAAAATGAGAGATCAATATAGTCTTCTATCTTTGACAGCTACTGAGGCTCAGGACCAGCTCCAGAAAGGTGCCATTACCTCGGTGGACCTCGTAAATGCCTACCTTGACCAGATTGCACGCCACAACCACGCTGGTCTCCATCTCAATGCCCTCATCTCAGTCGCACCTCGCGAAAAGCTGATCGATGTTGCAGCCAAATTGGACGCTGAACGCCAGGCTGGGCGATCTAGGGGTCCCTTGCATGGAATACCTATCGTCTTGAAAGATTGCATCTTGACATCTACCCAAGCCCTCGGCTTACCGACGACACTGGGCTGCCCCTGTTTCGCATCGGCAACATCTCTGCATAGCTCTCCGCTTGTGGATCGATTGTTAGACGCAGGTCTCCTGATTATAGGCAAAGCAAATATGACCGAGCTCTGCGGACTCAAGATGCGGCCTAACACGGCTGGGTGGTCGGCTCAAGGCGGTCAAACCCAGAATCCGTACATATTCGGAGGCTTGGANAAAGATGAAAAGTTCATTGGCAATTCATCTGCCGGAGGATCTTCTTCAGGAAGCGCAGCAAGTGTCGCTGCGGGGTTTGCACCCCTAGCTCTAGGGACCCAAACGGGTGGATCGGTAATACTCCCAGCAAACAGAGTTGGGCTTTATGCATTGGTCTGTGGTCATGGGACGGTACCGACGCAGGGGAACTACTGTCTTTCCCGAGAAATCGATTGCATCGGCGCAATGGCAAAGAGTGCCACCGACGTGAATCTACTAGCCTCGGTCATCATGGGTAAAGACATATTTCCTGAATCTGAAGAAGATTGCAGCTTCAGAGACATGAGAGTCGGACTTCTGAATCCAAAGATCTGGCATCTTCCAGGGAACGATTACTGCGACTTTCCAGGCGATACGAGGTCACAGATCGAAACAGCGTTCATCGAAGCTTCGNNTCAAAGATTAGGAGCGAACATTAGGAACGATCTCGAGTTGAGCCTTCCAGGAAAGAATTCCGAAATCCAAGGCAAAAGCCTAGGATACGAACACTGCAGTAAGTTCTTCGCCCGCCTCACAAGAGAAATGATGATTCAGGCCAAACGGCTGCAGCTTGCTTACTCTGGATGTGGTACAGTGCAAAGATTAAAGGGTGGCGACTTTACTGCGTTTGCGGCGCAGTATCAGGATAGCGAGGTACGCACCTTGGAGCAGATGGTTGCGCGGAATGCAAAGCATCCAGACATAAGTACGCCTCCAGGTACGTTGGATTGGATTCCGAGACAGCCTTACGTGCACGTGTGACTGATCCATGCATANGACCATCCATCCCAAGATGAACTGATTCATCTCCTAAGCAATACTTCCACCCCTAAAGAAGGTCAACTCTGGAGGCGCGAGCTAACGAAGCAAGGCAAAGCAGGACTCGATCCTCTTCTGCATGAAGTGGATGTCCTAGTGGCTCTCGCTGATAGCAGTCTGTGTAGTTATTCCTCAGCAGCAGGTAAGAGATCTGTGACTTCTCGGGATATCTATCGTCTTGCCCTGATTAAAGGTGGTAGGCTAACCATGTCTACATAGGCTATCCGATGGCTTGTACACCTTTGGGCATAATAACATACTCGCAGGAGAACTAAAGACCCTTCGGTCTGTGTTTGGTAGCATCGAAAGGAAGAGAACAGATCCTGCTACACTTCTTGCGTGCGTTCGAGCTTGCATTTCCACCTCGCTCGCTCCCTCAGCCTCTCTTGTAAAGGGTTCATGATTTGAGAAGGTGTTAGACTAATGACCAAAGGCTAAAACAACTTCGCCACAACAACACCTCAAGCTTAATTTGTGTCCCTAGTCTGCTACAAGAAGATCGCTACAACGGCTCAGTGAAGATCCTCCCCTGCTTCTACGACGTCCACATTGATAATAATACTACGTACATGGATGACCTCTGTTACTCGAGAAAAACAAGAAGGTGACGAACACTTGTACTCCTTGAGTTTCATTCGTATCTTCCATCAAGAACATATTAAGAATCAGTACCCATCGCTATCTACGCTCTCCATCCACATACAGGCATTCGTATAGTGATCATATTCCCAATCTTCCACCCTTGATCCAGAGTTCAGCGACACGCTGATCCCTGTGTAACCCGACGTTTATGCGACTTGCATTCCTTTCAGCCGAAGCTGTAGCTCTACCCATTGTTGGCTGGGTTCACCATGCAGTAATCGGCGTTATGGACACTCAGATCCGGATTACCGGCCCAGGTGGGGAAGGGATGGGCTTTACCACTACCACCAGCAACTGCGAAAGTAAGAATGAAAACCATAACTTGTGTACCTCCGTCCATGGCTGCAGAGACAAGATAGTTGTATTTGACGAACAACTGTGGGTGGTACTTGCGGATCCAGAACTGACTGATGAAAGCGAGGACAAAGAACATTGTGAGCGAACTGTTGATGCCAACAAACAGGTTGCCCATATACCAGAGGATAATGGATGGATTGAGATAACCCCAGGCTGGGTTCTTGGTGTAGCGATAGGCGAGGTACGTAGGGATCGGAACGATGAAACCAATCAGGTAAGACAGTGTCACCCACTCGTAGCGCGCACCCACACTGAACATCTTCGATGCAATGCTCCATGCGATGGCAAGAGTGTTGAACTGTTGGACATTTTGACCGGACCAGATGTTTGTGCCTTGAATGGATGCCAAGATTGGAGCTTGGTTCTGGACAATGCTCTCCATCATGACCCAATCTTATATGGAATCAGTGATAGCAACTTGACAACAGGTTGATGAAACTTACTGAANAATACCGCCCACAAGGCAGCCAGTGATTTGCAGGACAAAGGTTATGCGAGGCGATATATGGTTCTGCTGGGCCAATCTCAGATCTTTCGCAAGCAATGTAGCTTGAGACGAGGTGTTGTAGGTGAAGCAAGTGAAGTAGAAATTCGCAAGCGGACGACCGGGGAAAAGGTAACCTGCAAGCATCTGACATATAGGCTGGAGGTTGAAGCCAAATCCAGTAATACCTGATTGGGCTCCGANAAACAGTGTGAAGAGAGCGGTGAGCATAAGAGCAAGCAGGTAGCCCCAGCCTGGAAGGGTCGACTGAATGGCAGCATCAGTGTGAGTTCATAGCAGACTCGTATGATGGGCACTTACCTTGATTGAATAGAGACAGATAATGCCAACAACCCAGCTGATCGCCATAACAGCAGCCCACCACCACATCGGCACCTCTCGATACCTGTTGAGTAACATGACTTTGTAGTGACTATCCAGAGTAGGGTTATCGATCTTGCGTTCCATGCGCTCTTCCGGGCTTTCTTCGTTGCGCCAAAACATATATATCTTTGGGTCAAGCAATCTGGACAAGTTGCGAGGATGAGCCCAGGTCCAAGCTGCTTTCAAGTCATCCCAATTCCACAACAACATATACACAAATGTAGCTGTCAGACCCGAATTTGATGTGATCAGATAGGCAATGTAAGTCCCAGTGAGATAAGGCACCCCTTCTTGGGCAAGTTTTTCAAAGTCAATCTCAAACTGGTCGTTCAGAATAAGACTCTGGTTGTAGATTGTGTAGTTGCTCGCGGTGGACGTGCTGTTGTATAGCGCTTGAGATAGGAAGGGGAAATTTTGGGATTCCCATAGGTTGCCGTAGTAGATACNCTGTTTGGATTGGATCAGCAATGAACGATGCTCAAGCCTAAACGACTGACCCATGAACAGGATGTAGCATCCAATGATACCGATCAACATATTGACTGTGGTCTGGAGTGGGTACCACAGTGGTGATTGGAAGGACGCGATATAGTTCCAATCAAAGCAAANAGAGAGAAATCCAAGGCCTTCGTTACCTGAAGCACCACCAAAGAGGTTAGTGAAGACAAGATTGTGTTGGTCAGCTAGGCAGAAGACTGAAACACCAGTCAATACTATGAACATGTACTCCGGCAAGATCTCCCAGAAGAAGATAGCGAAGAATACGATGTACCAGACTCTCATGCGGTGCTTGGTTTCCGCTTTGTCTTTGTGGATGGTCTGTAGTAGTGTCGTTACAGGAAGTGTCATGGGCCATAACATTTTTGTGGGGTAGACCAAGATGTCTCGCAGCATGCCAGCCACGCCGAAACCAAGAAGTTGTGACGAGAGGACAATGAAGATTCCAGCAGCTTTGCTTGGATATCCACCATAGAAAAGGGCTTGGGCAGCCAATGCTTCGGTGGCCAGAGCACTGACGGCTGCGGCGGAAGCCATGATGGTAATTGCTGCATGTTCTTTGCGTTTGAACTCGTGGGGATTCAGGTGTCGAAGCCAGCCTTTGCGAGGAATCGCATAAGCCATTGCGTCTCCAAGAACGTAGGCTATGACAGTCAAGAAGACCAGAGAAACGAAGATCGTTTGTGGTTTGAAATAGAAGATTTCCTGCAGAACCGAGGCGAAGATCGAGAGGCCAATGCCTATGAGCAAACGGTTAGTAGTGTTGGAGTACAACAAAGTTCGTTACGGCTTACCCAAGAACCACGTTCGAAACGTCAATGCCTTTTCGGTGGGATCATCCTCTGTATCAAGGATTTGATCAACAATGTCTCCAGCTGTATCCAAGACGTGCGTTGTCCCCTTGGGCACCGCATCGGACCCATCTTCTGTGTCTGGTTCAGAAGCGATATTAGCATCGGCTTTTGAATCTTTGAAGTCTTCCTTCAAAGGATATGCAGACAACCCAATGTCGTTGCTTTCATTCGAACTTGAATGCTCTGGTCGATCCCAGCTGATACCAGTGTCATCTGTAGGTCGATGGTTGAAGACAGGTCGTTTGGAAGCCATGACTTTTGAATCGAGTGATGAACGGAGCCATTGCCTGGCTCAAGGAACGTCTTTATCCTTCGGCCTGCGCAACCACCTCAGAGAATGATTGATAGTCTACTTAGATGTAATTGGCTACCAGATACGAGCGCGAACCCAATGCCAATCTTTGCTCTTGCCTGCCCGTTTAGGAAGTTGAGAGACTTGGAAACTCTCATATCTTTATCTTATCGGATGGTTCGTCGTGCGTTATTCCCGATGATGTCCGTTGCGTGACTTGATGACCATGGATGTGTCTTATCGAACCTGCTGGTATATGAACGAGACTTGAATACAGGCAAGCGTTCAAACCACAGCGATCTCGACATCATTGTTCAGATAGCATGCGATTCTTCTTATCTGACATTTCGGCTGCTTCACATATTGTTGGCTCTTGTGTTGATCGTCCTCGGAAGTCGGCACGCTCGGCGAAGCCGCACGAAACATATACACGACTGCTGCGCGTAAGAGCACAGCAGGCGATCTGACGATAACCAGATTGCGAGTTCCTGAATTCCATGACACATTTAGGTTAGGGCACCGAGAGGCAGATAACGCGGTCCCGCATGTGCGCATGCAATATCCGAGTTATCCGTGGAAACACCTGTAAAGTAGGGGTCAAATAAGCGAGAGACGGTTGCAAACCGCGGATTGACAACAAATTGAATTTTGTCAAACAAACCTTGTATGCTTGCTGAAGACTGGAGCAAGATATGGGATTCCTCACTGCTGTGACTCTAGAAGAACAGGTGCGTAGGTATCGCTCAAGCTTTGGGGACATATCCGGTGTCATCTGGGTGAGCAGATGATATGTCTTTCTTGCATAAGGACCGCCATGGGTATAAGCCTCCTTTTGTGCGCTCAGCCAACACTCGAGAAAAAACAAGCATACTCCATCTCATCATTGCAAGTGGATATGTGACTCTTCCTTGTAATAGGTGTATGTGTCTAGGCGACGAGAACAAGGATCCAAAGGTATTGTTCACTGATGCAGAAGAGCCAACGAATCACATCAACAGCTGGCGAAAGAGAAAGAGAAAGAGAAAGATACTGTGGAAGTTGGATCAAGTGCGATGCATGCATGCAACAGAAAATCCACGGCGAATTTCTTAAAGAGGAAGGACAAGTTTATAAAGCGAAGGGTAGAATTCTGGATGAGTCATAGTATAGGCAGCAGCCCTGACTACGCGCCGAAAAGCTGCAGCAGGTAGTTTCATGATTATTATGCTCGATAGATCGATGGATGCGCTTTAGAAGGGTTTTGTACGTCTGATGAGAGCTATCTTGCACTGCTTCCCCTTGAGTTCGCAGTATATTGTCAGACGCAGTGGAGTGAGGTTGCAGTGCATGTTGACGAACCTCAGCTCGGTGTGACGTCGCAGGAAGCGCGATGGCCGCTCCCCGACGACGTCTATTGAAACTTCTCTGTGATGACCAGACATTGTCCATTCATTTGATCATGTTCAGCGCCTCTTCCAATACCACTGGGCTAAGCAGACCATGCCTTGATCAGACCACACTATCCACTGTCAACCTCTCAATTCACATTGTGCTTGATTTTGAACAAGTCTTCGTAGGGATGTTGGCAACATAGAGTCTATGCACATTGTTGTATCGGTTCGAATCGGCAGGTCGTTTGCCCCGCGAAATCGTTGGTGTAGGGAAATCACTGGCACCTGAGGATACTCAGTAGCGACGTTTGCATTTGCATTCAGTCAAAGGTGGCCGACGGAGTGCGTTCCGTCCAATCGTCACTTGGCACCTCCATTGTCCTCGAAACTCCCCGCATCACTTCTTGGATACTCTCTATCTTCAGTCTTCCAACCTATCTTGGAAACAATTAGTGTTGGCCCCGAGTGTGTCTGAATTTGTGGGCCTCCTGCAGGATCCCGTGAACGTAGGTCGCATGCTGCAACGTAGAGCTGTGACAGTTCCAGTCGACATGTGTTTGTCCTACCCATGGATATCACTTGTGTAACAACAAAAAGTGCTTCGTTTGTTTGTTTTCGATTCTCTGATGTTCCGTCACGTCATGTTCGCACTCTCGAATACACCTCTCACTCTCACTCCGCTCGATCGAGCATTACCCTTTGTCGTGTTCCTCATTTTTCGCTCTCTCCGACTGCTTTCCTTCCACTTTCGACAACAGTCTTCTCCATAATGACTTACCCTTTCGGTGCTATGGACCTTGAGACAACTGCGCTCATCTTGCAACTTCAGCGCGACGATCTTGAAGCGGCTCTGTCTGAAGGCGACGCGTCTGAGAATGTTGCTCTGGAACTGCAGCTGCAAGAGCTGAGCCTCACCCAGTCCATTCACAAGGACTATACTATCGCACAGAGCTGCTCTCGCGCAATGTTCAATGACCGAAAGATTCTTGCGGATGAGATCTCGGCTGAGCAGCAAGCCGTAAGGGATCGCGAGATGGCTCGCCAACTCAATGAATATCAAAACATGCAGCTTGTTCCATTCGTCCAGCAAGAATCCGAGTCGAAGTCTCAGGAACAGTCCATCCTTAGACAAGAGGCCAGAATCGACGCTGCCCTCGCTATCCCCAACGATGATTCCAGCGAGCAGCTTGTTCTCTACACTGGCGGTGGCACCCCGGAGGATGAGCAGACCGACGATGACTATCACGACCCGACCCCTATCGCATGTGCGGCCTGTACCGAGGAGTTTCCTTGGTTCGACATCCTCGAAGCTCCGTGTCGCCACCACTACTGTGTGGACTGTCTCACTGTGCTTTTCGAGGACTCTATGGTTGACGAGACGATGTATCCACCCCGTTGCTGTCGTCAAACAATCCCGCTCGACGACGCCAAACCCTTGCTTCACCCCAAGCTCGTCAGAAACTTTGAGCAGAAGTCCATTGAACTTGACACCAAAGACAGAACCTATTGCTTCGACCCTCGCTGTTCGACCTTCATTCCTGCCGAACATATCGCTGACGATGTCGCGACTTGTCCGGGCTGCGGAAAGAGGAGCTGCGCCATCTCCAAAGCTGCCGCTCATCGTGGTGACTGCCCTCGGGACGAAGCTCTTCAACAATTCCTCCAGGCCGCCGACAACCAGGGTTGGCAGCGCTGCTATGTTTGTCGCCGTGTTGTTGACCTTCGCTCTGGATGCAACCACATCACGTTCGTCTTGACTTTCTTTCCGACATAGACTGTGCTGACGTATCTGTAGTTGCCCTTGCGGTGCGCATTTCTGTTATGGCAGCCTCGCTAAGGATGAACTTCAAGTACTGAACCACCAAACGACCACAAGATATTGCAATAGAGTCTTCACCAGTTTGAACATACCGATCACGGGAAACCCCTTATGAGAAGCTTATTGATGTTGATTGATGAGAAAAAGCTTAAAGTTTATTGAGTTGCCTTGTTTCCCGAGCGCATACGCGTCCCAAAGCGGTATATCTTATGATCGGATCTACACGGAAGCTTGGTCGGGGACAGCCCGGCACTGATCAAAAATCGCATCTTATAAGATTGTGCGTCCGCAAGTGATCTTTGAGATCATCTTATCATCTGATAATCATTGACCTTGTGGTGAGTACATCCATCATGGTTATACCTCCCAAGAGAACGCAGAATCTGATGATACACCAGATTCAGATTCCGTTGATGCAATCAGCTTGTCCTTGTCCTCTTTTGAACACAACGACGTCAGCATGAACCGGCTGATATTATTCATCTGTTCCTTCGGTGCACGCGAAGAGATCAGTATGAAAGCCTCATACATCCCGTTGACACTTTGTCTGTCCACACACCGCATCTCAGAAAAAGCTGTGCCATCGGCTCAAAGCGGTCCCTTCTCAAAGAGAGAAAAGAGGTTGCTTGATAGATGGCTGGATCGAGTCGTCACATTTTCTGGCTCGGGCATAACGACTTTTCTTATCCTGGCAATCCTGCTGGCTTGGGCTCTTCTCGGCATCAAGTATTCTCAGACATCTGCCTGGCAGGTCGGCATCTCTGATGTCCAGTCGGTCTTCAATTTGATCTTTGATGCTTTGCTGGTGCGGCAACAGCTGAACAGTCACAACGACGCCCTGACTATCTTGTGTACCCTGAAGTCTCGTTCTGCCAGCCATCACAGGATGCTGGAGAAGCTTGCATCAACAGAAGTGGGCAAAAGAAAAATCGGAGTCATCATCGGATCGCTCCCCGAGACTGAACTTCCGTCNGAAGGTCGCCTTGGTCGATGTTGCAGAATTATGGTTCATCTTCTTGGTCATATTGTCACTATTGGTCTCTTCTGGATAGGGATCCTCATCTGGGTCGCTTTTGGGCTTTACTGTGGCTGGTCTAACGAGTGGTTCTTCTACATCAATACTTCAACGGCGGCACTCTTGATCTTTGGCCTGTCATTCATAGCCTACAACCGCGAGCAACACGACAAATACATACAACGATGTCTGAATGCAATCGATCTTGCGGATGAGCAGCTCGAATCTAGCTTGAGATCTCTGACTGCAGATGAGATTGATCATGAAGTTTCAGTGATACCAGCACCTCGTGTCAACAAACTCCAACGCTGCATCGATTTCTATGCTGATCTGGTCGGCACGCTTTCTGGCGTTGCTCTATTGATTTTCTCGCTTGTGCTCTGGGTAGTGCTTGGACCACCAATGCATTTTGATGCCAGTTGGTGGTTGCTTCTCGGGACCTACACAGGACTTATTGGGATGAATGATGGATGCGTCCTCCGCAATCTGTGCTTCGACCGTAGCAGACTTGAGAATACTCTATTCGAACAGCAATGCACCAATGATCAACAGCTTCTGCGAATGGCTGGGGTAGCACCCCGTTCCCAGGATACTGCTCANAAAGATACTGATCTGATGAGCCGCATCTCAGCTGACGTTGGGCGTATTTGTTCTCACGAGGTTTCGGCGTTGCTGTTCTTTGTTTTCATCATCATTATGATCATCGCTGCTAGCGTTCTGCACTGGAATGAGCTGGGTCAACTTATCTGCAACATTCCTCCCATGATCATAGAGTCTTTCTTCACATTGATATTGATTACTGGTATTGACACAGCTAATCAGCAGAGACGTAGGAGGGTGTGTGATATATATCAGGCTCGTCTAGCCTTGATTCGGTCATGTTCTACAAATTCTTAGAGTTGGATCTCGGATATCGATCTGGAGGGACGCGCCCAGGGAAAAGTCATATATAGGCGTTCATTGTGCTTGATCTACGCTCGAATACATTCTCTCCTTTTCAAACGACTTTTGAACTCTTGGCTATATCCTAGAACCCAAACCTCGCAGAGCTAGATAATAATGCTTATGGCATCATAAAGAGATCTATCTGAAACAGAAAGATGTCCCCGATATGGTAAACATCCTTCCGCTCAACACTGGCTAAGTTCATGAGAATGACCAACCACCTGTGTAGTTTGCGAAGAAGCCATCAGGGTCGTACTTTTGCTTGATATCTTGCAGACGAGAGTAGGTGCTGAATGTCTGTAAGGGATTCTGATCAAAGCTGGCATCGTTGATGAACAGTGGCAGTCCTTCAGCGTTGGGAACCGAATTGACCATGTCTCTGAAGCTCTGCTGGACTTTATCGTAAGCGGCCTTCGACATGCCTGGAGGGGTGGAAAGCAAGAAATTGAGCCAGAACCAAGGTCCATCAGGCATCTGCATGGCATTTCCGCCATTCTGAGCATTCGATGCATCTGTCAGACTCTTTGCCACTGGTTGGAAATCAAGCGAAGAAATGACATATGAGCCTTTGTTGACCTTGCACCACTTCTCCCAGGCTTCNNCAAAGGCTGTGTGGTATGAGTCGTCGTCGACTCGATGAACTTGTACTCGAAAGATGTTGTTACCACGACTGAGTTCTGTCGACATTGGGATAGGCATGTTCACCACTTCCGGATAAGTCTTGGGACCCAGAGTGTTTAGCACATGAGGTAGTGCGGTGAAATTGTCGAAAGCATTACCAGGATCCGGACCGTCATAGACCAGAAACATGATGACTGCTTCGTCCAGATCAAGATCTCCAAGGGCGGGAGTAAAGAGTTTCTCATAGGTTCCGATGATAGCCGCTTTCGGGTCGGTGTTGTACTTCATGAAGTTTTGTATGGCTTCAAGCACATTCGCCGTTTGCTTGAAGAGGTAGATCAGATTGCCAGCGTAGAATGTGCCGGACGGTCTTGTCTGCACAGTGTATTTTGTGACGACACCATATGCGTTGCCACCACCGCCACGGTCCGCAAAGAAGAGGTCTTCGTTCTCTGTGGGCGAAGCCGTCACGATGTCACCATTGGGTAGAACGACCTCGAGCTCGCGGAACGAGTCGCAAGCAAGACCGTATTGTCCGGAGAGATAACTCAAGCCACCACCCAGAGCAAGACCAGTACCAACTCCCGCAAGACGAGCTCCGACCACGGTTCTGCCATACTGGTGGAAGTAGTTATAAATATCGCCAAACGTGCCTCCTGGTTGATAGGATCCCAAAGTGGTGGACAAGTTGTAAGACTTCTCAGTCATGGAGTTCAAGTCAATCAACACTCCACTCTCAACGGAAGAGAAGAAGGTGTTCGGGTTGTGGCCAGCAGCTTTGATGGCGAATCGTGATCCAGCAGTCTTGACGGTTTTCAGTATTGTCGATACGTCCTGTGCAGATTTGGGGTAGACCACGCATGAGGGGTGGTATGAACTTTGTACCGCATTCCAGTAGTCTTCCTGCGTGAGATGGTAAGGTATGGTCCGGGGACCCTGGACTTTGGCAGCTCCGAGCGCTGTGACAAGTTGGGTACAGGCTGTTGCTCCAGGCAGTAAATCCCGAGGTGCTACTAGAGCAGACACGAGGCTTGAGAATGTCATTGAGACACACAAAGCTCCTGCTGTAAAATGCATCTTGGCGTGAAGTTATTGTTTTTCGCCCTTGAGATTCAAATGTCTGGAAAGAAAAACATGGCCAGCGCTGGTCCTACTTATGTTTTGCGATATGAGGTCCAACTTCCTATCAAGGCTATGCTAGGCCGGGTGGAAGCCAGTGGACTTGAGGTCAGTCCACGACCTGATCAATTAGCTTGTCAATCCAATTCCGCTTATCCGACAATGATGGATTCCTATCGATCATTGGTTGTCTTGCGAAAAAGAGTTCTGAAATAGATTATCACGACTTTCCAAGCAGACGAGCAGAACCTCGGCTAAATTTTGCGCCGCAATTTAGCTTGATCACTTCTCCAAAGGCTTGGTTGCGCCGAGTATACTGTGGAGTCTGCAGTGGATTGTTGAATAAATTTTCAAGAAGTAAATGAACTGTAAAACAGAGGAATAGGACAGGTATCGGCTCTTTCTTAGCCTGTCAGCGCTTGTGTTTTTTGGATTGCGGCACGAGTACTCATCTTTCGTCCAAGGCGGCATCTGAGTAGACGAGCCACCAAACGCCGTTCAAAAGCCAGGACGTCAATCGCCTCGCAGTGCCTAAAGAATATGATCAGCGCAAGCGCCACAATGAGTTTCTGCAACCTTCGAACGCGTCGGGTTCAGACGCAACACGAGCTATCGACGACTCTCGAGAACCGCGACTTGTCCCAGCCACATATCCCTCTGGTTGACCCGGCTTGGCACCTCCACCACCAAATTTCTCCACACTCTCTGTTGAATTCTCGCGGTTTTTGACTTTCTGTTTCAACAATCATCAATCATTCTTCCACATGATGAGGTGGCCAGCGCGTCGGCCGCCTGTGACCCATTCTCACATCCAAGGATTGAGCGTTGATTGTAAGTGATGGCAAATGATTGGTAGTCGCATCGAGTTGGTCCAACATGTTTGTTCCGCTTGACTGTCTCATCGCGTTCAAGACAGCTTCTTTGTTGTTGTTCGCGTAAAACCTTGTCTCTCTCCAACGTCTGTCGTCAGGCTAACCCTAGCAAGAGTGTTTTAATTTTTGATTGTTTTGAGCTCAATGAAGCAAAGCTATGTTTGTTGGTTGTGAAGATGTTCGAGAAAACATGGTATTCTCACTTCCAAACATGCGGTGTTCGACTCACCTCTGTCAACCCCTCGCCTCGGTCATTCTCTTTGCTATTTAAGTCTTTGACTCCGATTCACCATCTTGCTCTGCATTCACCTTACTTTCAATCTTCTTTCACAATTTGTTCTTGGTACGCTTTTGCAAGTATGGCGCACCTACTTCATCTCCCACACGGTGATGCTGTCCTGACGATTGCCCTTGAAACTTCCAATGTCCAAACACGTTTCGCCGCCCGTCAAGAAGCTCTGAGAGCACGCTTTCATGCTGAGTCTCAGGCTCTAGAGGAAGAGCTTGACCATGAGAATCAAGCCTTGCATCTTCAACTCGAGGAACTTGGCTACCGCGAGACCCGTATCACTGGCGATGTACCTGCGAATGCCAACGATCATCCATCAAGAATTGTCGATGCCGAGACGACCATCAATGTAGAGCCTATCGTCGTACCTCCACAGCCGACCTCAGGCCGCCCTGATGTCGATGCAAACGCATCATTCGACGAAGTATTGCAGGACGCCCTTCGTAGACTCAGCGAATTCCCTGAGTTTGCTCACTTCTGCGTCTTGTACCCTGGACTGGAGCTCACACAATGCCAGGCTTGCCTTGAGCGCCTACCCAGATCGGAGACAACGCCAGCACCATGTGACCACAGATATTGTGCGAGCTGTATGACCACTCTCTTCGAGCATGCTAGCCGTGATCAGGCGATGTACCCGCCTCGCTGTTGTAAACAAACCATCCCTCTTGATTCTGTTCGGTCTGTCATCAGTTCCGAGCTGGCCGCCACTTTCACCAAGAAGGCTGTCGAGTTCGAAACGCTCAACAAGACATTCTGTTCTAACACTGCCTGCAACGAGTTCATCCCAAACGACCATGTCAACAATGACGTGGCTGTGTGCCCGGTGTGCAATGAACGAACTTGCTCGATTTGCAAAGGCAAGGCTCACCTCGATGATTGTCCCGAAGACGATACCACCCAGCTGACGCTCCAGCTCGGCGACACTCAAAGATGGCAGCGCTGCAATGACTGCCGCAGTGTTATCGAGCGTTCCGAGGGTTGCAACCACATTACGTGAGTTCCAGTTTGCCCACACCCAATCGATTTCTACTAACGTGTTGCAGANTGCAGATGCCGCGCTGAATTCTGCTACATCTGCGGAGCTGCTTGGAGAACATGTTCGTGTCCTCAATTTGGCGACCCTGATGTCCGAGCTGGAGCCACAAACAACACTCGCCGCAGAATCTATCAGCCTCCCCCAGCCGCCTCACATCCCAATCGCAACGGCACATATGCCGTTCCTGACGATCCTGTCGTTTCACCTCAACCTGAGAGTCCTGCAATTCCCTCCAGGCCTGCCGTGCCTACTCAGCCGACCATTCCAGACTTGTTGGCTGACATTTTTGGCCCACGCCGTATGACTCTCGCTGAGCGTAGACGCATAGATCAGGCACTGCGTTTCAATAACGATGCTGCTGAGACTACCAAGCTCCGTAAGCCCTAAAGCGGAGAAGCATTTTGACACTGTTATGTCAGCTAGTAAGAATATTTCCGTGTACAATCTTCTGAAAATGGCGGCGTGCTCTACAGAAGGTCGTTTTCAAGATTCCTGTTGCATATTCATTCATGTCTTGCTCAGAGTCATGCAAGTTGAAAGGGTGGTAGCAGTCATACTCTAATCTAGTTACATCAAATGTTTTGTGTTTTTCTGTGCACATATGCGTGTTTGAAACTGAATAACTCATCTCATCTTCCAAACACAAGCCCGACCGAAGTGTTTCATGTCTCAAGACCCAGACTATCGGGATGCTCGCAGACTCAATCTGCGAAAGGATGCTGCAATGTCTGAGAGGATCCAGTGTTTTGCAGTACTTGGGCATGTCAAAGAAACGCAGATAATATTGTAGCAAGTGAATTCATGATCCGTAACACTGAACACCTACTATTTCTATCGAAGGCTGTTTCTCGAGACAGAATTGCTTCCACAGTCTTCTGAGCATGGTGATAACCGATGACCTTGGTTAACCTTGGAATAGCCGGAGCGGTTGTCCTGAAGCGTAAGCGGGTCATGCGCGAAAGCCAATTTACGACGCCTCGAAGCTTGATCACCAGCCGTCCAGGACGGTGATTGGTTGTACGTGCATCACGCACTTCGTCGTCGCTTCTGGTGGCTCAACATCAAACAACCCCTCCTCGCATCGTGAGCAAAAAGCTCTCCACAGATTCGGCCGAAGTTGGAGTTCCGCAGCCACAACACGAACATCGGGAGTCTCGATGCATACCGTAGTGTGGAGCCCCGCACTTTGTTGTATTTCTTTTGCCTTTCGTGGCTGGCCGACACACAAGTTCCTGATTCTCATACAAAAGCATATGCTCAGCTAAACGGCAGTTGAGATCGGCAGAAAGCTGTATTCCAAGATGTTGCATTAGCGAAGTCGGATGGTCTTGACATATAAGAGCATTGAGTCGTCCCTCGATGTCCGACAATCAATTCATATTTCCCCCACACATCCAATATGAAGGCGTCAACATCACTCAGAACAGCACTTTTAGCGACAGTGATAACCAGAGCGGCAGCCGACTGTTCAACCGCCAGTATCCAGGCTATTCTTCCCTCCATTGCTAGTGTGGACTTTGTGCTATGGCAAGCCGGAGAATCAACTTTCTCGGTTCCTGAAGGAGATATCGCATATCCAACTTCGCCCACCAACTTGACGGCCCACTGCGCTGTTCAAATAAGAGTCACAAACGGAACTTCTCAATATGGCTTTGGCATGTTCTTGCCTGACAACTGGAACGGAAGGTTTTTGTACGTGCACTCATTCGTTTTCGTCAGTATCGTGGTGAAGCTAACAAATGATCAGNNAGCTGTAGGAAACGGCGGCTATGCTGGGGGTATCAATTGGTTGGACATGGTAAGTCCAAGCTTGCGCGTTCCCGACTGCCTGATATGTTGCTAATTGGACATCAGNGGTGGTGGTTTGGGATATGGTTTCGCAGTCATGTCGACAGATACTGGACATAACAGCACTGCTCTTGACGGCAAATGGGCATACGGACACCCGGATCAACTCAAAGATTGGGGATACCGTGCCATGCATGGTTCAACCGTGCTGGGAAAGCAATTGACTGAGGGCTATTACGGGTATAAGCCGAAGTACAACTACTACAAAGGCTGCTCAACAGGTGGACGTCAAGGTATTCGCGACATTCAGCTGTACCCCGAAGACTTTGATGGCGTTGTTGCTGGAGCCCCGGCCTGGTTTTTGACCCACATGTCGCCATTCGTAATCAAGGCTGGCACTTACAATCTCCCCGTCAATGGATCGAACCACATCCCCGACAGCTTGTTCCCTGTAATCAATGCCGAAGTCCTTCGACAGTGTGACGCCATTGATGGTGTCAAAGACGATATCCTCTCCGATCCGCCAGCCTGCAACTTCGACATGGATGCTCTTCTCTGCACTCCAAAATCCAACCAATCTGAGTGCTTGACAGCGCCTCAGCTCACCACTCTCTTCAAGATCTATCATGATTACTTCGAGACCAATGACACCTGGGTGTTCCCTCACTATTGGAAAGGTAGTGAGCTTGGCTGGGAATTGGTTTTCGGTGGCGCTGCACCAGGGAGTCTGGGTGTGGACTACGTGACCTCTTTCATGCAATACGGCCCTGACTGGAATTGGCAAGACTATGACTACAGTATTGTCGAGAATGCCGAGAGACTCCGTCCTGGCAACGCAACAGCGGACGACTACAACCTCGAACCGTTCAAGCGACATGGCGGCAAACTGCTCATGTACCATGGTATGGCTGACCAATTGATCCCGACTGGCAGTAGTTTGTATCTGTACTCCCAGATCCTGCGCGAGCTTGCACCCAATGGTGTTGAGCTGGATGACTTTTTCCGATTCTTCCTTGTCCCCGGCATGGGGTGAGTAACGTTCTCCTTCCTCTACCTCACCACAACCCTTTATGACACAATCGGCTGACGACTCTCATCATTCAATAGTCACTGCGCTGGAAACTTCCCTCCAGGTCTAGCGCCTTGGTACTTCGCTGGTGGCAGCCAAGTTCTAAATCCANNGAGCGCCTACGGCGTTCCCGGCTTCAGAGACGCTGAACACGACGTTCTGCTTGCCATGATGCGATGGGTCGAGCAAGGGATTGCGCCTGACCAAATCATTGCTACCGCTTGGCAAAACGATACCAGACATGACACAGTCTTGAGACAGAGACCGCTTTGCATGTACCCAAAGAAACAAAAGTACTGTGGTGGGGATGTGGACAAACCGGAAAGCTGGTCGTGTGTTTGATAGTGGATGATGATCTCAAGAGATATGGGGAAAGAGAGAGACGCGTCTCGGCATGCATTTTTGGTGAGGTTTCGAAATCTGTTCCATATATCACTCTGCCTTCTGCGGCTGCATACTTGCTGGTTGGTCTTTTCACAGAGATAGCACCAATCAGGAGTCTAGTAGTTGACTGAGAGATTGTGCTTGCACTTGCAGTGGCATGCCTGGAGCGAACAAAAGAAGCACAATGTCAGGCAGATTTGTCACCATGGATGTATAAAACAAAGTTCTATAACGTGATAGATGACCTAGCTAATAGGAACCATACCTAGCTGATAGGAACCATACCTAGCTAATAGAATCCATGGGTTGCACTACAGCCCGTCTAAAAAGGGTTTCGCGGGGTTATGCTTTCGGCGCTTGGCGGGGTAGAAGTGAAGTTGAACCCGTAGTAGAACCCCGATCTTGTAAGTTGTATGAACACGACTCAATATTTGTAAAACTATGGTAGAGATGAGTTAATATGATACAAAGGCAATTGCACCATTTAGATTTCTGATTCTGGCTGCGACTTGTTGAGTATCGTTGTCCAAAATATGGCAAGTATGACTTTCGAAGTTTGCCAAGAATTGCGCCCGCAACTCCACCCGACTTCTTGTAGGCATGCAAGGTCACCCCAACAACATTAACACCAAAGATCTGGGAGTAAGATATATGGTCAAATTTGTGATCTATATAGTGAACTCTTCAGTTTCTTCGTCAGAAGAATCTTGAACCACTCGCAGCAAGCGTTTAGATTTTTGCAAGTGAGGAGTAGGTTCTTGAGTGGTCCCATTGAGCGTCCGGCCTGGAACCACTTCCCGGTCACCAAATATATGTTTTTGACTTGCTCAATACCAGCCACTGAAGGTATAAGATCTGCTTTCAGACATGCTAGGGCACGAAGCGTATAGTCGCGACAGGAGTCACAACAGTTACGGACAAGTTTCGATGATGAGGTGCCATGCTTCTCGAAATATGCGTGGATCTCAGCAAATTTAGCAAACATGCGAGCGAATTCAGGGCCATCACAGGTTGTCGCATTATCAGAACCATCAGCCGATGTCACCGCTTCGTTATCAAAACTGCTTAAGGGAATTTCATCTAACAGTTGCGACAGGCCAGCAGCAGGAGACTCGCAAGGTGGAGTGACTGGTTCAATGATCCGATGGCCACGGATTCTCTTGATTCGAGACTCGCCGTCTCGGCGTACTGTATTCGTAGCTTCCGCTACGTCTTGAGGACCATTATCCAGACAATCTGTACCATCACTTGGCTCCAAATCAGGATTGGCGATAGTAAGATCATCGTTTTCTATGCGCTTTCTCTTCCGGGAACTGTCTTTTGTTCGGATAGCAGAAGTCGGCTGCTGTTGCGGTGTTGTCGGGACCACAGGCATCAGCTCTAGCACATCTTCCCGAACGCTCGAGGCGGATGCATTCATGGTACTGTTGAAGAACTTGACATCTTCTGGAATAAGCTTACGAGTCTTCAAGATTCGCGTTCGAGGAGGACGGTTTGCAGGATCAAGACGTCTCTCAATAGCACAACGCCAACCGATCACAGCTTGTTGCTGATCTGGCACGTTTGCACTAGTGATGGCCACTTCACTCAGCATTCTCTTAGATAGGTCTTTGACAGACTCGGCAGGTCTCATTGAAGCAGGAATAGTATCAAGCCAGTTGTCGCCCCATATCTCAGCAATGGATTGCTGGTGGTTCTCTTTAGACCATTGAGCAGAGGTGCCAACGACGACCATGACTTTGACCACTTTGTGATTAGCAACACTGTTAATGAAAGCTTGTTCACTACGAAGGTTTGGGTCTGGGTGAGTGTCCCACAGGTTGTTGATCTTCACCCATCGCCAGATGTAAGCAGCTTGGACACTAGCGCTCTCCGCTCGGTCGGCTGCAGCAGCAAGCAGGTCGCTCGCGGCTTGTATAGGTGAGACATCGGGACCGGGGTTGTTCAGATAGTCCCAGATCGAGACGTCAGGCTTGTCTGGGAGTCTCTGGTTGCGCAGTTCCGATTCGACATCGGCCGGCGACATCATCTGGAGCCGAGCTTCGGTCTCTCCAGCATCGGCTCTAGCTCGAAGGGATTGGTGTTGACGTTGCACTTGAGACGCCGTAGGGGCGCTCGGTCCGGCGACCGCTTGCGTGCTAGGAAGTGCAGAGGGCCGAGGTGCAAGAGGCACCGCTGACGGCACTTGCGAAGCGTCGCGGACAAGGCGCTGTGGAGAAGCGACATCGTTCTGGAGATCCGCGGTCGCTACAGCACCGACAGAATTTGGTTCAAGTCGATAGAGAACACGTGTGCGGACATTTTTCACACCCGCCATCGTTACAGTTGCAGTGACAACTACTATTCGATTCTTTGCCAAACTTATGTAGATCCACCCTGCCCGAGCAAGACAGGAAAATCGCGCAAGAGAGAAAAGCAAGGTGTAAGATAACAAAAAGAGGGGGAAAAGAGAAAGTGGAAGAGAAAGATAGTACGCTAAGCTGAATTCTGAAGAAACGCAAGAGCGTGGCGGGGAAACGCGAAGCATATATATTAGATTTGACAAGGGTGGAGGCGTCCCAGGCTTAGCCCCCGCACCCCATTGGACAGACATGTGTCCCGCTAGACCATTCTCATGAGATATCGCAAACCATCAGCAAGTAAGATGCATAGTTATCGCATGATCAGCCCACAGGTCGCACAATGCTACAAGCAAGGTTCTGCGTGTGTATTCCGCGACAGCTCTCTGATAAGAGACACTACGAGAAGGGTAAGACGCGTCGGCGAATCTCTCGCTCCGTTCTGTTTCTCTGCTCTATCTTTTCTTGCCACTATTCATCGTTCCATACGTACACTAAGCTTCTCTTATGAACGATCCAGCAAGAGAGAAAGTATACAATTATCCATCTCGACTTGCATTTAGCCAGAAGACATGGAGCTAGCATATCGGTTGACCGAATACGCTCTAGAGCCAGCCGGCGAGGACGACACAGCTAGAGTCATGACGCGTCAAGAAGGCAGTATTGAGGAGACAGAGCAGCAAGAAATCGCAGCAGCCATGTCGAACTACGTCTATCTAGCAGAGCACGAAGTTCTCATCTGCAAGGAACACGGCTACGCAGTGCGAGGCTTAGACAGCCATCTGCGCTTGGTCCATACTTCTTACACTTCTACGTCGAAGAAGGCAAGGGCTGCACTAAGACAGCATCACAGCGGACGCAACATGCCAGACCCATCCACAGTCCGTCTACCCGAGCCAGGACAGCCGGCAATTGAGTATCTGTGTAAGCCAATCCCAGGCTACTACTGCATCCACAACCAGGACAACACCGCCGGCGAACAAGACGTACGAGGGGATGCATCGACAACAACAGACTCCCCCAGTCACTGCGGCTTCACCACCAGCGACCGTACCAACATCGGCAAACACTGTCGTAATGCACACGGCTGGAAATCTACTGACGAAGACCGTCAGTGCTGGAAAGATGTCTACATCCAGACGTTTTGCAAGAGTTCAGGCAAACAAAAGTGGTTTGTCGTCAAGACACCCGATCAGATCGATAGGGAAAGAGCAAGTGTCGGAGAATCACTCCCCGAGCCAAGCAGATCCAGTTCGACGGCATCAAAGATGACTTCCAGAAGTTAAAAGAGCAATGGCAGAAAGAGCAGGAGATACTAGCAGACAGGGTTGAGAAATGCGAGAACACCGGATGGTGGAACAAGACAAGATGGAGAGAGCATCTCAAGAACTGCAATCTCACCCATCTCTCGTACACCAGCCGGCTGCCCGAGAAGGATGAAGAAGCGTTACTCAAGGTAGCAGCGGTGATCGAGAAGATGGTCGAGAGGGGTGTCTCAGGACTGAGCTCGATGCCGGAAGGCTTGCGTCGTTGGCTTCGAAGTGCAGAGATGCACAAGCCAGACGTGAGACCGCTATCCCGGTTGCAGAATCCAGAGAGTCAAGAACGGTACACCGGGTACTGGAAGCGAATGGTTTGTTACTGTCTACGAGTATGGTGCACTCGTCACGAAGCCACGGACAGCGAGTCAAGTGGCGATGGCAGCAACAATGACGATACCGAAAGCGACAGCGATGAGGTAAACAGTGTGTACAATGCTAACGCCAACACTGATGAGGTAAACAGTGTGTACAATGCTAACACCAACACTGATACCGACGACGACGACGACGACGACGACGACGACGACGACGACGACGACAATTCCGACACAGATCCACAACACGATCAAGGCAGACGGCAAGCACAAGATCACATGCACGATGCTCGGAGGCTCTTCCCATGGAACGACCAACTCGAAAGAGCATTAGAGGAGGTGTGGAGATTGATCGTTCTCGAGGGAGACACATCATCCGTAGAAGACGATCAAATCCCAGCGATGGTAGAGCTCAGTCGGGTGTTGTTGTTNCAAAAGGTGTGGAACGACCGCTTCGACAGCGCTCTAATCCATTTCATGGCCGTGATGGGCATCGACGAGACCAACGCTCGGCTACGCGATGGCAACGACTACTCTTACATGATCGCCGGACTGGTGTACGTGTCCAGGATCGTGACCGCCGAAGCTCTGCTCCCATCACTCGACCGCGAAAACCAAGGGGAGGCCGACTTCGAGGCATTTCTCGAGCAGAGAAAAGAGTTTCTAGCCGACGGATCGATGAGCGTGATGGGAGAGATGTTGAGCTTGCTAGCGTACGGAAAGAAGATCGCAAAGAACTTCCACGCCCAGGGGAAGCTGCACTGGACTCACGACGGAGCCGGCGTCGCTCTCGGCAGCATCGAGTTCACGGTGTACAACTTCAAGTCCATGGCACGCTCCGCTCTAGACGATTGCGAAGACTACATGTGGAGGGATCTCATGTGGGCAGGCCGCAAGGCAGATCGCTTCGTGTTAGATCTCGATAGCATCACCGACGACATGACGGTGAAGAAGAGAGGCTGGTACTTCGGTGCCGACCCGAA